ATGCTGTTTGGGACATGTTGTCCCCGTGGTCCGGGGGAGCGGAAGGACTCTGGAAAAAATGGGCTCTTTGTGGATTGCCCTATCGACGGGGGATTCCGGTGCCATTGAGATGTGTTCAAGAGAAGGGGGGGTGTGCGAAGACAGAAGACAGACGAGGTGGGAAGGGCCGAGGCAACAAACATGGGCAACTCGGGGGGACGTAGAGATATTTTAAGAGAGGAGAGAGGCGGGTAGCTACGATGCCGATACCAGGTGCCGGAGTGCCTGTCAGTCTAGTCTGGGGCAACACCACAACCGTGGGTACTTTACTACTTCTAGATACCCTAGGTAGGTACCGGTACAAGTCGAGAGCGAGTTCGCTCGCTGGCTGGCCATCAACCTCGTAAATCGCGCCTTCCGAAGGTTTCGCTGTGTGCGCGCCAGAGCCTCACATCAAGACGAAGTGAAGGTAGGTAACGGAAGGACGTGCGAAGTAACTACCTATGCTGGGTCGAGCCTGCCTGCTGTCGGCTGTGAGATTGCACATGGAAAGAACCCACCCCACCTTTGCTTTCTTTCCCGACCGAGGTCAACAAGCATTTCCAATTTTTGCCTCGCCGCATTAAGGAGAGACTGTCCTCATCATTTCCCCACACATCAACACCGCCGTCACTGTCGTCACCGAGGTGAGCCCGTCAATGAAACATACGAGAGACCTTCCGTACGTAGCCGGCGATGCGCAGGGTCGTAGCGAGATGGCTGCTTTCTTCCGGTATCGTCATCTTCTTATTGCTCCGCCAATCGCCCTTGCTTGTGAATTTGAGATCCGCCGCAACGAGAATAAGGAAAAATCGTGTCTCATCGTGTCCACGGCCATTGCCGGTAGTCCACAATTGTACGGGCGGGTGAGCTGGCTCGTCCTGGATGTCCTTGGTCGAAATGGTGGTGTTTGCACCGTGACGCCTACACTTCGAGGGTGACACATGATTGCATACCAAATATGGTTTCCATTCGATAATGATATCTTAACTGCCTTCTAGTATTGTAATCTGCGGCCCTGCATGACGTACATAACGAGGGGCCAGTCAGCGTCTCTATTGCTCTCCGTGATGTTAGGCAGTTGAGCAGACCCCCGGAGGCGCTTGGCAAGTCTCTCGATTTCTAGAGCTGAGCTCGGCAGGCCTGAGCTCCTTGGTCTCGCTGGAATCCTTTTCGGGTTTCTTTGAGATTGACAATCATCGCCATGGACTGGTTTTCCTCTTTCTCGTTCGCATATGTAGAATGCCGCTATATCAATATCTGTAGTGGTCCATGGGTCCCTACCCAATGGCGCCCATTCAAATACACATCCGTCCCGTATATCAATATCATCTTTATTGATCATTAAGAGTAACATAAACTTCTCGTTATTGTGCTTGTCAATCAATATCGTCTCTTAGCCTCTGACGCAGACGAGGTTCTGCTAAACATTGTCGTCTTTTTTCAGGCAGTTTCCAAATAGACGTATATAGTCTTGTCTCTCTTCAGGCTCCGTTCTCGCTATAAACCAAAATCATCAGGCTATTGGTGTCTGAAATACTAGTACTTATGGAATTTGAGTTCTCGTCTGCTCTCCTGAGGCCGGAGGAGCCCTTCTCGCTTTGATGTCAAGGCTACTCATTGCTGGTGAGCATGTGGCAAGTCCCTAATGATACCCTTTGAGGCTATCCAAAGACTTCACAAGTTCAAGCATGGACTCACATAGCCTCCCTGTCTTCGTCGACGCTCGTGATCCCGCCCTTGTTACAGGCTGGGTCTCTCAAGACTTTGAAGCTTGGTTATTGCCAACGCAGTAACATGGTTTATGTGAATCTCCATGTGCCACCAGGCTGAAGCCTCGTGAAACTCAATCCTTATAGTATATATCGACTGTTGTGTGATTCTAGCCCTTCAGGTCACTCGGGGAGCAATCTTGTCATTACGGATCCAGAATAGAGGGGGCCAGTGAAGGAAAACAAAATCAGTTGCAAGATGATGCGAATTGCCTGACCATACAGGTGCAATACGGCCATGTCTGCCCCCAAAAGCTCGAAGGCTAGGTTTATCACTTTTCCACCACCCTTTCGGTTCGACACGAGTCTATTCTCGAGAAGCCTCGCCATAGGCTACTGCGAAGAGATGATGTACTACATCAGCTCCCGTTCACTGATTCGAGCCGATACAACATTCCTTGATAGTGCTCTGATAGCGCGGAGACAGCAACGTTGAAGAAATCGGAAATCGCCGAAATTGAGCAAGTTTACGGGGCCGACGTCGTCCCGTTTCTCGAAACTGCTAATCCCACACTCTCTGGCCAAAAAGAAAACAAACCCCCCCCCCCCCCCCCCCGAAAGAGCATTTTGACTGTCATAAGAAAGAGTCTTGGCTGCGAGCCTCAAGGCCATCTCCTATTTCGATGAACCGACCCGTCAAAGGGCCCACTAACTCGGTCGCTCACCATACCGAGACCTGCCCCTATATACCCCGCCAGTCTATCAGGTTTAGATCAACGGCACTGAGAAGCCCTCTGACCCGTCGAGTGTCGAACTTGATAATGTAGAAGATCCAGTTCATGTTTGGATCGACGTCAAGTTCGTCAACGGGCTGTATCAGAGGTCAACCTCGCGATAGCATCATGGCGAAGGGCATCTATCAAGGCTTTAAGAACTGAACAGGGAACAGGATGTGGTCGTAAACACGTTTGTAACTTTAACTAGCCTTGTGTTTCTATAACCGTCTTGTGCTACCTCAATGTATAGATCCGAGAGAATACTTTCTCCTGTCGTTGGAGGCGAAGCTAGCACCAGCCTCCAGGCCGTACCACTTCATGAAATGTATGCTACTAGTAAACAATGGAGATTTATTTGCCGAAGAACCCAGAAAGTACCTGAAATCCCCAGGCCGATGCGGCTTTCGTTACTAAAAGCTGCACTTAGACGACCGAGGTCATGGCGGGTGTCCTTGGAAGCGGCTGCGCCTCCCTGGAGACCGAGTTGAGGACAGCATTCGACAACCCCTTTTCTAGGTAGAGATTTCATATCTTCACAGGGAACTCTTATGACGAGCCTGTCGACCTATTCTTGACCCTTTGAGGGCCGCTACCAAGATACCTATTCGACTTACACACTTCTCAGCGGCGGGGCTGTATGCGGGGTCCCTCGTGGCAAAGAAAATGGGGGAACATACAAAGGCATCGCCGAATTACAAAAGTGAAACGATCATGGCTCACACACAGATCAAGCATAGGTTTAGTGTAATGGTTCAAGAAACTGCTGGCGTGACTGTGCAGTCAACTCTGACTTCGGTCACGACGAGTCGAGGAAGCCTAGGCCTTCAACTGCCAAGAATCTCAGTATCGAGTCTTTCACATTCTCCCATGAGTTCGCCCCATCCTGGACGTGTGGTCAGTCATCTTTCTCAGATTTCCTATTACAGTCTAGTATAGTAAAAAGGCCGGGTCCCAATAGGTTGGTCATTAGCTAACGAGGAGGCTAGTCATTGCTTCCCGAGATGTTGTCACCGATGCGATCCAACCAGTGTTTCCCCGGGAACAAGGTCTGCCTGTCTAGCTTCACCAACTAGCCGCTTGGATGATCTGTGGTCGCTAGTTGTCGATGCCGTGCGGGTTGGACAATCTTGTGTTGGGAGATTGGTTCCTCGGGAAGTCATGCCTACTAGGAATATAGAGGATGAAGCCGTGGTCTCCAGGACGACAGCGTAAACTGCGGGCCCCTCGTTGCAACACAATGTCGACCTGTGGGTATAGCAACTGCAACGTCAGCCGGAGAAAGAAAGCTTGACTACCTCGGGCGGAAAGGAGTCGAGAGGGGTCGAGGGAGGTCGGACAAGTGTCGAGGAACACTGGAGTGGGGAAACAGGGACGACATCTGGGGAAGTGGCACTAAAACCCCGCACGCCAATTTCCCCGGCAAGAGCAGCGCGGCACCTCCCAGCTCCAGCGGCATCAGACCCCCCCTGCAAGTGTGCTCACCTCACTACCTATCCGTGCTTCTTTGAAGCTGCGAAGCCATCGGGACATCGGGACCTCGGGAAAGAACACACGCGCACCAATAAGAGAATTCTCCCGACGGTGCTTGTGCGTCTTTCTCTTCCTTCCCCAACTCCCTACCCCGGCATCTCCGCTTCTTTAATGCCATCATCGCGCCTAGTCCGGCCCCAACCCCGGACTTTTGCCATCTTGTTTCCCTGCCGTTGGACCTCGACTCGTCCCATTCATCTCCAATTGGAACTTTTGGCTATTGACTTGCCGTGTGTTCCTGAGGGACAACCAACCACAATTCAATTGACCCCGCTCGTCCCATTGGAGAGGGTGTCATCGGACCCTTTTCGACCTCACCGTTGGCCGGCCTCGCTCTGCTGCCGTTGCTCTGGGGCTGGCCCCTCCCTGCAATGCAGTCACTCGTTGGTCCTACAATTCATTTGGACTCGCATCTAGGTTCGCGCACCGTTACGTGCCACTAGCTTTGGCTTTACCATCCTTACCAAGCTTACCCCAGCTACTGCGTGGTTTAGCTCAGTCAGTATTGTTTGTTCGTTTCTTCTCTGGGGCAGCAGCGCCGGAAAAGCGAAAGGATCCCACGGCATGTTCGGCTAGACGCTCCAGTCACATCTTGCCCTCACCTCCAAAGCGTCGATCGTCCCCTGCTTGCTTCATTTCCGCATGTGTGTCCCGTCCGAAGCCTTCCCTTCCCCAACCCGCCGAGTGGGTGGGGCCAGTTCTCTGCACTCCACGGTCTTTCCTGTCCTGCATAACGTAGCTGTGTTGGTCCGATGGTTACCATCCCATCCTCGCTGTCATGGGCAAGTCTCTACGCTCCTCCCGCATGAGAGGGGGAGCACCTTTGGAATATAAGCTCCCACTTCACCCCATCTTCCCCTCAAGCCGATCCTGTTGTCCGTCCTCCCGTCACCATCGTCTGCTCTGGCCCGCGCTGCTCTGCGCCTCACTTATCTGTTACCTCGTCTGGCCCACTACCCTCACGATGCGCTCACTACTCCCCGCCGCTGTCGGGGCTCTGCTCCTTCCGGCTTCCATGGCCCAGTTCGTCGGCGCATCTGATGGGAACGCAACAACGCCCATTGGGGCCCCCGACGCGGACGGCAAGTACTGGATCTCCAGCAAGTACCTCAAGGCTGCCTTCATCCCCTACGGCGCCTCCATATCGAACCTGATCATCGAAGATCAGTACGGCATCCCCAGAGATATTGTTGCCGGTTTCGACAACGCCAGCTATTACAGCATTGACACCCAGCACCCTCACTTCGGCGGTGTCCCCGGCCGCTACGCGAACCGCATCAAGAACGGTACCTTTGAGATTGATGGCGAGACTTACCACACTGACCTCAACGACAATAAGGGCCTTGACACACTCCATGGAGGCTCTGACGGCTGGGACTACCGCAACTTTACCGTGGTTTCCCATACCAACAGCAGCATCACCTTCTCCATCACCGACCCAGACGGAAAAGAGGGTTTCCCCGGCGAAGTGGTGTCGCTTATCACCTACACCATCGTTGACTGGAACTGGGAGCTCAAGATGGTTGCCACTGCGACCACCAAGAAGACGCCCATCATGCTCAGCAGTCACACATACTGGAACTTGGACGGCTTCGCCAACAACGAGACCAACACGGCTCTCAACCACACTCTGCACATGCCTTACAACGGCCAGAGAGTAGCTGTCGACAACATCCTTATCCCTACCGGCGAGATCCTCGCCAATTCCAAAGGCTCCGTGAACGACTTCTGGAGTGCCCCCAAGCAGATTGGCGCCGATTTCCTCAAGCCCGAACTTGAGAACAACTGCGGCCTGAACTGCACTGGCTATGGTAAGTTTCCTCGGTAATCAATCGGGGGGTGATGAGACTCTAACCAAGGCAGACAACTGCTGGATCGTGAACCGCAACGATCTAGGCCTCTACAACTGGCGCACCGAAGGATACATTGCCCGCCTGCAGTCAGCTTGGTCCGGTATCCAACTCGACGTCTACTCTGACCAGGACGCCTTCCAAATGTACAGCTGCAACCAGCAAGATGGCTCTATGGCCCTCAAGAAGACCCAGGGCCTGTTCGACGACCCCGACTACCCTCGCATAATCCCCAAATACGGCTGCCTCGTCCTCGAAGTCCAGGACTGGATCGACGGCATCAACAACCCCACATGGGGTCGCGGCAAGAAGCAGATCTTCGAGCCCGGCGGTGACCCCTACGTCCTTCAGGCTAGCTACCGCTTTAGTGTCAATTCTACTTCCGAGTAAGGAGTTTGCAATTGAATGCGTGGTATTGGTTTACAGGGAGGGCAAGAGAACGTGGGTGTCGGGGGAATTCATTCCCACCCAACATATTAATGATAGATACAAGGTGAAGGGACCACTCAGCTTCCAAACTGGTCACCCATCAGACTTAATGAATTCTTCATATGCCAATGACTTGTTACACCCCTTTGAGCTGAGTCTGACGTGCTGGTACATACCTAAGCCAGTATGTTACAAAGTTTTCAATGTGTGTTGTGAATCAAAACATCCGATGCTGAAACGTCAGGGAACAATCATAGGTTCGAACCGCTTGGTTTTCAATGTTGGATGAGCATGGACTCCTTGCTCACGACCACACCCTTCCACCTGGACCCTCGTTTAGTCTTAATAACAAAACATCGCTCCTTGGACCTTGTCTTGTTGATACATGACTCTGGTGGGTATGCATTGTTGGCCAATTTTTTTATTGAAAAAAAATTATGATAAAAAAGGACCGGCTTGTTGAAACGAACTAGGATTCGGGATTTTGCTTGGTAGCAGTGCTTCTTATGGCGGGCTCATGAGGGGAGTGGCCTAAGTATGACACCAGCCAATGATTAGGCTGTCATTCAAATGTCCCGTTACTTGCATGTTTCACCTTAGTCAGCAATCTTATCACCTCGTCTTGCCCCGCGAAAAATTCAGTTAGCAGTGATTACGGTCGCGGGGCGATTCCCAGGCGGACTTACTCACAAGCAGCAGGCGACAACGCAAGAACTCCCATCAAACGTGAATCTACCTCATACAAGAGTCGTCCGAGAGCTCGACACAAGATCCAGGCCTCTATCCAAAATATATTGTTTCAAGGGCCTTCAAATATCAGGACGACCGTCTCAGCAATGGAGGAGGATCGGGCGCAAACGGATCTTGGCATAGCCGCCGATATTGAGGCGTCTCATCGCGAAGAGGAGGCGGTAACCCAGCCAGTGATGAAGCAGCCGAAGAAGCGCTTCGTAGGCAGAAGAACTGCGGCCGAGGCCGCTGCGAGGAACGGAGGCTCAAACGGATCTATCGAGGATAGCAACTCCATTCAAGGTCAGGCTGCCCTTCCCTGTTTTTCCCGGGCTCGCTTTTCACAGGACGGAGTGATTATATGCTCATACCCACCTCATAGTGGCACAGCCAAAGAGAGGCCCTCGTCTTCTGAACCAAGTTCCTCCAGATATTCTTAACGACCCGGCACTCAAGTCTGCTATTTCCATTCTCCCCTCGAACTACAGCTTCGAGATCCCCAAGACAATCCACCGCATCCGCTCCTCTGGCGCCAAGAAGGTCGCCCTCCAGATGCCCGAGGGCCTCCTCCTCTTCGCCACGACAATCTCGGACATCCTCACCGAGTTCTGTCCAGGTATCGAGACGTTGATCATGGGAGACGTCACCTATGGCGCCTGTTGTATAGACGACTATACCGCCCGTGCCATGGGCTGCGACCTTCTGGTGCACTATGCCCACAGCTGCCTCATCCCCGTCGACGTCACCAAGATCAAGACGCTCTACGTGTTCGTCGACATCAGTATCGACACTTCGCACCTCCTCGCATCGCTCGAGCGCAACTTCGCCTCGGGCAAGACCATCGCCATTGTTGGCACCATCCAGTTCAACGCCACAATCCACGGGGTCCGTGGCACCCTAGAGAAGGCGGGCTTCAAGGTCCTCGTGCCGCAGATCGCGCCGCTGAGCAAGGGCGAGATCCTGGGCTGCACGAGCCCGCAGCTCAAGGACGACGATAAGGTCGACATGATCCTGTACCTCGGCGACGGCCGCTTCCACCTTGAGAGCATCATGATCCACAACCCGAGCATACCTGCCTACCGCTACGACCCGTACTCGCGCAAACTGACGCGCGAGACGTACGGCCACGACGAGATGCAGGACCTGCGGCGGACGGCAATTCGGACGGCCAAAACGGCGCGGAAATGGGGTCTCATCCTCGGCTCGCTGGGCCGCCAGGGGAACCCGCATACGATGGGGCTCATCGAGAAGCGTCTCAAGGAGCGCGGGATTCCCTGGGTGAACCTGTTACTGAGCGAGATTTTCCCGGGGAAGTTGGCCATGATGGGCGATGTGGAGTGCTGGGTGCAAGTTGCTTGCCCGCGGTTGAGCATCGATTGGGGGTACGCTTTCCCGCGGCCGTTGCTGACGCCATACGAAGCACTCGTTGCACTCGAGGTCAGAGATGACTGGGGTAAGGGGGTGTATCCCATGGACTACTACGGAAAGGATGGTCTGGGGCGGACGAAGCCAGCTCAGCTGGAGGCCAATGCTTGAGGACAGCGTTTTGAAGGGTCTTACTGGCGATCACAAGTTTACGAAGACACATGGGAGCACGCAATGATACCATACTCGAACGAGTACAAAATTCGTCGAATTCACACATACATGCCCCGCCGTGAGAGCCTGTTGAGTCCGTAGGTTCCTCGGCTCGGCAACATCTCGAGTTTATCATCATGATTACGACACAATGTTCACCATAGCTCACCACTGTATTTCTTGGCATAACTATAGCTCGTGATTTCATAGACTCGAGGGTTCAGCATCCAGAGCCGAAAGCAGGCAAAGTCCGCTATGCATCCAAGCTTAAGGGACACGCCAGGCGTCCAACCCTACGGGACTGTCCAGCCTTTACGGCGAAGAATAGCCCCCCTCGCGCGGACCAGCCGGGACGCTGCAAGTACAGCACATACGAAGGTGCTCGCTACACAGGGATGGCGGATTCAAAAAGCGGGAAACAGGCTTACATGGAGGTGTAGTTACGGCTGGGCGCTGTTACACAAGTGCTCATCCCCGGGATGCTGCAGCAGTCGCTACGCAGTACAGGGAGTGTCTGCCTTTGCCACCTTGGCGCGCCGGTATACGCGAATTTCTCAACACATGTCATCGGTTGCGTACCTTGGAGGGTGAGGTCGAGAGCTGTTTGTTCCCATTTTGGTCGTCGCTATAAGCCCATGCAGCTGACAAAGACACGTCCGAAGATAAGCATATAATGGACCAGTGGAGGATGCTTACGTTGGATTTAACTATACGCCGCTTACATGGGAAAAGAACTATGTAAGGCTGACTCCCGCCGGCAAGGTAGAGAGACAGCTGGGTCGATCGGCCTTTTCTCCAGTGCACAGCATCCTGGACCTTGACAAGAGTCGCCGTCGCTGTTTGACTTTGTCAATCTAACTCCGATGCTCCTCTTCAAGCTGCCAGAACAAAGCTGTTGGAGATGCATTGGTTCGATGCTTGTCGGCGGACACAAGAACGGCTCCTTGCCTATGTATTTGCACGTAATTGGTTTGCAGTTGTTGATCCCTGATGATTCCGCCACGTCCGAGGTCCCGGATGGTCACCTGGACCGGAGTTGAAGTGCCAAGGCTCCACTGATGCCAAACTTGGGGGCAATGAGATGCAGCTCTTGCAAGGGGGACACATCAGCCTTGGGTTTCTTGACTCAGTACCTAAATAAAATGCCATGCCAGCTACATATGGGCCAAGAACAAAATTCAGACAAGAGTCGCCGTCGCTGTTGTACTTTGTCAAACAATCCTTACCGTCACTTTCCGACGAAGGATGGCCCGAAAAGGCAAATGCAAGGTGAGGACCGGGTGTTTTACTTGCAAGTAAGTTCACGCAGTGATGTCACGGTTGATTCGTCATCCCCCCCCCCCCCTGACTCTGGCAAAATCGATAGAATTCGCAGGGTCAAGTGCGACGAGGCCAAACCGGACTGCCTCCGATGTTCGAAAACCGGCCGCGTTTGCGATGGCTATCCGGACCCGGCCAAGCCCATTTCTCTTCAGCTCCAGCTGCTGAAGCCGCTGAGCCTGTTCCCGGAGACCGGCATGCAGGAGAGCAGGGCGCTGGAGTACTTTTGCAACATGGTTAGCCCGAACCTGCCCGGCGCCACCGACCCTTACTTCTGGACGCACCTCGTCGTGCAGTTTAGCCGGTACGAACCCGCGGTCCGGCACTCCATCATCGCCATCAGCTCCCTCTACGAAGACATCGTCCGGGAGGAGGACAGCCCGCTCGGATCGCTGGCCCATCGGCGTCGGAACAATATTATCATCCTGCGGCATTACAACGCCGCGATCAAGGAGCTCAAGGAAATGCAGAATCCGGGCCTGGTCCTGCTGGTCTGCATCCTTTTTATCTGCTTAGAAGTTTTACAAGGCAACCGGGATGCGGCCTTACGCCACTGCACCCACGGCATTGCCATTCTCGCCGGTCCCGAGCCTTCGTCGCTAAATTGGGTGAGAGAGTACCTGATGCCGCTGTTCCGCCGCTTGACTACACTGCCATTCTTTTTCAAGTCCGAAGAGGCGGACAGGCTCGACTTGGACTTGGCCATCTCACGCTACACGCCGCCGTCGTCCTTCTCAAATCAGTCTGAAGCAGCGTATATGATGGACGACATTATGAACCAAGTGATGCTAATCATCCGGCAAGGCTTCTCAGTCCACATAGGACCCAGTCATTACGAGCCGATCTCGCCTCATCTATTGAAGGAGCAAGACAGGATTCTATGCCTAACGAGACAGTGGTACGCTATGTTGATGGACCTTGAAGCCAGGTGCAAGGTGCAGAAAACCAGTGTGGCGAGGGCGCTCATGTTGGCCAAGTACCGCGTCGCCCTCATGTGGGGCTCCGAGGCCTTTTCCCGCGACGAATTTGGCTACGACGACTACGGGGACGAGTTCCGCAGCATTTTAGACGACGCAGAGGAGGCGGTAGCCTTTCAAAAGGAAGGGGGCCTCAAACCGAGACCCTCATTCGAGATGGGCTTTATACCACTGCTCTTCTTCTGCGCCCATCGGTGCAGAGTACTGCATTTGAGGCTGAAGGCCCTGAGACTGATGAGGACCCTTGTGGCACCTCGGGAGAGTCTCTGGGAGAGGGAAGGAATGTGTGCCTTGGCACGACTGATCATCGAGGTCGAGCACGGTCTGGCTCTGGACGACAAAGGTCGGCCCCGTCCGGGGGCAGTGCCAGTATATTCCATTCCAGAGTATACGAGAGTGCTGCATTTCTGTCCCGGGGATGCGGACGAGTACGATGAGACGTTTTTCGGCCATGGGCCGCGCCATTCCAGAGTCGTGCTGTTCATGAGGAATCGTAGTGGCGATATGTACCTGCGCCTGGAGGTCCTGGGTGAAGTGTCGACTCCTCCAGTTACTGTGGGTGAAGGCCGTGCTGAGAACATCACTTTATGTCGTGGAGTGCGGAGCTAATCTGTGATTCGGACAGCGCGAACCGTGCCTTCATTTTGTGCCAGCCAAATTATTTCCCGTCTCGTACGTTGCCTGCGCTTCTCGAACGAGGCCAGGCTGCACTGGCACTGATGTGGAAATTGACGACCAGAGCTAGTATGAGATGGATACCCGGAAGCATATTCCAATCTAAAAGCAAACGTTTGGGAAGAAACACGGAATCCTTATAGAACATGTAGGCACTGTCACGGCGTTTTCCATCTGCCAGAGAAGCCACTTTTACGTATTGCAGTATTCAATTACGATGCCATACACGTAGCCAGCGGCCAAGTTGGACTCGGTTCTTATAAAGGTTGAAGCAATCTTGTCGGCGACCAGCTGACCCACTGGTCGACCACCACTGGTTACGAGGCTGTCTCCCGCAGGACACAAGGGCCTTAAATCTAGAAGAGCTTCTTGCTCTTGCCAGAGTCCAGAGTCCGTCTCCTCCTGCACGGCGCAGCAGTCTTGTTCTTCAACGCCTCGAGCACACCGTAGTAGGCAGGGTGCTTGCTGAAGTCGTCAAACCAGAGAAGGGCGGCGCCTTCACCTTCAAAGACGTAAGGAACCCAGCTGAAGGCGTCGTAGAAGTCCCAGATAGTAACACCGATGCAGGCAGATACCTGAACGCAGGCACCGACAGCCTATTACACGTGACGGTTAGCACCTTCGAAAGGAAGTTGAGGAGGGCAGTGCCTCGGATCACTTACGTTCTTGTAAGCCTCCTTCTGCCACTCGAGGTTCGTCTCGTTGACAGGGAGCTCAATGCGGACATCCAGCTCCGTCAGGGCAACCTCCACACCAAGCTCGGCGTACGATCGAATGACGGCAATTTGTTGGTCCAGACTCGGCGCGCGATGGGCAACCAGGTGGGCCTGCATGCCGACACCGTCGACCCGGAGACCATCATCTTGGAGCAGCTTGACGATGCGCCTGGCGCCCTCGCTCTTGGGGCCGATGGACTCAAGGTTGTAGTCGTTGTAGTACAGCTTCGCCGCCGGGTCGACCTCGGCCGCAGTGCGGAAGGCCAGCTTGAGGTACTCCTCGCCGAGAACGTTGTAAAAGACGGACTCGCGGTAGGTACCGTCCTCGTTGAGGGCCTCGTTGACGACGTCCCAGGCGTAGCACTTGCCCTTGTAATGGCCAGCCACCTCATGGATGTGGCGGACAATTGCATCGGTAAGCGTCTCGGGTGTCCACTCCGTCGTCTCGACCCAGGGGGCAAGCTGGCTGTGCCAGACGAGGGCGTGGCAGCGAAGGAGCTGGCCGTTCTTCTCGGCGATGGAGGTGACGATGTCGCCCTCGGTGAAGTTGAAGACACCTGGCTCGGGTTCGGTGAAGAGCCACTGGAGACGAGATCAGCTTCGGGGCCAAGTAACAAAGGCAGCGAGTGCCGATAAAAACTCACCTTCTGGCCATTGGTCGGGGTTGTTTGGCCGAACTCATTGGTGTCGTCGAGGATGGCATCGTACTGCTCGTAGGATGCCTCCAGGCCGGCACGCTCACGCTGCCCTGGGGTGTCAGTTGCAGCACCGAAGTACAGCAGACCGGCTTTCTTCGCGTAGTAGTCGAGCTGAGCAGAGGCGAGAGGAAGAGACGCCGCCAGTAGGGGCACGGTGAGAGATTGGATATGCATCGTGACCGATTGTCCACAGGTTCCTGGCGACAGTTGAAAGGACCTATTTGTGCCCGAGATAGGAAGTGTGGGTGAGAACGGAGATCAACAAGAAAGTAATCCGCAAGGAGGGCAATTCAATTCATATATGCAAGGTCCCGGCCTCGATACTACCTCACCATCGCTACGTGCGAACTCCCAGCCGACGGGACGTGGGCCCATCTCCAGATGATCCAGCGCGATGAACCGAGCTAGCGCGCAAGGTACCACTCCGGGTGACGTCCTCGAAGTGAGGAGATTCCTGCGGCAAAAGCACAGCCAGAGTCTTGGGACCAAGGCCTGCAAGGCCAGGTAGCATCATGTTGGCTGGATGAATAGGACGAAGGTGAGGTTGGGGTAATGGAGGCTGGAAGAGATGACAAAGAAGGCGTTCGAACACCCGGGACAAACGAGGAGTTCGTCCGAAGGGTAACCAGCAGTTTCCTACTGGCGGTCGAATAAAAGCCAACAGCGTTGCCACGGCTAACGGCTTGCAGGGGTCGACGCCGGCATGGTGCTTCTCCATTTCTTGCTGGGGCGGAAAAGGAACTGTTCAATCAGGATGTCTGCGGATAAATTAAGCTTGTAATCGGGGTCACTTTAACCTAATAGCCTCTTCGGCTCTTCAAAGGCCCCCTCATGAGTTGGTGCGGAGATGTGGAGAATCCTTGAGCAGCACAATACGGCTTGTTGACTTGAGTGGACAATCTCACGACGATTATTTGTTGCCCAGATTTGCCAAGGCCGCCACCATCTTTTTCGGTAGAAAGCTGAAGGCGTCGTATACAGCTTCCTCAAAAGACAGTCGCTGACGAGGATCACTGGAAAGCAATTGCAAGGGGACCAAGCGGTTAGTTACGCTACCAATGCAAAAACCCTTGAATGAGAATGGCTCTCGGTGTCTGGATTGTAGAATCCTGGCGTACAAGCTATGGCAGACGAGCTATGCCAACAGCCTCTCCTCGGCCAAAGTATATCCCCAAACTGTGGGACGAGGCCTGACGGCGGAATGATGCAAAAAAACTACAATAATCTGGTGGAAGAGGTCCAGATATGTGGCCCGTTGATGCGATCCAAGTCTGAGCCGCCTCGTAGGGTCGAAGCCTCGGCACGAAGTGTGCAGCTATGCTCTGGATGTCTGATGAGTGAAGTGTCGGATATTTAGAAGGGTATGCCTTCTTAGTGACGAGGGAAAGCTAATATTCTTCTGAGCCGGGTATCACTAGGCACCTTTCCAAGCAGAACCTTTGCGTGCTGATTACGGTATCGATGATTTCTTTATCGATATTTCCTGTCCACACCCCCAAATTGCAATGAAACAGATTGCTTAATGACCTGGGGGAGTTGAGAATGAACAAGGTTGTTAGGCAACGCTTTCGGAGTCTCTTTATCCGTAATGTATAGAAAGCATACTCTGCAATTTTTCAGAGAGGCAGCCCTGAAAAGATGATGTGACTGTGTCGAGTTTGGCCGAGTGTTGTAACCTAGTGGTCAGTCGGCTTATACTGATGCTGCATGGATCGAGGTTCGTAGGCATGGTCCAAGGGGCGATAAACGAGTGCTAGTAGTGATGCTATAATGGAAAGTCGCCAATGCCAAGTATGACAGTAACGTGGGTTTGGTATCATGGAATGTTGAGGCTCTTAGATCCGTGTACTCTTGCACCGATGGGGAGGACAGGTGCCTCTTGATTTTGGTCGTTGATCAGTGAACGCCACGGCGTACCCGAGCCAGGATGGACGGCACGCTCCCCTACGAGGCCTCCGTGCTAACAGGCTCAGGTCGGTTTCCGAACATAATTTTATACTTGACGATCTCGGCGACTTCGAGCTCCTCCTCTTTCTCACCATCCTTGCCGGTAGTCGTCTGTCCCCTCCGCCGAATGATAGCCATGGCCTTGGGGAGCTTCTTGACTTCGCCGTGAAGCCTCTGGTGCTGGCCAACGTAAAGGAAGACGCGCTTCATCCATGCCGTACTGCCGTCCTCTTGGGTGTCTGGGCGATAGTCAGGGAAGACGACTTTCCCAATGGGAACCTCCGGCCCAGATTGGCTGTTGTCTTCGTTGAAAGTGACTTGGGGCAGGTTGATGGTTCCCTGCATCTCGAGCAGTGCAAGCCCGGAGGGTGTCGTGATAAGGGGAGGTAGTGGGCTGTCTGAGGCTGGGGGTGCTTTCCTGGGGGGATAAATATTGACAGAAGCCATAACGTTTAACTGAGCCCGAATAGGTACGTAATGGAGAGCGCGTGGGAAGTGGAAAAGTAGCCTTAAAGCTTTGGAGGGTACATTATAACCGGTATGAACCACAAAAAGGTGGCACCCATATGACAATTGTAGATAGACACCTACAGATAGGACTGGAGCAGAGGTACGTACCCTAAGCCGTTGGCGTTCCTGGAGAGGGAGCAGCAAGGCACGTGAGCTGATGGGCTTCGGGCCCCAGCAACGAAAAAGCAGCGAACAAAACGAGCCAGTCGGTAGTACATTTGGCCGACATCTTTTAGACCAACGGGTTTTGATTGGCCAGATATGGGTTTTTCGCACGCCAGTCCCAAGCAACCCTAGGCACACAAATCCATATCTCGAAATTTGGTGTTTTTTCCTTCTCTTCCCACCCACTGAACATTTCCACGCCCAACGCCCAGCCGCAGTCGACAACTCTTGCACCACCCAACGCCGGCAAGATGAAGGTACGAAATTATCCCCAACTATGAGCATAGCGATGGATTTTGAAAGGCTTTACGTCAATGCGATTCTTTGAATGCTGCCGCTGCCACTCGGTTGGAAAATTTCGGCGGGGGAATTTTTAAGGCTGACAATTTTGACAGTTGAACATCTCCTACCCTGCCAATGGCAGCCAGAAGCTCATCGACATTGAGGATGAGCGCAAGCTCCGTGTCTTCATGGAGAAGCGCGTACGTTCACCCTAGACCCGTTCGCCGGAGACGAGAGATGCACGAACAACGAGATCCTCGAACCGATGGCGACCTGATTTTCTTCTTCGATATCGAGGCACGAACAAGATACTGACAACTTGGGCTAGATGGGCGCTGAGGTCCCCGGTGACTCTGTCGGCGACGAGTTCAAGGGCTACATCTTCCGCATCACCGGCGGCAACGACAAGCAGGGTTTCCCGATGAAGCAGGGTGTTATGCACCCTACCCGTGTCCGTCTCCTCCTCTCCGAGGGCCACTCCTGCTACCGCCCCCGCCGCACCGGTGAGCGCAAGCGCAAGTCCGTCCGTGGCTGCATCGTCGGCATGGATCTCTCCGTCCTTGCCCTCTCCATCGTCAAGCAGGGCGAGAACGACATCCCCGGCCTCACCGACGTCGTCCACCCCAAGCGCCTTGGCCCCAAGCGCGCTACCAAGATTCGCAAGTTCTTCGGCCTCACCAAGGATGACGATGTATGTGTGCTCCCTGTTGCGATGCACCCCAACAGCCACTTCGTCATCGCCTACCTGGTGCTGCGACGTAGGAACACCGAGCAGATCAGGTAGAGTGTGAGAGAAGGGACCGTGTTTCCCCTCTTTGCCCTTTTTCGTCAGACTTATTTGTTGAAGCCTTGATTCAAGTGCGCCAGATGAGACGTAACAAGGAAAGAGAGGGGTAATGCGTGCCAGGCTATATGTGAAGAACCAAAACATGAAGCGACCGCAGTGGCTAATACGGCAATCTTGCTGCAATCAATAGGTCCGCAAGTATGTCATTCGCCGCGAGGTTCAGCCCAAGGGCGAGGGCAAGAAGCCTTACACCAAGGCTCCCAAGATCCAGAGACTCGTCACCCCCCAGCGTCTCCAGCACAAGCGTCACCGTCTTGCCCTCAAGCGCCGCCAGGCCGAGAAGGTCAAGGACGAGGCCGTACGTTCCCTTCCCCCCTGCCAACTGAAAGCCCGAACCCTTGATGCTAATTCTTTGAATCAGAACGAATACGCCCAAATCCTTGCCAAGCGCGTCGCCGAGCGCAAGAGCGAGAAGGCCGAGCTCCGCAAGCGCCGTGCTTCTTCCATGCGCAAGTAAGCGTTTTAGCTCGCTGGCGTCTTTTGGGGTGGAAAATGAAAAAAGTGAAAGATTATTCCGGGTCTTCTGGTTTTCTTGCATTACGAGGCGTGGACGGGATTACAAGGGTGGAACTGGGTCAAAAACTCACCAGTCTTCAGTCATCACGAATGTAATAGGGCATTCAAAATGGAAATGCATCCTTGACGCGCGAATACCACCAGCAATTTGTTTATGATGACCTTTTATTATTCAAAATCTATGAACCGACATGCAAGCTGCGTGGACGCCCTTTCTGTGATACAGCCCGTAGGTACGGTCACTTCCATATATCTCCAGTCAAAAACTTAGTGAGACGACGCTCTCGACTTGCTTGCCCCACTCTTTAGCCTAGGGCTGAGAGGATCTGGGTTTTCCTTCCACCTCTCTGGCGGAGACACTGCCATCAGTCCAGGCCCGACTGGACCCTGTAAATCTGTGGAGGGCACTAGGTATGGCACGTGTGGCTGGCAAGTTGGTCACCCCGTCGTGAAGCTGTCACGACCTTCGCGGTAGGTTCATCAGAGCTATCATCACCGTTCAGCGTGGCTCGCCCGCAAACCCACCCGATCTTACCGATCTTATTCAACAGTACTATCCTCGCCGCTAAGTCTATCGCCAACGTTCCAGCCCAAAGGCCGCGCGCTATGGTTGAGGTGAAGTCAGATTTGGCAGTTGCTGCGTCAAGACATTTGAGATGTGGCACATGTTAGAGGTGCTGCGCATTGGGGCTTTACGTAACGTGATATTATTATACATGTACTGGGTGAAATGCACTAGACCGCTTTATGGGGGTTTAGAGCGACTATATCCATCAGCAATTGCTGCAGGTCTAATTGACCGGAGTGTCCAATTTTCAGTCTTACACTAAGCATTGCCTGGGGATTTCGAGGTGTCTGGTTCGTATACTCAACAAGTCACAGGAAGCTTTGTGACTACTCTCTTAGCTTTCAATTCGATTCTTCTATATTTTCTGACCAACACCGTTGCACACCAGTTTGGGGCTGTAGGATTTATGGCCTGGGCGATGGAGGCAGACACACGGAACCCCTCCCATGTCCGAGGCGGTCTCCACATATTATTTCTTAACCTCTCAGCGATCGCGGAACAATGACGGTGCTAAAGTTTTTTTTTTTTTCTTTTCCTTCCTTCTCTCCTGTTTCCGGTACCAGCCGCTGCAAGTACACGTGAATATACTACGAGTGGACAAGGGCGACTCTTTTCGCAGCAACCGCGATTTTCGCTTCTATCCGTACACCCTGACAACTCATTTTGTCTTACTTCTCTCGGCCGAGCCACTTATCACACCAAAACTACCGACAGATTCCCGACCGCATTGTGTGTGACTGACCGATAGCTATACCCCTCCATCGTGACCCCGCGCTACAATTCGATTCGCCCAAGCAACCCGACCGTACCTTACCTAGCCTGCCGTAGCAGCCCTTTATACTCGGCCGATCTCCCCTCCCCGAATACTTCCCTCTTCTTCTTTTCTTCCCCTAGTCGTCATACAACGACCGTCCTCATGGGGGATATGACGAACGACATCAAGCTCCTCAAGGGCAGCAGCCATGGGGAATTGTCCGAGAAGGTCGCTCAGCGGTACGCTTAGCCACGAAGATGGACGGATTGCTTCTTCTGTCTCTTCCGTTTTTCCCCCCAACCCCTTTCTACTCTACCTTAGCTCCGGATGAAAAGCAACGAATGGTGCTGACGCGCGAATGCGCCGCTTGCAGACTGGGCATTCCCCTCGCGAAAACCATGAGGTAAGTTTGCTTCTCAAGATTCTGCACATTCTTCCGGCGCACCCACGCGAGGTTTCGATTGACTGACCGCTTTGCGCAATCCCAGCCTGAACTACTCGAACCAGGAAACCAGGTAAACGAACAACCCGCCCAGCCCAACAGGGCTCTGAATGTTGAGTGCCCGTTATACTGACTTATCTACGGTGTCACTATTGGCGAGAGCGTCCGTGACGAGGATGTCTTTATCGTACAATCTAGCGAGCCTGGCAACATTAATGACGGCCTCATGGAGCTACTCATCATGGTCCACGCTTGCAGAACTGCTTCTGCTCGTCGCATTACCGCCGTCATTCGTTGGTCACCCCGTCTCCCCGGACGAGTTATACGGAATCGCTACATCGAGAAAGAGCGCTTGCTGACAGAATGCAGCTTGCTTTCCCTACGCTCGACAGGACAAGAAGGATAAGAGTCGTGCCCCGATCAGTGCAAAGCTCGTCGCGAACATGCTGCAGGTTTCCGGTTGCGTAAGTCTATCGCACGAGGAAGGACGGAGAAATAACAAAAGACGATAATCGGCTGACAAGCGCACGACCAGAACCACGTAATCACGATGGACCTCCACGCCTCGCAGATTCAGGGTTTCTTCAACATCCCCGTCGACAACCTTTACGCTGAGCCGAGTGTTCTGCAGTGGATTCGATCCAACATGAACGTTGACGACTGCGTTATCGTCAGTCCCGATGCAGGCGGCGCCAAGCGTGCCACTGGTATTGCCGATCGCTTAGAGACCGGCTTCGCGCTCATCCACAAGGAGCGCCCGCGCCCTAACGTTGTCGGCCGCATGATTCTTGTCGGCGATGTTACGGACAAGATTGCCATTCTGGTAGACGATATGGCCGACACCTGTGGCACCCTCGCGAAGTTCGTATACACTGCGGCAAAGAAACAGGAAGCACTGCTAACGATTCGAACAGGGCTGCCGAGACTCTCGAGACTGGTGGTGCTCGTGAGGGTACGTTTTCACCTGTGATGTACGACCTCAGAAGCCCATGCTAATCTCATTTCTAGTCATCGCCATCGTCACCCACGGTGTGCTGAGCGGCAACGCAGTTGAGACGCTGAACAAGAGCTGTCTGTCTCGTGTCGTCGTCACCAACACGGTGCCTCTTGGAGACAAGATCGAGCGCTGCCCCAAGCTGCGCGTCATCGACATCAGCCAGGTCCTGGGCGAGGCTATCCGGCGCACCCACAACGGTGAGAGTGTTAGCTACCTCTTCAACCACGTGCCGGTCTAGAGGATTGTTGCTTCAATTTTGCGTTAGTTTCGGCCAAGGGTTGCATATGGCATGGCATGGGTCCCTTATTTTTCATTTTCAGGGAGGCGTACTACGGTAAAATAAAAAACGGCATTAAGGGTTTTTTACAAACAGGCACCACCGCTATATAAAAAGAGAATCTCATGCAGGTAAGACGTTCAGTAATGCAGAACAAAATACCCTTCTGTATGGCTTGTCTTTGTGGTTTTTCTGCATTACGTGAGGAGGGTTGGGAGGAGAGGGTTGGGTACTGCTCGTCCACTTGGTATAAGGCTTCCTCTAAAGATTTACGAAGGTATGACGAGCACGAGGCGTTCAGGAGCCGACTTTGCCACCAAGATCGTCGAAAACCTGGCGTCTTGATTCACATAAGCGACAGATGTACCGGAGATAGCTTCACTCGCCAGCAGCAGCAATTTATTACTACCTGATGACCAATTATGGAATTGACTCCTCGGAATCAACCGAAGCGGTTTATTGCCAAGAAATGAGCAGCCTTGAGCCAACCCAACAACCATGGCCTCTGGATGAGACGGCGTGAAGTTCTATCATCTTTTCAAAAGATACTTGTCTTATTCACTGATCCGCTGTTATTGGCATGCCGTCTGATAGGCTTCTTGTTAGGTACTCTACATACTGGGCTACTTGCAGGATGAACAACAGGTTATGGCTCTAAGCGGCCTGCACTCCGCCAAGAACCGAACCAGTGTCATCTCGTGTTGAACTGCCCGAACACCCGGAAAAAAAGAAGAAAGAGAAAAAAGAAGCTACAAACGAATTCAGACCTAGGCCTCTTCAGTCTGAACCGCAGCCGCAAAGACTGCCATATGTACACGTGGTCCGGCATCTGTTAAAGATGCACTTCCACTCGAACATCACAAGTCATACATCCACCCAATTGTCGTGTCCCGTGTCGCCTGCCCTCCGTAATGCAAATGCTGACAAACTGCAAAGCCATGTATCTATGTGTGCGCGCTCCCATCTTATGCAAAGCCGAAGTAGTCGCTTCCCGCTGTGATGGCCTTCATGAGCTGCTGGCGAAGCATCTCATAACTCTCGTACTCAGGGAGGTCAAGTTCTGCATCGATACGTTAGCTCGAGCGCCGCTGAGTGTACAAGAGGACAACTTACGGTTGAAGCATGTGTGCGAACTGGGAAGGCGCTCCTTGTTGCCATAGTCTCGATGAATGTTGAAGCGGTTGACGCCGTTCATACCCTCGAGCTCTTTGAATCCGTTCAGCGGCACCTTACTGGTTCCCGTGACGAACTGTAAAAGCTTGGCTCGCTCTTCCTTGTCAAACGAGCGGACCGCTCGCCAAAACCACTGGATCTGTGGTGATGACGGAGTGTAGTTGTGGTATTCTGTGTTGCTCTTCCAGTCGTCAACGTCGATGTCGGGCAAGCCTGAGATCAGAAGCTCGAGCTCCTGCTCGTTGAAGATGGAGATGAGATCTGCAGGGATGATATCATGGAATCCTGATATCATTGTTAGCAAAGCAGCCCAGTTCCCATCATGACTATCTTGACTTACCCTTGAGGAAGTGTTCCATCTGCTCCTTAACAGACGACAAAAGCTTGTGTTCCACAACCAAGCGCACATAGTCGTGCTTGTTCTCCTCGGTGACGGCAATGTCGCGGCCGTTGGGACACAGATCGACAGTCCGGGTGACGCCGAACTCGTCGTCCTCAACTGAGAAGGTTTCGGTGATGATGTCCGTGATGTCGTTGTCGAGCATCCAGACAAGAGACTTGTAGTAGTCCGGGTCGAAGGATTCCATGTCCTTGACGGAGACAGACTTGCCGAGGATGCGCTTGTAGACGGCACGGCTGAAGTAGCAGTCAAGCACACGGCCTTCGTACAGGGCCTTGCCGATGATACGTCCAATGAACTTGAAGAACATCAGGTGCTCGTCGTTGATGCCGCTCAGCTTATTGGGGTGGAAAGTCGTACGGTCAGAGGAGACTGGGATGAATAGGGCGTAGTTGGCATCGAACATCTGTCTCGACAGAACCTGGAACCACTCGCGCGTCACGCCTCCAGCATCCACGCCCTCCTCATTGTGGAAGCGAATGTTTAGCTTGCCATACTTCATCTCGTCGCCAGTCTTGTAGTAAAGGTGCTTGAAGGAGTCGTGGAAGACATGCTCGCGACGAACTGCGAGTTGTAAAGCCGGGAACGACGGTCGTTGGTTGTTGCTGGAACGGCTATGCACGCTGCGGTTGAAGTAGTTACGCTTGTTATCGAACTCGAGCACCTTAGGGTTCTTTACGAGAAGTGCAAAAGTTCCAGACATGAGCTTAGGGCTGTTGCGGACCAGCTCATTCAGGATTCGCCGGTGTTCCTCGGTGAAGGTGAAAAAGAGACCTGCCATGCGGTTCTCTGGCGGTGGGCTTGACAGCAGCATCTCTTTGCTTGTTTGATTGACGGCTTGTGGATCATCGTTCATAGCGGTGTTCTTGCAGACAACCATAAGGGACTCGATCAGAGGCAACAGGATCGTGGCCACATTGACCATGCTCTCTCTCTCACGGATCGCGCTGAGACAGCCACTCAACTTCTCCCACATCGTAGAAAAGGTTGAGTTGTGGTAGAGGGACGTGACGAGATCCTGCTTTTCGTTGACGTTCGTCTCCGCCTCTTCGTCCGCCTTATCGTTCTTCTTTTTATTGTCGAACAAGTGATCCAGCGCGGTTAAAACGCGTAGCAGCTTGTTCTGCTCGGAAGCACCTGGTGAGAACTTGGCAAGCGCAACGCCTTGTATCTCGGTCCCAGAAGTAGCCTTCTCAATGTGAGGAAGAAGCTCATCAAGGTCTGCCACGATGTTCTCGCTCAGAACACGGGCTTGGCGAACAAGCTCCTGTCCAAACGTGGCCTTGGCACCGGGAATGGCGGACAGATTCTTGATGGCCGAGATGGTGTTTTGGAAAGTCTTGGAGCTGCACTCGCGGGCAACAAAAATCTTGATAACAAGCGTGAGGTTGTGCGGCGGGATGACGGGAACCTGCATTTGCCGCGGTGCTTTCTGGCTCACATCTGGCTTGTCGGCGTTTTTGGTGTTCTCAGATTGAGTGGCAGACTCAGCTCCGGGAGGCTTGGAATCCCCGTTGTCAGTATTGACACTAGTATCGGCAGTCGTAATCTCAGAAACCTCGTGGTTTGGCGGGTGGCCAGCTGCAGTCAAAGCTTCGCCAGCCTCAGCGGCATTCTCCGCGGCTTTCTTCTTTGCTTCCCGAGCGGCCTTCTCCAAAGCCTCGCGGCGGCGTCGTTCCATGGTTGCCAGCGGTACAGTAATCTTGTTGAGCAGGTCGGCCAGGTACGCCATGACGACTGAGCTCTCCATTACCAAGTCTCGGTCGAGCAGAGTCAGCAGAGAGTTGATCGCGTACTTGTGGGCTTTGGAGTCCTTGGCCTTGCCCTTGCGACTGAGCGTGCGCTTGAGAGAAGACCCTACCACCTCATGTTCTGTTAGGAAAAGCATCGGAATGTGGGGGTTCTTCGTAGACAGATCCTGCAATAAGTCCAGGCACTGGTGAACCACCATCAGTGGCGATATTTCGGAGTTGGATTGTTGTTGTCCAGAGGTGCTCAGCGACGTCAGAGTTCGCTTAAGATTCTGGGGGGTCTTCGGGTCCGCATCCTTGTCCTTTGGTTTCTTGGCTTTGAGGGAGAGCTGGCTGAAACTGCGTTCAACAGCGTCCATGTCTGCGCTTCCCTCTTGCAGAATTAACAGGATGGTGCTGATGACCTCGAGTCGGTTTTGCCGGTTTTCACAGACATCGGCGAGGACGCTGAAAAGGTAGTTGCGGATGGAGCCGATCTGGGCGATAAACATGAGACGCAGAAGAGTGGCGACACCAGCCTTGTCCAGCATCTGAACCACAGTCCGTCGCTGGACCTTGTTCTCGGCGCTCTCTCCAGACTCAGCCGGCGGCGCACCGGGTCGCCGAGCAGCTACAGGCGGGCTTCTGCCTGTGACAGCAGGATGAACGCCGTGTTGCTGGGCGAGGAGGCGGGCTTGGGCAGCCATTTCGGGCGGCAAGTGATCCATTATGTCCTCTCCCTGGTCCATGAGCACCTGCTGGCGCAACTCAGGAGGGAATGTCAACAGAATGCTTGCCGGGTCCATATCAACCGCAATCTGATCCTGGCCTGCGGTCACTACCTGGCGGCGCTGCTCATCCCGCTCCCGCCGACGCGCTTCTTGACGTTCTTGCTGAACGATCTCCAGTCGCAGATCTTCGGGCAGAGCGTCCAGAAACTCTTGGAAAACCTCACCTTGCTCGCCGGTGGCAGATTCGTCCCGGGCCTGCGAGCGTCGTGTGCTGACGGTTTGCGCAATGACCTCTTCCCTGAACTCCTCGGGGAGAGCAGCAAGGTACTCAGGATCGATGCCAAGCTCGGTGACATCTACTTCCTCACCCCGAATCGTTGTCAACACACGGCTGCCATCATCCGCCGTATCCTCAGAGGGGGGTGCAGAAGCCTCTTGCGTTTCGACGCCTTCCATGGCTTGGGGAGCGGCGGCCGCTTCTGACCGGTTTGTTTGGACAGACGCCACATCGCGCTCGCCGGTAGCGGCAGCAGCTTCGGCAGCCACACGCTCCTGCTCTTCGCGCTCTTCGGCTTCTTGCCTTTCACGAAGAACCTTCTCTTCAGCTTCCTTTGCTGCCTTTTCTCGTCTTGCTTGTTCTTGCTGCTGCTCGAACTTCTTGCGCTCCTCTTCTCGGACCTTGCGCCGCTCCTCTTCTTCGGCCTTGAGCTTCTTCTCGAACTCCATGGCGGGGGGGACCAGCTTCGAAAGAATAATGTTGACAAGCTTCTGGGCTTTCTCGACGAAGTGGGCACCACCAAATACCATCCGAGCCTCTTCCTGGTAACGTTCGAATGTTGTCTCGGGGGTAAAGGCAACGGCTTGTTGCGGCTCATGGTATGTGGTTTCGCGGCGATTATCCGTTCTGGAATCACGGGGTGCAACGTGGTACTCCCTAACCTCGCCACGTCCATTTTGGGTGATAGACAGGTGAACTGCAGACTGACCATGGCGCATAACCGGCAGAGATGCAACCAAATCGTTCAGAATGGCGATGGGGCTGTTGGAAAGATGCTGTCCGGCAGGACCGAAAATATCAGGAGGTAGTCGCAGGCCAATCATACCGGAACCAGGGGCAGGGCGAGGGGACGCCTCGCGACCCTGGCCGTTCCGGCGCAAGAGAGGGTTGACGCCATCGTCGGCACTGTTCGGCGCGGCATTGGGTCTGTGTCGGGGGGAGAAATAGCTTCGGAAGTCGCCTAGGGGATCACGACCACCACCGACCATGAATCCTGGAGGGAAGGGGCTACGGTGTCCATGACGGTGACGGTGAACCTGTTGAGGGCCGCCGAATGGCTCGACAACCAAGGTGTCCCATCCAAGGGCAGAAGGGAGGTTGGGGGGCGGGTGGTCATCTAGACGAGGAGTTAGCCATCGCGCCGAGATTGATGGTGATTTTTGCTTACGAGGATAGTCCTCATCATAGATGAGCTCGTCTTCTTCCATGTCCTCATCATCATCCTCGTCGTCTACAAGCACAGTCAGCGCAACCCAGGAATAGGAAGCGGTCTTCGTTCTCTTACCATCTTCATCACGGCCGTCGTCAATGTAATGATCTCCAAGGTCGTCCATGTCTTCGCCTTCGTAGTCTTCGGGGTCCATAACCGCTCGGGCCAGGTTGTCAATAATGTCGCCCGGCTCCATGCCATGCATGTGAGCCTCCTCGAGCTCCTGGGCTTCAGCCTCGTAATCGACGTCTTCGTCATCGTCGTCCTCTTCTTCATCCGACTCACTCTCCCAGTCCGACGCGCCATCATCCTCAATGGGATTGCCGTCTTCGTCAACGATCTCCTCCACGATATCAACATGGTCGTCCATGTCCTCCATATCGTCGGAATCCATCTCGTCATCTTCACTCAGTTCATCATCTTCGTCCATCTCGTCATCTTCGTCCATGATGACCTCGACGACACCTGGATCTCCATGAAGACCCTCGATCTCGCCCATTTCACCGAGCTCTTCATCTTCGTCGCTGACACCGCCTTCACCATCGTCAGACACGTCTTCGTCGCCATAGTCAAGTTCGTCGCCGTATTCATCATCGTACATCTCCTCGTCGTCATCTTCTACACATACATTAGTTATAGTTCAATATCAGTAGGGAACATTTGCCAACTTACCATCGTCCTCGTCAGACTCGTCATCACTTCCACGAGGCTCGAGCATTCCGAGAGTCGAGTTACGATAGAGATCAGGTGTCTCTTCTCGGTCATCATCCATGTCAGACATGGACGATGTTGAAATGATGTCGTCTTCCGTGTTTTCGGGAAGCGACGTCGAGGGAATCACTTGTGAGCGGCTCAATTCCTTGGCAGTATCTGTCAAGACACGAAGAACCCTGAGGACGTATTTGATAGCACGCTTAACACCGGCGTGGCTCAGGTCAACTTCAGCAATCGACGAAGTCAGCTTGTCGAGATAGCCCTTCTCGTACATCATCCTGCGCAACTGAGCGTACGACCGGCCTTGCGCAGAGTCGAGTGTGCGTTGAGACGTCGAATCCTTGTCCTTTTCTCCAATGATGTGGTTCATCAACTCAGCCAGGCACTGCATCTTGGGATAGCGGGTGTCTACAGGCTCTTCCGGAGTAGCCGCGCGCTCGTATGCTTTGAGAATGGTGTCCAAAACGAATTTGCGAACAAAAAGCAAATCGGGCTCATCATCGTATTCGAACCGATCTCGGTTCTTATCAATGACCCTTTCTCCAGTCTTGGCCACAAGCGCACCAAGAACTTGCTGAGCCTGAGCGGAGGTTGCAGCTTTCTTCTTAGACAAGATGCTGTCTCCGTTATCGCTAAGATTGCCTTGGCAGAGCAGATCGTGGATGAGGTAGTTCAGAACGTTTGACCGAGGCTTGACAGGCGTATTCGTCTGCATCGGTGCACTGCGCTTGAAGTTGATGAACTCGACCTTTGTCTGGTTGTAGCTTTGAAGGAGCTCGGCAAGGCAGTTGAGTAAGAAGCATCGGTAGATGAAGATAGGGTGATCCTCGGCCTTGAACACCGGTTTCGATGACTTCTTGTCCTTGTCCTTACCGTCGGCGGCATCCAGGGTCTCCGCTGCCCCATCCTTCGATCCAGCTTCTGTGGCGGTGGCGCCAGGCGATGCAGTGCTGTTGTGCTCCTTCGCCACTTGCAAAGGCTCCTTGTCGTCGACTTCCCGGTAGTTAAGTAATTCGCAGAGGAGGAAGTGGATGATGCCGTGGGGGTTTTCGACTACCGGTCGCTTCAATTCGGTCACCGGTTTCGGCGCATCTGCCATATCCTTGTCGCCTGTCTCCGTTGACTGCTTAACATCGTGAATCGACAGATCCTCTGTCGCTTGTACAGCCGGTTCAACGTCCTTGTCGGCAGGATTAGCCTTAGCTTCAGACTCGGATAGCTTCAGTGCCAGCTGATTGGCACGGCTGCTGCCCTCACTACCTGGAGTCCAGCGAGACAGCTTGGTCATTTCGTTGGTGACCTCGACGAAGAGATCTGGGGAACGCAGAGCAAGAGGGGCCATGTTGCGCAAGTACGTGGTGAGGTCCAGGTTCCTCTGGGTACGCTGAGGATTCTCAAACAAGTTGCGAATCTCAGCCCGCATGATTTGTTTGAGAGTCTCTTCGTCCTCAACGATATGTCTCAGAATAGCCATGATGCTTCCCGTCGTCTTGCTACCTTTCAGGCGTGCCGCACCCGCACCAGCGAGCTGCTTGGCCATGACAAACAGACGCTGAAGGTTCTTCTTTTCTCCGACCTTCTGTGCAACGGATGGCTTCCGCGTCAGGATGAGAATGACGCGAAGGACCGAGGTTGCGAGGGTCTCTTCTTTGCCGAGCACAGGAAGCAAACGAAGGATGGCTTCGAGAAGCTCGTTTCTTTGGTCATCCGACACGATCAGGTTGCGCTGAGGAAGCACGGGGGGGACAAAAGCCTCGTTGTCGGTGGCCGGAGGCTTCCACTGGGCTTCAAGGGGCTGCTCGTCGTATGACAAGAGCAGCTCGACAATCAAGAGAATGTAAGGGATCCAGGGAGGCAACTCTTCGGTCGATGTCGGAGGAACCTTGAGGCTAAGAAACGAAATGTACTCGTCCACCTTTTCTCTCAGAGTATCAATGTTGCACTTGAAGAAACTCTTGTCTTGCATCAGAAGTGCCAGCAGGTGGGCGTACGCAGCAATGCTGGTGCCGTTGGATTTCGAGTCACTGTCATCGAAGGACAGAGATGTCAGCGCGTTTGCTAGTGTCGCACCAACTTCGTCTCTAACTTCGTCATTTTGCTGGCGGAAAACCATGGCGCTGATGAGCTCCGAAATTTCAATGGCCGAATGCGGGTGTGCCCTGACAACGTCAAGGGATCGATCGATGAGGTTCTCTCGCAGCTTTGACCGTTCGTTGTCCAGATTCTCTTTGCTCGTCGGCTGATTCTCAGCCTGTGCCTGGTCTTCGGTAGTGGCCACTGGCGCAGAGGTAATGGCTCGAGCTTGAGCTTCCGCAACCCCGGCAGGGCTTTCATTGCCGCTGGCGCCCAACTCAGCAGGCGGCCTATCGCCAAGATCACCAAGCACAGCATCTCCAAGGAAACGATCCAACTCTGGTGTGGCAAGCTCGGGTGCCACATCAACTGCCATCGCATCAGCGTCAGTGGGAGCTGCAGGCGCAGACGCTTCGGCTTGACCCGAAGAGCCAGATGGCTCAGGACGCTCAGTGGTGAATGCATCTTCAGGGGGCACTGGGTTCCGTTGGCCAGCCTTGCCAGCCTTGTGGAGGCGGCTGTACTCCGTCGCAGATGGCTGATTGCCATTGGCCCTGAAGACAGCTTCACGGGCTAGCTCCAGGTCGGCGCCATCATCTTCAAGCTGAGAGATCAAGATATGGTGAGCCTGCCAGTTGAATGGGACCGGCGATTTCTTGAAAAGCTCAACGGCGGGCCTGTCTCGAGGAGATGGTTCGTGGTCACCCGCGGAGATGATCTTAAGGATTTCAATGACCTTGGCCACCGTCTCAGGCCGTAACTTTTCGATCAAAGCAGACTCCCAGGTCTCCCGGATGACCGGGAGAACAGCCATTCGCACATCCACAACAATCTGGTGAGAGATGGGGGCCTCTGGGCGTCTTTCGACTGAGCGAGGTAACAGTCCAAACTGAGTTGACGAATCGGAAATGTTCTTGCCGTTGACGAGAGCCGCAAAAAACTCAAAGATCTTCCCGAGACCAAACGATGCAACCCTGGCACTGGCAGTCGTTCCAGCATCAGAATCTCCAGTCTCCTTGCAGATTTCTGCCGAGAACCGTCGGACCATTGCCGTGAGAACAAAGAAGCCACCCTGCTCCAAGAAAGCTACCAGTACAGGCACAACGACCTGAACTGATGATCGGTCGGCGGATGATCGTGCGGAGTCCATTAACATCTCTGTCAATGTGTGGAGCATGATAATCCAGTAATGGTATTCCTTGGCCGTAGGCTCAGCCAGCCCAACTGAAGGAGCTAGTTGTCCTAAGATCGTGCCGGACAGCTGCCTGGCAAGGTCAATATGCTTGGGACGGGAATAGGAATCCCGCTCGCGCCTCGGGAAAAGGGCCTTGCCAAGCTGCTGGAAGAAGGGGAATGTAGACGGCACCATCGAGTGAAGGAGAATACGAAGCGTCTCGTAGTTGCGATACCGAGGGGTCGCTTGTTCCTGCTTGCTTGGGCCCTTGTGCTGAATGCCAGAGCCTGGAATCGAAACAGCACCAGAAGCAGTGCCTGAAGGCTCGGAAAGTGCCGTAATGCTGTCCACCTCGGGTTCGCCGGCCGTCTGGGTTCCAGCAGGTCCACTAAAAGAGACCATAACGTCACTGCCGGGAGCCGGTCTCTTCGCCCACCAGTGTTGCGGCAGGACATTGTGCTCTGCACCTTCCTCCGCCAATACAGCCTTCAGAAGAGGTCCCAATGACTTGACCAAGTCCAGATAGTAATCAAACACATTGATGGGATAGAGTTGAACTGAGTTGGAGCGTGGCGAGGACGTAAAGCACTCGTACAGAGTCTTGATCAACGACTGTGCCGTGAGAAGAGCCTTGACCATCTTGGTGCCGTTGTAAATTCGTTCTTGTATCTCCGCATCGAGATCCCGAACTTGGTCCACGGTCAACTTGTCGTCCGGAGCCAAAAACGGGCCGAAGTAAGGAGAGTCTTTTCTGTACTCGGCCAAGGGCTTGAGTGTTTCCACCGAAACCTGTGCGCGCTTGAGTAGTGAGGGCAAACCGAGAACTGGCGACTGCTCCACCAGCTGGGAAATGACCAGGTGCAATGTCCGAGACGCATGCGAATCGCAAAAGTCATGCGGAAGGCTGGGTAGTTCTGCGACGTCCAACAACAGTTCGATTCCTCCATGGTTAATGAAATAAGCCTTCAAAGTGTTGTTGTTGAAATAGGCAGAAAGAAAGCTAGACAAGGCATAGACGTAAGGCGTGATGTCATCGTAGGCCGTTGCAGAAGATGATGGATCTTCACCAGCCGATGCTGTCTTTCGAGTTGATGCTTCAGCCGCGTCCGACATCTCGATGTCTGCATCACCACTGCTGTCTGTCAGTTTGCCCTTGGGAGAGGGGGCAGCAAGCCGATCCTTCAGTGCCTCGTCCGCGGCGGCGGGCTTCTGTGCACCATCCCCCAAAAGAAGTTTTGCGCCCCAACCAGCAGTCTTGGCCTTGTAGATACCAAAAGACCTCACCCGAGCAACCATATCGATTACAGCATTCGAGATGGGACGTCTCAGATTGGGATGGTGCCGAGCAAGCTCGTCAAAGCTGGCTCCGACGTTACTGGCAAGATGGGGATCGGTTTCCATAGTGTTCACGTGAGCCGGGCTTTCAAAGATCTCTAGGAACGACTCGAGGGCACGCGAAGACGCCACCATTTTCATCCCAGCATTGTTCAAGCAGATGGAGTTGAGGACCTGGGGGACGACGTTGATGGCGTCAGAGGTTGGCAGAATGCCTTGTGCCAACGGACGGGCTTCGTGGGACGCAGCCAACTCATCTTCGGGAGGCGGATGGGGACGAGTGTCAGCCTCGATCTGTATAGAGGCATCGGATAGGCCAGGGCTGCTCTCGTCGTTGTTGTCGTCACGACTGTCCTCATGATCTCCATTGTCCGCCGTTTGCACCTCTGTATTGTCTGTTGTACGTTCCTCCAATTCTTGTGCGGGCGGAAGGGCTGGTTGAGACGCAACCGGGTGACCGGTAATGGCTTCGAGGTAGGTAACGATCATGCCAGACTCGGAGATGGCGGCAAAGCTCGTAGGGTCGTTGTTAATAAAGTCGCTCAACACCGTGACCGTGTTGGTCCACAGGACAGAACCGAAACGCTTCGTGTCCTGCATGACATCTCGGAGACTGCTCAACAACTCTGATTTATCCACGAGGTTACGCAGGAGTCTATCAGTGTTGCCGCCGTAACTGTATGAGTTTGTCATCATGTGATGGACGAATTTGAGAACCCACTTCAGCGTCTGCTGCTGGTTATAAGGAATCTCATAGTCCACGACCTGACACATGTGTTCTGGTTTGTTTCCCTGGCCAGACTCAACCAGCTGCTTCGACTCGACAACAGTCGTAACGAGCAGATCAGAAATGGCATCAAGACCAGAGCCACTGAAGAATGTCTGGAAGGCATTCTGGTAAGACCAGATCAGGCCATCAACGAAGGCCAAGATCATAGATTGATTGCGTTGAGCAACATCGGACCTGATCTTGAGAATCTCCACTAGGATATCCATGAGTCCAGCCGTAACCATCTCTGCTCCTATTCTGGTAGACATTGCCAGATGAGTGGTCAAAGAGAAAAGGTTGGTGCGCCACTGATCGACCTCGGTAGTGTGAATGCCACGGTCGGCTTCGTCCGTCTTCATGCCAGCTACTGCCTTGCGAATAACATATAGGAGAATGCCGTGGTTAACGTTCGCATTGAGAGCGGACAGAACATCCTGGTATCTCGCTGTGTAGTTGGAAATAACCTCAAGAAGAGCGAGGACAATGGACTGAAGCCAGAGAGGCACCTGGATGGATCCATCAGCAGGAGGGTGGATGAGTTCGGCCAGCTGATAAACCAGCTGGTAACGCCGGGTCTCGTCATTGTCATGACGCAGGACCTTTTCCATGAAGGTAGACTCAGGGTGGATATACGCCAGATTCGTGATAGCGAGTAAGCGGACAGCAAGGGCTTGCTGCCGCGACTCCGCACCGCCCAGGAGCGCTTTGGCAACTCTCAATCGGTTCAGAACCTCATATCTTGTCGAGGCTGGCAAATCTGCCGGGCATCGAGAAAGGAGCTCGTAGATGGAGGTAGACGCCAGGGTTGATTGTGGCAGCTCAAAGACCCTTTGGCTTGGGTTTGGTTGATCGTTGAAGTTACCCGGACTCCGAACGCTCAAAGGCGAGGTCTCCTCAGCTCCGGACTGACGAGCCGAGCGAGGAGTGTTGTATTGAGACCCAGCTGTTGTGCTACGTCGTAGGGGGGTGGGCGTAGAGGGCATGCTGGATGCAACACGATCTGAAGCTGCAGGGGCAGGCTGGTCCTTTGCCGTCAAGGGCACTATATAAGTGATTTTGATATCACCCCAGCCGTTCCAGCGGGTGTTGTCTGGTGTGAGAATAGCACCCAAGTCGTTGGCAATCATAACCGCTGCATTCTTCTGGCTGGCCGCGTGGACTTTTTCTTTACCTTTGGTGCCAGAGACGGGTGTGGCGGCAGCAACCGAGTCCGAGAGACTAATGATCGGGGTCTTGGAAAATGGTTGGGCGAGATTTTGCACGCGGTCAAGGTCAATCTGATAGTGGTTGCCCAGCAAGGCCGTGCTTACTGTTCGAGAAGCGCTGCCAATCCGCTTGACAGAAGCCTGGTACCGTTGTGCCAGCTCGGCACTAACTTGCAAAGTGGCAAGGAGGACCGACAGAACCGTGGCGTTGAGCAACTTATTCAACACCATACTGCTGGAATAGATGCTTCTGTTGCCGCAATGCTCCAGAAGCGTACGGGTGAAGTTCAGGACAGCCTCAACGAGCTGCCTGTCGCCATCTTCCTTGTAGCCCAGCTTGGACAAACTCTCGGTATCCCATGTCTGGTCGCCGTACGATTCAATCTTGGCTCCTCGATTAAGGAGAAGATCGCAGCCAAAGTCACGATTCTGGGGGCCCCGATCGAGGTTATAAGTGGTGGAGAAGCAGTCCAGGATGTCGTCGAACCGGTTGAGGAGAGGAATCCAGTGGTACAAGTCACCTCTCGGGAAAGGCCATCTCGTCGGGAACTTGGAGAGGTGGTCTGGAAGAAGAGGCAAAGGGGTCGAACAGGCCGACGAGACGAAGTCCTTGAGCCATGGAGACTGCGGGGACTTGGTTAGCCGTGCTAGCCGCCGAAGGACGCAAGGCGTGGACATAATTTACTTACCAAAGTCTCGGCATGCTTAGGCTGCATCTGCTTCGTTATCTTCCCCATCGTGGGCGAGCGCGGCAGGGCCGCTGGTTCATAAGTGCAGCCTTGCTAGCTAGCCGGGTCGGAAAGTGATGGTCTCGATGGCGCAACGGAGATCTTGTTAGCGTTGGCGCAAACGGAACAGACGCGTCGCCGTAGAGGGTGCTGTCCTCGATTTCCGATAGTATGCAGTGGAGTATGTAGGAGAGCGTGGAGGTAAAGGTTTCTGGCCTGGTCAGAAGCCAAAGGAGAGTGACCGGGGGATGACGGGAAAGCTTGGTTCAGGAAGGTACAGAGGTGCAAGGCCGGGTGCAGGACGTCCTTGCAGGCTACGGTACAGACAGCTTCGCCAAGCAGTTATGGTGGGTTCAACCGTCGTCGTCGTCGTCGTCGTTGTCGTTGTCGTCGTCAAGATGGTGCGCGTCGCTCGGGGAGGTATTGGTTTCCGTGCGAGCAGCAGGCGGCAATGTCAAGCCGTCGGTCGCAACGAGTGTCGGGGTGTTGGAGGTGAGGTGGAAGGTGGGAGGCGGGATAGGATGTTGGGAAGTGGTGAAAAAGAAGTTGCAAATGTCAAATCGGTAAGGAAAGGTAGGTGCGGTTACAGTGGGCCCTTTGCGTAATAGCAAGGTAGGTAGAGGTAGCTTCCCAGGAAAGTGCCCTCACTTTTTCGTGGAAAGTCAGCGTCGAGTGGTCAGTCAACGTGGAGGGACTAGGCGGGCAGTTTTCAGGTGGATCGGCTTTGCGCACTGTACCGTAGCAAGATTCTATGCCCATTACGGTGTTGAATAAACTGTTAAATACAGTGACAGCGGTATGACGGGAGGATAGCGGGGAGATGAGTGCACGGTTCACCTCTCACCGGACGGGACGCGGCGTGGTGTCAGGAAGCCGAAGGCTCGACGTGGAAGCGTCTTAGTAAAGTACGTACCGCAAGGCAGATGCGGCAACAAGTCCATCCAGTCTTATTTATTGCCTACCTAGGCTGCTAGGTACCTAAACTCTAGTGTAAGGAAGCCCCTGTGCCAATTGTCGCTAGATTTGTATTTCTGCTCCATGTCTTCATCCCCAACGTCAATGTCTTGTCTTAATAGTGGTGATGTAATTCTTCAAACAGCATAGGTAGGTAGTTGTATGTTGCTCAAAGCCCGCAAAACGGTCTCCGCCAGCCGGTCATGATGAGTCTTGGTCCTGAACTTTGCTTGAGGATTACTAGTAAATGACTCTGATCTTGTATTGAAGTCCCTCCTCACTGATTGAGATTTCATGTCACCTCTTTCTACTGGACACTTTGACACTGCACTACCTTTGAACGATATATGACAGCATACGAAGTCGACTTCCCACCACATCAGACCTTGGGTTAGGCCGCAATCTCCACCGAAGCACGTCGCTGATGGTGAAGATATCAAGTAGTTGTCAAAGTCCACCCAACACCTACCCAGAGGCATGGACCAACGACAGCATGAAGTCGCCGCCCTTGTACAGTCAATACTCGCGTTCGAGCATCCAGAACAGCGGCCTTTGAGGCCTTCCGTCTGTTATGAAGGCACCGAGGAGTTGGCAATTGCCTGTAATGATGAGGTCTTTATTGTGGTCAGAAGAAAAATATTGCCGCCAGTGACCTAGGTAGCCAGAAACATGTTCACAACCACGTGGGAGGGCGGAAGCCTTGGACAAGTCCGCTTTGCATCCCATGCGCTGGCTGTGTGTTTTGCCTAAAGACAAGATTGGACGCAGCCCTAGCCACAAGGCCTCAGCTAGTATTTCTGGCCGTGGCGGGAAGGAGGAATGCTTTCTGTACATGGCCTATCTACACAGCAACTATAACATGGCCGAGATATGATTTCCATTAGGCTCCTATACTAGTGGTCACGAGTACTTGTACGTGGCTGATGCCCCCTCTTATGGTAGGTATCATCCTCGAGTGTGGCTAGGTCTTGGAAACTGAGGCAGCGAAAGCACTTGGTAACATTCCAGCGCTCCAATGAACACAAACTTGGGCTCCATGAGGGTTAGTAAACATTGAGGTGACATCTGAAATGTCGGCCAAGAGTGTTGGTATTTGTCCCGTGCCATGTCTAGGAACTGAAGAATAGAGAGTTAGTCTTGATGAACGATGGATGTTTAACAAACGCCGCTCCTGATGCCGTAGCCCCGTCGTTTCCCGAAGCCCGCCTTGGAGCAGAACAGCCGTAGGACGGCGTAACGCCGGGCCTGCGAGCGGCTGATGTCGTTTGCGAAAAGGGGGGGGAGGCAATGCAAGGGGGGAGGGCGGCCGGGATCTGTGTGCCATTGATTGCAACGGCGTGAGGATATAGAGGTCGCACCAATAGGGGAAAGGTTGGCGTTACCAGCGGTGTACTCGGATCTCTGGTGGCGGGCTGAGACACGTCATGTACCGAGCAGGTATCCTACCATACCTACCGAATGCTCTGCTTCGGCAGCCGCCCAGTCATGGTAGCTTGGGTAACTTGTGCTGCAGGGTCTGATGAGAGAAAGAGAGACACACACATTCCCCAGGACTCTAGGAGCGCAGACAGCAACAAACAAACAAGACATGGCGCAGCGGCACTTGCTGCTGAGATGACCACTGCGGTGTTGGTTGCGTTGTACCTAGTGCCGCATGTAGTTCCCCCAAGGTCGGAAGAGGGCACGGTTTTACTCGGGGAAAAGGAGTGGGGGTATAGAAGGCCAAGTTCTCGTACTCATGAGATTGGGTTCTTATTAAAGATCGAGAAGCTATTGGGAAATCCAGACCGCTACATCGGACCACTTTGCTCGGATCCAGGGTTGCTCGGAGTAGTTTCTACCTGGGAAGAGGTCACTTAGCGAAAGCAACAGACGAACCGAAATAGGTAGCTTCTGAGGGGCTGAGAAGGACGTGGGACATGCTGGGTAATGATCAAGAAACAGCAGCTTCCCTGCCCCGTCGATCTCAGCCAATTTCGTTTGACTCGCCCCCGTGGACGGTTTAGTCTTGACTGCCAACCCAGAGGACGCCGCCCCTGTGACATGCAGATGTTATTTTTACAGTGTTTGGGTCTTCCCTTTTGGTTGGTCGACACCCGACAGTGTGCTGGGAGCGGCTGGCTTTCTGAGCTTCGGAGAGTAACTCGCGGCATCCAAAAACAGAGAGCGATCATGTGCCGTAAACGGCGCGCTAGAGCTATCAGCGGCTGCTCGCGCTCTTCTCTACCCTTCCCCTTCCCCCTGGCCGCCCCCCAAATGCAGCTTTGGATTGAGATACCTTAGCAGCAGGCCATGGTGGATCTCAAGGGTGCTGAGGATCGATGATTTGGGCGGTTGTCCACTTCGCTTCTCCTCGCTAGACTGCTTCCAGCTCCCAGCTAGGTAGGTGGGTAGTCAAGTACCCTATCACTACCTGGCGCTGTAGTTATACATCTAAAGTATCTCCCCCATCCGCGGTGAGGCTCACCTTCGTTCGATTAATTCCCCATCCATCCCCAGGGTAGAAAAAAAAAGAAAAAAAAAAAGGGAGGGAAGCACTGTCGCGCGCCACATCCGTTCCTCTCCTCGACTATCAACCCTCGGCCCTCAACCTTCGACCCTTCGACCCTGACCCTTCCTCTCTCGGCTCTCGGTCGTCCATTCCCTGGCAACCTCACCGACAAAAAAACACCACAACATCCAAGCAAACCCAGCCACGAGCTTGTCGACTCTGCACTCGTCCGAGGCTACAGACCTGTACCGTAGCTATTCTTCAGCAGCACAGACGACACAGTGTACAATCGCCTACCTCAGTGCTGGAGCGCCCCCCCCCCCCCCCCCATCTCCATGGCCATCAACTAAAGTTGTTTCAAGTCCGACCTTGACCCGGAGGAGCTCATCCCACCAAACCGCACACATACTCGCACACCGTCACATTCACACATAGGTCAGCGCAAGTTGACCTACCATCCTCCATCTCGCCATGTCCCAGCCAGGCGAGCCTGTTGTGGCTGTCTCGCCCGAGATCACAAAGGAAACGGAGGAGAAGAGACTCTCAACCGACTCCGACTCGGATAAGGAGAATGTACTGCCCCCCCTCCCCTTCCTTCCTTGATACACCGCCCACCCCGGCCATGAACCAGGTGCAGCACGGGAGAAGACCCGGGAAAAGGACGGAATTCGCTGACTGAACGGGCAAAACAGCAGGATGCCTTCGAAGATGCCGTCGTCGATGTCGCCGAGGTAGCTGAGGTCCGCTCCCTTACCCAGAGAACGCCGTCGTACCAGAGACCACCGCCCCCAGAAGAAACTGGCCCCGAACCCGAACCCCCGAAAAAGGAGGAGACCCAAGACAAAGTGGTGCCAGCTCCGCCATCACCGGCAAAGGAAAGCAATCATTTTGTTGAGGACGACTTCGTGAGTGACGATGACGATGGCGAGATCAAGCGGAAGGCGTCTCCCGTATCCCACCGTCTCTCCAATACCTCGGATTTGGACGATGTCAAGCTGGACGACGACCACCCTGCCCCACAAGAACCAGGTTTGTTGTTTGGCCGCATAAACTGACTGACGTGTATCAAATGTGCTAATTTCCAAAAGCAGAAACGAAACCTGCTAGCCCCGTCCAAGAGAAGGCGCCCCCCAAGAAGTTGTCCATTAGCAGCATTACCGGAGCTCTCCCGTCCATGCCATGGTCGCCGTCAGCCGAGCCATCGCCCGCCAAATCCCCCATAGCCCCAGTCGCTCCCCCGCCGCAAGGAGTTCCTGCTGCTTCCCTACCGCCACCTCCAGCCCCCCCCGCAAGGAAGCTCACAAGTCCCTTCTCCTGGTTATCTCGCAACAGCATGAGTAAGGAGAAGGATACCTCGCCGCCGCCCCAAGCCTCGCCCCGACGCAATACTGCTAGCTCCATTGCAACTTTGACGAGCAACCCCGAGATGATGCTTAGCAGGCTGGACGAAGAGGAGGGCGATGGTATCAATGGCGTCAATGGAGCGCCCCGCCATAGCTTGAAGGACCGCTTCAAGATGGTGCGGTTACGGGAGGAGGCAGGCATCACACTGCCGACCGATGACGACAAACCTGTGCCACCGCCCAAGGGATTGGGATCGAGCACCCCTCCTGCTCAGAATGGCAACGACAAGGAGCTTGGGATTGACCAAGCGCCCAAATCGCCCTTGCCCACCACTCCGAACCCGTCATTGGCCCCCGGAACGGTATCTGGAGTCTCGGCTGGCCCGTCAGACATGGCTGATTCTCAGGTGGACTGGGATCTGTGGCAGTCGGTAGTATACGAAGGCCCGGCAGTCGTTGCAAGGACAAGCGCCGAGGAATTGAACAGAGCTATTGCCAGTGGTATCCCCAACGCCATCCGCGGAGTCATCTGGCAGGTTTTGGCCCAGAGTAACAACGAGGAGCTCGAGGTAATGTACAGGGAGCTTGTGGCCAGAGGCACCGATAAGGAAGTCAACCGGAACAGTCAAAGTACTATCAGCTCGGGCAGCAACGGAAACCTCAGCATACAGAATGATGTTGTCAATTCTTCTTCCTCGTCGGTCCATTCGGAGCATTCCGCCGCAAATGGCATGTCGCCACCTCACGAAAAAAGCGCCGAGGCCGTGTTGAAGGCGCAGCAGGCCGCTGCCGTAGCAAGACAAAAGAAGCAAAAGGAGGACAACGCCATGCTGCAGAAGCTTGAGAAGGCCATTCGGCGGGACATGGGCACGAGAACCAGCTTCTCCAAGTACGCTGCTGCTGCTGGGCTCCAAGAAGGTCTGTTCGGCGTGTGCAAGGCGTATGCCCTGTTTGATGAAGCCGTCGGCTATGCACAAGGCATGAACTTCCTCATTATGCCGCTCTTGTTCAACATGACGGAAGAGGAAGCATTCTGCTTGTTGGTTCGCTTGATGAACCACTACCAATTACGCGACCTCTTCATCCAGGACATGCCTGGTCTTCACAAGAACTTGTATCTCTTTGATCGCCTTCTTGAGGACTTCGAGCCGGCTCTCTATTGCCATCTCCGCCGCCGCAGCATCTCGCCCCATCTCTACGCTACCCAGTGGTTCCTGACGCTCTTTGCCTACCGCTTCCCTCTGCAACTAGTGCTCCGCATTTACGACCTGATCCTGTCCGAGGGCCTCTCGGCCATTTTGCGCTTCGGTATCGTTCTGATGCAAAAGAACGTGGCCAACCTGCTTGCCATCTCGGATATGCAGCAGCTCACCGTCTTCCTCAAGGACAAGCTGTTCGACGTCTACATTGATACGGCACCCAGCGCAGGAAGTATCTTGGAGAATGGCTTCTTTGGAAGCTCCAGCTCCAGCATGGACAAGGAAGTATACCGCGCCGACCAGTTTGTCAGGGATGCTTGCGATATCAAGATTACCCCTGAGACCCTCAAGGCGTACACTCTCGAATGGGAGGAAAAGACAAGGGCGGAGAAGGAACGTGAGGCAGAGCTCGAGCAGTTGCGGACTGCCAACATCAACTTCGCGGTGAAGGTACGTAAGCTCGAGGAGCGTGTCGAGGCGTACGACAGTGAGCAGGCCGCGCTCGCGACGGAATTGGTCCATACCAAGGTCGAGAACGAGGAGCTCAAGGACGAGAACGAGAGTCTCAAGGGGCAGGTTCGTGAGCTGCGAAATGTAATTGAGAAGCAGCCCGAAGAGCTTGAGAATGCGTGGAAGGCCGAACGCGACGACCTCATGAAGCGCAATCAGAAGGTCCACGAGGAGAACGAGAGGTTGGAAAAGGAGTTGGCAGAACTAGAGGAAGAGCTTGTGCAAACGAAGATGCAGTATGCCGAGGTAAGTCAAATCTCGTAGACGCCACTGACACTTCATTCACTGACATTCATGACAGATAAATTCCCAGCACGAGACACTCACTCGCAAGTGGACGGACCTCAAGCGACAGTTCGCGTAGAGTGACGTGTCCGAAATAAACCCTGGTATAGCCAGAAACAGAATTCCCTGAACACCTTAATGTACGAAAGTAATTGTAGCATCCCATCAAGTATGGAGTTTTGCGTGTGTGCTTGCTGGCCGAACGCACATCTGGGTGCCAAGCTGGCTACAGGCAACAAGGAACCAAAAGGACCCGAAAAGTGGTCTTTCATGTTTGATATTTCAAGAAGCATTACGCAATAGAGAAGTTGAAGGGAATATGTCGGTTCGAGACGGGCTCGGGCATTGGGGGCGGCCAACGGCCCCCAGAAGAATCTCACCATGACAGCGTTCATACTCGAGGCAAGCCACGAGACAAACGGGGAGTTGGTTCATGAATGGTGACGGCTCTCGGCTTCGGTTGGCAGACTTTTTTAGACACACCTGCGACATCAACTACAGAACACAAGAGAGTAATAAAATGCAATTGAAACGAAAAGTCACGGCGCGCGCGGATGAAGACAGTATATATCTGTGAGGCAGGCAAAAACTTGGTGGTATAGTCTTTTTGAGTTCTTCCTAATAACCCATAATCCGTTCCGTCGGCCCGGTTTGCTTTTCCCGAGCCCACATATGATTGTAAGCTGATCACGCACCCCATCGGTGGCCTCGCCAGACTTGACGAAAAGCAAAAAACCTGTTTGAACACCAAGAACAACCTAAGAGCCCGATAAAATGTTTTTCTTCATTCCCGTTAACGTGAAACCCATTGTGAGAGTCAGTTATCTAGTGTTTTCCCCCACCATGCCGTTACCCCCAACGCGACGCTGGTTAGCAAGCAGAACATGATACACTCATCGTGAAAAGAGACGAAGAGCGTTACGTCTACTTGTGAAGCTTGCGCTGGTAGAAGGCGAGCTCCTCACCCTCAAGGATGTATCCGTCGCAGCGGCCGGACTGGCCGGGGCGGGAGGAGACGACAGCGTACAGGCGACCAGCCTCGAACTGCTTCTCGAGGGCATTCTCGACCTTGCCCTGGGCGGCAAAGCGCTCAGCCTGCTTCTTCTCGACAGACTTGGACTTCTTGACCTCCTCTTCCTTGGCGACGGTGCCGGCGGCCTGCTGCTTCTGCTGGCGGCGACGACCGAGATTCTGGCCGTAGTGGGCCTCGTACCACTGACGGAAGGGGGCGGCATCGATCTGGACGACGGCGGACTTGGTCAGGGTGTTGGTGCGGACGAGCTCGTTGTTGGAGGGGTGGTAGGCGACGCCGATGACACGGGTCTTGCGGGTGCAGCCCTCGGAGGCCCAGGCGAAGTTACCGCTGTCGAGACGGAGGGCGCGGTACTTGTGGTTGCCGCCACGGGTGCGGACCGTGTGGATTCGCTTGGGGCCGATACGGGTGTTGGCACCCTGGCGACCGGCCTCGAAAGCGCGCTTCTTCCCTGTTGAGCAGAAAGGTCAGAACGCATGCTTGTTTAGAGCATACGGGCTTTCGAATGTGTTACGCACGGTAGTAGGCGCGCTTGGCACCGGAGGCGGAGCGCTTGTGACGGGAATCTCTCGAGATACCCATGATTGCTTATGCTGTTCGGAAGAGGGGTTAGCACAGGTTCTGACCTAGGCTGTGATGCGACAAAAAGAAATTGGACATGATTCCCCCTTGACCACAACAGAGAGGTAGGGGGATGGGTCGGGAATAGGATTGAAGTTTTCGAACATGGCCAGGGCGATACCGCGAAATGCCTCTCTTTGCTCCGACAGAGAGCCAGGAGAACGAAGATTGGGAAATCGAGGTGTATCGTCCGTCACAACAGTCCGTCCGAATCAAATGAGCGCTGCTGATACTGCTGCTGAATATCGGTCAACTAACCTGATGGTGGCTCAGAGGCAATCGACTAGTGGCTGGCCGGCGTTGGGTGGTTGGATTGTCGAGGTTGTCGGGATTGAACTTTTTCGGGAGGACGAGAGATTCGAGAGGAAAGGACGCCTGGTAATTTTTTGTGCGGGCTCGCTAACCCCACTGCCACCATTTTGGGGACTGCGCACGGACCATGCTAGGGCATGTTTTGCGCCTGAGGCCGAGCTGCTGACGGTTCCCAGGGGATACAGGTACTCATTCTAGTTCAGGTCTATAATTGGTTGTACGCCGAAGTGGAGCTTCACTGTCGGTGAACACCCCGCGCACACCGACAGGTTCTACTTCGGAGCGTGATAGGGAGGAGCGCTGAACGGACAGTGTCTCTTCACGGTACCTAATACCCTTGGCATTTGAATAGCCAACGGATGACTCAACCCAGCATCTCATAGCTAACCTCGTCGTATGTCTTGTGCAAAGCCCTGTTGAGCAGGGGGCCACTACCAAATGATACGGTATGCTCTAATCCGGAACGAGCACTCCAGGACTACTGAGCCTGCCGATATACATCGCGACAAACTCGGCAGAGCGGCCCGTCAATCGCCGAACGAAGGAAGGTAGGGTCAATTTATTCCCATCCGCTAGGTCCTTACATCCCTGACCCCTTTCGCATTCTTGTGCGGGCTTCGCACCGGAAATTTGTGAGCGCGCCCCTTTCGCTCTATCAATCGCGAAGAGGCTATTTGAGTATTCGAGTTGACGATGCCCGAGTGTGCAGTCAGTTAAGACGAAATCGGAACCTTTAGTGTCGTATTGGAAATGTTCTTTTCGACTGGCATGATGGTCTCTAAAACAATCCGAGGATCTTCGTGCAGGTGAGGTTGGGCAATGCTTCGGTTGCCTACAGCTAAAGCTGGTAATGGCGCCACTCATCCGCATTCCCATGAACAAAAGACAAAGAAGGCGGAAATATGGTCAATGGAACCTCGGCTAGGTTTCAGCCTGCGCATGCCACTTCCCTGTCCTGGAGCCTATGAATCTAAAGCATGAAAGCTGCGGGCAACTTGTATACACAAAGTTTACCTCCTTCTGCCAAGAACATGACAGCGAACCGCATTTGGGGGTTTATTTCCTTTGTTGCGAATCCATGAGATGCTACAGCTCATTTGATGGTTCCTGTGGAGATATTTCCTCTGTTTCAATCCTTACTCGCCACGTCTTCTATCCGCGGTACACGCGTGGGTAAAACAGAGGAGGAGCCGTCTTATCTGTAACACAAGGAGACTGGCATCAAGACCTATTACCTCGTCGTATCAGGGACTCTGTTCATGGAATAGACGTCACACCCGCAACGTATCTGAGCCGCTCCCAAGGAACAGTTTGAGCCCCGCTTTAACGGTCGGATCTTTCAAGCATGGAATGTGTCAAGAAGATATGGATTGTTCACGACAGCGCTTGAAGACTTGTGCCTCTCAATGCCCGCATTGGAGTTCCCTGGAGTCTCTCATTTCAGCTGGCAGATGGTTCCACCTATTTCCTGGTCGTCACGGAACAGCCCTATTTACATTAAAGTGGCCGTCGAAGCCTTCGTCGACGGCATGCGTATGTACCGCGCAACTCGCCCAAAGTCAGTAGCATTAGAAGGGCGTTAGTGTGGTATCCAGCACGTGCCGACGTTCAAGCCCCCCGGCTATTTCGTCTAGCCATCGGCCGTCCTGCGGGAAAGTAAGGGTCATCCATCACGAACTCTGACGGTGGAATCCGTGGCGGTTGTGGAGACCGGGCGTTGTTTCTCAGCTTGATGATGCCCATTTCCACGCTGTGCGTCAACGATGGCTTGTCAAGATCCAACGTCAGGATGTTCTCCATGCTCTCGGTTTTGCCGAGTATCGTCGGAGGACCGTCAGAGCTTGAGCTCGTCGATAGCTTTGCACTAGCATTAGCCTGCGTCGCACGAGCAAACGCGTTGGGCCCTATGGGCGGCTTGGATCCGCCTATCGTCGTTCGCTGGCCTGGGTAGTACACTTTCGAGTACTTGTCTGTGGACAGGCCGAGAGCCTTGTTAAGGCCAGGGAACCTCGATATCAGCGGCCTCAGCGACGGCACGCCAGAGCAGATGATCAAGGCGCAGACCTCGAGTTCGGACCAGAGAAGGGGATCGGCAACCAAGACTACAATGGTTAACGGCGACACACGTTCCTAGTTGGGAGATACTTACAAGTAACGTCTTGGTCGAAGGCGTTGATATAGGTCACTCTGATGATAGAGATAACGCACGCACTAAACAACCCTTTAGCCGCGGAACAGTGAAATTGGCCGAAATCACTCACAGTAAGCCCAGAGAGAGCATGAAGATGACACCAATCCGTTTTGCAACCCGTACGTGCAACTTCCAGACGATCGGGATTGGTTGAATGAAGAGAACAAGGTCGGTCAACAGCTTAATGACGAACTGCTCCAGGTCAGCCGGGTGTTCTTAGGTTTTCGCTTGTCTGAACATACAGCAGAATAGTAGAATATAGTCAAGTCCAGGCACGTTCCGGGGACAGTTGGTGTCCAAGCTCGCTGAACAGGAGCGCATCTGAAGATCACTACTGCTGTCTCCTCGATGCCCTCGGCGAGTAACAGAAGAACGAGGAACTGGTTGATGCGTCGATAGACCTCGTCTGGAAGCAGTCGCAAGTAAAGCACCGCAAAAGACATCTTGACGGTCACAAAGGCCCAGATATAGGAAAGCTGTGTGGCAACTTGTAACTGAACGACACTCGTCAGTCTGGCATCCGAAAGCAACCTTCCGCTGTTCACCTACCTTGAGGAACTCGGCAAAGTCTGTGTCTGATACGTCTTCAAAGTGGGAGCCCAAGCCGACGCTGGTCACTAAATCCAAGGTGAGTTCCCGTCCCAACACCCGAACCATATCTTGAACTCACTGGCAATAATTGCGCTGCAGAGTGCCATGGCCAAGACCTGTTTCAGTCAGAAATACTCTATTGATTGGCACACAGGGGCAAGTACCCAGCTGGTGAGCACCAGTGCTATCGACTGTCAGCCCTGATGTTGTCGTAGTAAAGGAGAGCTCGTGGGTACTCACTGTCGTCCCATCCTAGACTTCGCAACAAGACACCTCGTACAAAGGTCCTCGTCGCGACAGTCAGCGTAATGAAGACCATCAGCAAGATAGTCACGCTCCTCGTTTGAGCGACTTTAGTGTCCGCCATTTTTCGTCGATGGTTACATTCGGGTCGATCGTGTTTCTCGACGGATCATCACAGAGCGGGAAACCGAGTATATTATCATCGATCAAGTGAAGCGGGTCGGACTGAGGAATTTTACAGGATGGTCCATGACTGTTATGTGACCCCCTACGTACGCATGTGCCTAGCAAGACCAACCGAGCTCCGATGCATTGAACAAGAACTACGTACAGATGTCAACCCGCTCTCTGCCCTTCACCTTCTGTCTGATGTCTTCAACGGTGTTCCCAGATAGGCCTAGGTCTGGACAGTTCCAACATCAAAACTGCCTGGATGTCGATTGTATATTCCGCAGCAGGGATGATGTTCTTCGCTGACGCCCGGCGACGTCAGTCGATGAGGAACGAGTTGCCGGGAGCCTCGCTGATGTCAACAGCTGGTCGAGCAAGGAAGTTTACTTACGACTCTACGAGTCTCTCGTTCGTGTGCTGAACTTCCAACAGCCAAGTTTCAAAATTCGAAGGCCGATCGATTGCCGCGAGATGTCCAGGACATCAGACTGTTGTTGCAAGGCGACCCACGCGAGTGACAGATCTATACGTTTGACGGGCAGCGTGAGACAAGAAATCCATTAGGCCGAAAGCGCCGACAGGTCGACCCTGCGAATGTCCACAGGGGAGTCCGGGGGAAAACACCGGATCCGTGGAGCTATGCGACGAAGAGCACATCATGCGAACAGACCATTCAGGCAATGGCAGGCCATGCTCTGCTCATCAGAGAGGCTAAAAGGCGATTTGATCCTTTCTTTTCTTGCCGAATGGCTGGCCGCCAATGACTCGTCCGGTAATCGGTTTAGCTACGGGTCCCATGATCCATGGCAAGGCCCGTCTACTGTTGTTGCTATCTTGAAGCTTCATATTATGGGTTCTTCCCAAAGCTTGATGCTGGAGCAGTTAGGAAATTACGCTCTTGTGAGTTACAGTGGCTTCTGGTTTGACTCTGTGGACAGCATTCGGGAAGTCAGAATAATCCACTTCTTAACGTTTCTACCGCAGGCGTGGCCATGTGCGCCGATTGCAATAATGTGACGACAGGACGCGTGGGAGAATCCACCCATGTCATACCTCGTGCTCAGGGACGGAAGCCACTGATCGGGGCCCTTTGCGTCTTCATCTCATTAATCCTTCAAAACACCTGAGAAGAGGCAAAGAGTTGGTTAGCTAGAGCAAATCTGTCTGCGGGGGTTCAACATACTGAATTATTGACAGAAATCGGCAGCAGACTGGTAAGGCCGGGTAAGCAAAGTGGTGCAAGCACAACGGCCATGACTTGCAGAGGATCTTTGTCTCATATTGCTTCAGCTTGACTTCGACGAGACTCTTACACTCCCCCGAGCCGGCCGTTGACGAAGCGTTTCATCACACTGAACCCCATCGACAATCACCAAGTCACCCCCAAACGAGTAAAGTTGACCTTTCTCCATGGATGCTACACCGCTCAGCCGACAAAAGACAGAAATCTATTGGTAAATTATTCTTCTTATGGATAAGTGCACATCGGCGAAGCGCACTATCCGCTAGTAGTGACGTGGCGTGTTGTGCCACAGAGAGATTTCATGTATTGGGTTTCAGCTCCACGACGTGGTGAAACCCGAAAGCTCGGCGTATTCCCGACATGAGGATGGGTGACGGATATGCGCTATTGTCCTGTATACTGGCGAGATGCCAATATCGGCAGATAAAATACCCTCCGTTACGGATTAAGGAAGAAAGGGATGGCTTGTATTATTTCCGACTAATGCCAGCTTGGGCAGTGCAGCAGATATGACTCGCTCCTTATCTGTGGTACGGTACATAGGGACGAGGGCCTGGTGTAGGGGCCCGTGCCGCTCTGGCGGAGAGAAAACACCCCTGTAAATGGTTATGGGCTTGCTCCCTCTCCCCGCCCTAAGCTACCCCGCACGCCAGTGCCGGTTTTCCTCCTTCATCTTACTTACGCTCACTATCCGCACTACACCACCCGCTGCTGTACGAAGCCCTAGCGAGGATGGCTACTACCCCCTCAGAGGACCGTAACAGACGTCGTCGCCAACGCCTGCGGCTGCTGCCTTTGCGTGGGTTGGCACTCTTGACGACACTGAGCCCTTCCCCTTCTTTGATAAACTCGACTCGGACCAGGGTCTGGGCGGCACGCGCTTCTACGATGAGCCGAACGACCACTGGTGCTTACTGGCGCAGATCACCGAGGTAGAAAGGTTACTTCGCGTCCGTCTCAGTGCAGTGGACCGCGAAGGCCGACCGTTCGTCATTGCCTTCTACCCAGCAGAGAAGAAGGCTGGCGACATCGATGTCAAACGACTGAGGGTCGGACATACCATTGCTATTCTGTACGCCAACCAACACTTCTTCCTCGACGGGACGGACGGCGTCCGCGTCGAGGACCTAAGCAAATGCCGCGTAGGTGCTCCTGTCCTCTGCCCCTCCGGCTTTGGTGTGCTTTTGACGTGGACTGAACGCTGGTGTGGCGCCTAGGTGTTCCCTGTTGACCTGGACTCCCTATTCCGCATTCACGCAGATTACCGTAGGTATAGTGGCCTAGACGGTACACCTAAGGAATGCCACGGCTGCGGAAGACAGGGCGTTGGCCATCTTAAGTGCGGACGCTGTGGTTTTTTTTTTCCTACTGTAACAAGGTAAGCTGAGGACACCTGGCCTGGTCTGCCTGACGTGGACCTCCCCTACGTTCTAGCCCGGCGCTGACTACGGCACAGGACTGCCAGGCGGTTGGGTGGGAGGAAGAGGGACATAAGCGGGCGTGTCGTGTTGTGGCAGACCCGGCCTTTAAGGCTCTCCTGACGCTGCCCGGCTTACGGGGCACTGACCGTCTCGAGTTTCCTCTGTAGGGTCCCGCACGAGCACGAGAGAAATGATTCGTGGGTTGAGAAAGAAAGGAAGAAAAAAGACTTTACGTGGAAGGGGTCTGGAACAGCCGGGTTTTAGTGACTGTGCATGGTTAACATTGTGTGTCTATGCAACCTTAAGAGGGGCCGCCTTGTAATACCTACTACCTAGTACCTCAGTCTGGAACAACCGGGAAAATGACGACGATTCGAGTATGATGTTTATCGTGGAAGGAGGAAGTCTAGACATTTGTTGACACTCCAAGACACCGTTCCGTGCAGCTGGTGCAGGTGGTCTTTTGTGGCGGTTTGAACGGGCCGCCTCGCCCAAACCACAGGAATGGGTTTGTACTATATTGACGGGATGCGACGTACGTGTGGAAAGAGCAGCTCTGTCGTCGTCGGGAAAGAAATCATGGTGTTTTGAAGGTGTTCCAGAGGCAACGAAGTTCTGTCGGCCCCACCCACCCACTTCATCGGCTGCTTCCTTCCCCAGAAACCCGCCTTTCTCGGAGTATTTCCTGACGATCGCCGCCTTCCTCCCACCCCGCATGGCTTCCGTTGGTCTTGCCGGGAAGGGAAGGAGATTTGGCCAACACACCCTAGCAAAACTGACTCTGGCTTGCGTTCGCAAGGCATCACCATCATCAGCACCTCTTCTCCTGATTTGTTTTCGCCTCGCCTTTGCTTTTCCTAGGATCCATCGAAGAACAATACGAATTGTCCTACTTCTTGAAGCAGTCATTTTATATTCTTCTCAGTCCTCCTCCTTGTTCCTGTAAACCTCCTACAGACATTTGACTCATGCTGTTTCCTACCTCTCTCGACAACACTTCTTTGACTCTTCGGGTTCACACCGCAACAAAGTCAACCACAACAGCTAGCCACCTTCGCGCCTCGAACAAATGAAGTCCGCAGTCATCGTCGCAGTCTTCATTGGCCTCGTCGGCCTTGCTGCGGCAAACCCTCACGCCTTTCTTCTTGCCGCCTTGGGCCAGCAAACCAGCCCCGTCGGCGTCGATACTCTCTGCGATGACTTGATGCCAGCCATGCTTGGCAACCTGACCAATGTCTGCCAAGGTGCCGACCTCAAGCCTGCATATGACGCCTATGCATCCACCTGCTCTGAGATTGGCATCAAAGTCGCCAATTTAACTTTGCCCTCGAACGTTAGTGCCGTGCCTACTTCAGCTCTGGGGTCTTCTGCCAGCAATAGCCCCGACGCGACTTTGGCGCCATCGTCCCCAACCACCATGTAAGTTCCGTTCCTTGTGTTGTAGGCAACCCTAACTAATACTATGATCAAGCGGCGATGACCCTCAGCAGTCGAGGCCCAGCGCAGCAGGCGCCATTGCTCCTCACACCTTTCTTTTCCCTGTCCTCGGCCTCTCCGTAACTGGCCTTGTCAGTGTGGTTTTCTTGTGATGAACATGGTCGCACGGGATTGTGGCAAGCAACCCGTTCTTTGCACTTGCACAACATTCGTGGTCAAACAGCACGCGAAGCCCCAGGCACTCTGATACCCAAACCCGACAGAGTCAGGATGGAACAGAACATCTGATATGCATTGTGGTTGGAGGGTAATGGAATTCAGGAAGAGGGTTGCATTCGACGGCGTCCGGGATACAAAACGGGACTGGCGTTTTATTCACAATCAGCATAGACGTTTGCGACAGAGTGTGGCATTAAAGCTGGTATTTTACGAATTGGTATCTTTTCCTCCTCTCTACGCTTTATCTTGGGGGCCTGTATGCAAGTTTATTTCAGGGTCACCAGCTCTTCGGCGCTGGTCGGGTGGATGGCAACACAACTGTCAAAGTCCTTCTTCGTGGCGCCCATCTTGACGGCGACACCGAAGCCCTGGAGCATCTCTCCGCTGCCGAGGCCGGCAATGTGAAGACCGACAACCTTCTCTTCGGGGCCCGCTACGACAAGCTTGTAGGCGGTGGGCGCCTTCTCCTCGGGCTCCATCATGGCATAGTACATGGCGGTGAAGTTGGTCTTGTAGACCTTGATGTTATCCTTGCCGTACTTGTCGATGGCCTGGGGCTCCGTGAGACCGATGCTGCCGACCTCGGGGTGGGAAAAGACGACGGAGGGGATGTTTGAGTAGTCGAGGTGGGCCTTGGAGTACTCAGGGCCACCAAACAGACGCTCGGCCAAACGACGGCCGGCGGCAATGGCCACAGGGGTCAGCTCGACCTGACCGGTTACGTCACCAAGGGCGTAAATGTTGTCCAGATTGGTGTTTTGGTACTCATCGACGGGGATGTAGCCCTTCTCGTTCAGCTTCAGGCCAATCTCCTCGAGACCAATGCTCTTTGTCGCCGGCGTGCGGCCAATGGCCCAGATGAGGTGGTCGAAGCCGCCCTCGGACGTCTCCTTACCCTCGGCGTCCTTGTAGAAGATGGTGAGCTTGCCCTCGGCGTCCTTCTCGACCTTTGTGGGCTGCGAGCGCTTGTGCAGGTTGACGCCCAGGCGCTCGTACTCCTTGGTGACGGTCTCCTGGATCATGGGGTCAAAGTTGCGCAGGAAGGTGTCGTGGCGGATGAAGAGGTGGGTCTCTGTGCCCAGGGCGTTGAACATCCCGGCGAACTCGACGGCGATGTAGCCAGCGCCGACGAGAGCGACCTTCTTGGGCTGCTTGTCGATGTCGAAGAAGCCATCCGAGTTGGTGCCGAGCTCGGATCCGGGGATGGTGGGCGGGATGGTGGGGTTGCCGCCGACGGCGATGAGGATCTTCTTGGCCTTCACGAGAGCCTTGGTGCCGTCGTCGAGAGTGACCTCGGCCTCGTTGCGCGAGGTGAGCTTGGCCCAGCCGTGGAGGTACTCGACCTTATCGTTATTGAGGTTACGTTCGTAGATGCCGTTGAGGCGCTTGATGTAAGCGTCACGCTTCGTTTTGAAGGTGGGCCAGTCGAAGGGGGCCGTCTCGGTGACGGAGAAGCCGTAGGACTTTGCCTGGTGGATCGTCTCCGCGATGGCGGCGGCGTTGAAGGTGACCTTCTTCGGGACGCAGCTATAAGGGGGGGGGAGGTAATCCAAATTAGGTCTCAGTCTCTTGGGTATAGTTGCTGGGGTTTACTCGGGTTGATAGACATACCCTACATTCACGCAGGTTCCTCCCAGCCGCGCGCCCTCGACGATGAGGGCTTTTGCGCCAAACTGTCCGCTGGCCTTGCGTGCTGAGGCCAGACCACCGCTGCCGCCGCCGATGACAAGGAAATCGGTCTCCTTGGTGATGGGGGCCATGTTGCGCGCTGTCGAGGAGAACTGCCTCTGTATGGCTGCGAGTCTTGTCGTGGGTGCTGCCGCTCGGGATGCTGCAACGGTGGATGTGCGGTAGAGTGCGGCTTGGAGGGCTTGCATGGAGTGTTGCGGTGATGAAGTGGTCGCGGGAGCGGAGGTAGGGAGGAGCAGTTTTCTAAACTACATATACCATGCGTGCCTGGTGGGGCTGACTGTGGTGACGTCTTGTAAGCTCGAAGATGCGCAATACGAGCGAAGCCTGACAAATGCTAAGCTGCAGGAAGTATAGCACGATGCGGATTCGGTATGGTGGGCTGGCTACCTAGGGAAACTGATGTAAGTTTTCTTTCGGGGACTATAATGCGGGTGCGGATGCGGGCGGCGCTGTCGGCGATTGGAGCTACTCACTACTGTAGGATCGGCGTACGGGCGGGGGGGCGATTTCGGAGGGACTGGTTTGAGCTCCAAGTGCATGTGTGATTGAGTAAGTGAGCGAGTCGCGCTATGCAAGTAATATTGGTAATGGGCAACTGGATAGATCATCGCCAATCAACCGTGAAGAAAATATGCCCCTGTACCCGCTAGAGAACGTCGTGGAACCGGGGATAACTAAGCACAGATGCGTACCTACCTACAGTAGAATAGGTACGGAGACTGTACTGTGGCCGTTGTCAGGCTCTCAATCCCGGGCGGATGGAATGCTACACACAAGATAGCCCCATAGGTCATCCCGCTGTCAGATCAACAGCCTTTTGACAAATTGGTGACGCCAACAGGGAGGGCGGGTATCATTCATCATTGCCTGCCCGCTGTGAGCGAACGGCGGCACCCAGCCCGACGAATGGATTTCAAATCGACAACACCACATCACCTCGGCCGAGGCGCCCATGTCGTTGCCGTCGTCTCATCGGCCCGGAAGCGTCGGTTGGTTGGAAAACCGATAGGGAGCCGGGCACAAGCTTTTCATTCCAAATGTCGCTTTTGAAAGCTTGTCACTTGCGTAGAGTAATCACTAGGTGGATGCCGTGTTAAACGGTATGGCTCCCCAAAATGTGCAATGTGGTATGGTTCGATGCCGCCAATCCAAAACACCCAATTACTTGGTTTCATTACAAGGCGCCGCCGCGTCTGGGTATCAACAACTGACTGGCGGTAAGTAACCCCCTGGCGCGTCTTTTCTGCCCTTATCAATCATCGTAATAAACTTCGTACCGACCGTACTCGGCCTGCGTGCTAACCCATTCCTCGTCTGCCAGACCTCGCATCATCCGCCTCTGAAGTCCTTGAGCGTCCTTGTGCCAGTCGCAGGCAAAGTCGCATTGCGGCACCTCGCTCTCGCCAAAATACCTGCAAATCTGCGCATGGCGGCAGGCAGTCGTGTTTTCGCAGTATAGCGCAAGCTGTTGCAGGCTTTTTGCCTGCGCCTCCCAGTTTGACCCATCGCGGTTCCCCTTCCTGATCATGCTCTGTACGCGTTGTAGGTCTTCTCGACTGTAGTACAGAAAGCAAAAACTCGCGTTGCCGTCTCGGCCTGCGCGACCCGCTTCTTGGTAGTACCCCTCAAACGACTTGGGCAACCGCCAGTGGACAACAAAACGAACATTGTTCTTGTCGATGCCCATGCCAAAGGCCGTGGTGGCCACTATGACATCGTAGCCGGGCTCATTGTTCACCCACCGCGTCAAGGTCTGCTCTTTGACCTCTTTGGTAAGCTTCGCGTGGAACGGCCTAGCACCCACACCTTCGTCTCTAAGTGCCGCTGCCAGAGACTCGCATTCATCCCGCGATATAGTGTATATGATACCAGACACGTTGTCGAGCCGCTCCCCGACGGCTTCCAGCTCAGCTTTGCGCGGACCTGCTTTCCTCCTCTCGTACACGCTACGTATCCATGCTAGAAAGTCAGCCAGGCGGTCGTCGTCTTGGTCTTTTGTGTATCTGATTTCAATGTGGAGGTTGGGTCGATAAGCAGTCATGACAAAACTCTTGAGCCTATCGGGCTGCTCCAAAAGGCCCAGGGTCTTCAGCAAGTCTTGGCGAACGGTGGGATTTGCGGTGGCCGTCAGGCACATGATTGGCACGCTCGGGAACGTCTCTCGAAACCATGATAACCGCTTAAAGTCCTTGCGGAAATCGTGGCCCCATTCCGAGATGCAATGGGCCTCGTCAACTGCGATGCGTGCCAACTCACACTGCTCGTGGACCAGCTTGATGCGTCTTCGGAAGGAGTCGCTCGAACACAGCTCCGGTGTCACGTAGAGCAGCCTTATGCGCGGGTGGCCACTAGCAAGGTCTTGGTTGATGCGGTCCCTCTCGGCGATTGGCGTATTGCTGTTCAAGGAGCTAGCATAGATTCCTGCCGATCGAAGCGCTTCAACCTGATTCATCTAGCGGAGCTGTCAGCTGTCGTGCGTGACTGAGGCTGCATGGGTTACCCCTCACCATGAGACTGAGCAGTGGTGAAACGACGATAGTGACTGGTGGAGGGAAATCACGTTAGTCGACGACGATGCGTGCATACGAGCTTGGGGCAGGCCCTGGTACTTACTCCCATGGTCAATGCAGGCTGGAAGCTGGAAGCAAAGACTCTTGCCAAAGGACGTTGCGGCCTGGACGAATACATCGTGGCCGTCGAGGGCAGTAGCAATGATTTCACGCTGATGGGGCCTGAGAGGAATTTGTCAGTATTATTGCGATGATTGCGGTACAGTGCAAAGGGGGGGGGGGGGGGGGGGGGGGGGGGGGGGTTGGCAAAGGTTGCGACATGCGTCACGAGTGCTGAGTGCGGGTATCTTCACCTGAACGTCGACTTGTTGAATTGGCGTCTGAGGGTATAGTCTATATCAACGCATGAATTGGAGCGTGATAGAGGAGGCATGGTGATGACGAGTGTCGGCAGTTGACGACGACGTCGTAACGAGACAGTGCCCGATCCGGATGCGTCGTGGTTGGCCAAGCTTTTCGTCGTGCAGGGCTCCGGGGCATAATGTTGCGCTAGACCGAGATGAGGGCCCGGACGTGATGGTGATGGAGCTCAGGTCCGGAGGCGAACCGCCTGACGTTGGGCCTTGAGGGCCTTGGACAGCCGGCCTGTCCGAATGCCTCAGACTCGGGAGGCGGAGCACGCAAGGGACAACGTCGGTGCGATTTGAGTATTGTCGAGTAGGCAAAACCGGGCAGGCGGAGTCACCCAGGGTTGGGCGAGTCTGAGATTTTGACAGATCCAGACCGAGAAGTGGCTGTGTGGTACGGAGAGAGGTAGACCGGGTTCATGGAACGAAGCACACAACCTGGGCCTGACCAATGAGCCAATGGAGCGAGAACAGAAGGTTGTTTGTTGCCTGCCTACCTAGGTACCTTCTTCCCTTTAGGTAGGTAGGCAGGAGACACCTCAGTACCAAAATGTAGGTACCATTGGGAAGTAACTGGCGGGACGTGAGGTCGGAACCCGCGGTCTCGTCCAGTTAAGTTGTCGCTGCCGACGTCCAGAGTCTCTTATTTACTCCTGCTACAAGGGGCAGGACACAGGAAACAGAAACAGGAGGCAGGAGGCAAAGAAGGAGGCGCCAAGTCCGAGTGGGTAGCACAAGGGGCAAACAAGGCAGGTACCTACGTTGGAAGGGTCAAGGGGAGGAGGACTGGGCGGGGCCGGGGTCGGGCTGGCCTGGTGGGGTGGGGGCTGAGGCGATTCGAGGAAACGTGGTTGCAAAAGAAGAGACAAAAGAGAAACAGGTGTATAGCCTTTCTCGACCTTTTTGCGGGCGATGCTGACGACGTTTGCCCAACATGTCACGAACCAGAGAACGTTGCGAACACAGAAGTGGGTTTTCTCAGCGGCCTGACGGGCGCTAGCAAAGCATATGTACAACTGTTTACGCACGCAAGTCAAGCCAACGGCAGCATCACGGACAGTGCATTGTGCAGCGGGCGTGCTCTGCCCAAACCGCGAGAGCCCACCCTGCCGAGGTAGGTACTTTGACAGGCTGACCAGGTACTCTGTATCCGTATCGTGTACGAAGGAGTCAGCTATGAGCGCCGATTTCAGGCATGCATCGCCGTTGGATGGCCAGGCGACGACGATTCGGTTCCCCGCGTCTGCGGCAATCGGCTGGCCTCTGATCCAGGTAGGCTAAATGAAACTCGAAACGAAGACGAAGATCCCGAGGATATGATAAGTCTCCGTAGATGCACGCGAACATGGATGGGAACCGTGCCTCCGTATACCTACTCGTCCATCGAGCTTTACCCTTTGGATTGATGTCCGTCGAGGGTCCGACAGGCCATTGGAACACACGGTCCCAGATCTGCAAATTTCTTCCACTCTCGACTCCAACCGGGGGGGAGGGGGTAGATATACATAGGTATGTACGAATAAAGACACACTCCCTTTCTTACACTAGACGGTACTTTGTCATTGCTTCCTCAGGTACTGTGGATTGATACGAACTATTCCGACTCTGTAGCACCCTAGCAGCGAACTGGATGTTTGTCACCGTTGACTTTGAGCTGCTCTGCCACGCCTCGCAAAGTTCATCGCACCACAGAAAGCAACTATGGTACGCAGGATGAGCGAAGGGGGAGATATGCCATGTGTCGATGGCAACGTAAGGCAAGGCAAGGTAGAGAGAAGCGGGGATGATGCAAGATTAAAAGCAATGTAGCGTGGGCAGGTCGATTGCAATGCAACGCTGACAAGGTGGTTTTCAAACATGCGTTTCCCACGGCGCCATGTGTCTGTTTCTGTTTCTGTTTCTCTCTTTCTCTCTCTTGGTGGCCAGCCTTGGCTTCTCCAGCCGTCACTCGATTAACCCATTCTGGAGTCTGGCTAGCGAGTGGTAATCTACCCGTCTGTTATCCCATGTTGCCTATCAGTATCATAATTATACGAGGCCGCCCGCGTGTCGCGGAGCAGCTGGCTGACCAGAGAAGGCCTTTTGGGTGTTTGGCCCATCTGCAGCCGTGTGGTCACACAATTTCCTATTCCTAACGACTTGCGTCATGTCGGTGCCCAAGTCAAGCATATCGTCATTGAAGTGTCTCGCTGCTGCAAACACAAAAGGCGGCAAAAGGATAGGAGACGTTGAGTTCTGTCATAGGCGCCGCCAAAAGCTTCCTGCTGCACCTACGAGAGTTGATTAGGTTAGGTTATAGGTTGGTTAGGTTAAGTTAGGAGGTACGTATGCTGACCCGTCCTCGGAGACTGAGACTTTTGTGACCGCCGTCGACTGGAGTGAGTCAAGAATCTGTGTGTGAGAGCGACGAGGAGCCGCCATCTGTGTATCGAGGTGCCTTGCATCTCTTGCGGCGCGCTAAAGAGAGGCTTTAGTTTTAGCCTTGAAGCTGTGTCCACGCCCCACCTCCACCCCCCCTTCTTCCGTCCCTGTACAACACCCCCCGCTTCTTTTACCTTTTCCATCCGCTTTCCCTTTTTTTTTCCCTTTCCAATCGCCAGTGCTCAGTGTCCCAGGTTCCAGCCAGTCGCGTACTCTTCCTTTCGCGTGCCGTACGAACGCCTTCTGCTCGTCTTGACGAACCGAATGCAAAGGATTATTTTATTATTGGCCGTATGTCCGAAAAGCACAAGCCCATTGCCAACAATGTCTGTGTGTGTTCTATTTTGGCAACTGCTGAAGTTGATGAACGACGAAAGAGAAAGAGCCGGCCCGGCACCGGCACAGTATACTCTTGGGGTGCTGCACACGCATACATACGCCCCCCACGACTAGGTACACACGTCTCGTGTCATGACAGCTCTCAGGTGTCTGGGAAGGGCTTGTAAACTAATATGCAACCAGCCAGCTGCAATATTGCAACTAACGCTCCCCAGTCCTATGTGTCCATGCCTACTTACCTACCAGCCTACCCCCTAGTGGCTTGCTACTTTTGTACCTACTTGTGGTGTGTCTTGTTGTTTCCTGTAGGTACACTACTATGTAGTGTAGTTTAAGACCGGGGCCAAGATCAGAAAAGGCGTCCCACCGGTCACCCTCGCCCCTTTCTCGCATCCCTACCGTCTAGGGTAGACTGGCCGAGATCTGGGCCCTTTCCCGTTGCGTCTCTCACTATCCGTACTCCTTAGGTACTCTTCAAGTCTGTTCCCCTCGGCCCAAGGCGTGCGACCCTCCGCAGACAGTTGGGGGGGGGGGGGCGTGCACGTAGCGAAGAGCACAACAGCGAGACGGCCTTGTGTGTCCGTCTCTTGCGGAAGTTCACCTCCAAAAAGAATACTCATCCCTTCTTCTCAATCGTCCATCCACCACCACCTCGGCCGCCGCCCCCCAAAAAGAAGCTCCCGGCTGGAAGATGTTAGTTTCATCGTAGGACAATTCTGACAACATCTCCACTCTTTTTTCTTTCATTGTTACCCTTCGGCTCGCAGTTCCTCCTGCTTTACTTACTCCCCCCCTTCCCCCCTCCAAATTCTAGGTCCTGTGCGTGTTCTGCCGCCTCTTCCATTTGGCTTCCAGGAAACATCCGGACCCGGCTGGTAAAGGGAAGGAGCAACCCAGCCCCAGCCCCGTGTACCATCAACCTAGAGCCTGTCGGGTCTTCTCTAACAATACCCATTATCCCCGTCTCCGAGTCTCAATTTCTGGTTCAGCAACCCGGCGTGCATTTGAACTTGACCGCATTTATCTGCATACTTGTCTCCTTATCCCGCCCGCCTGGCTTGCTGTGTGAGGTGGTAACGGGCCAACTACTCTTTAACGTCTGCGTGGCTCCATACACCCATCCACATTCGGTCGCTCCTTCCTCGACCCCCAACCTATCCCCAGACAACACCACCTACTTGTCACGACCCATTTACGCACTCTCCTCCAACCCATGTCCTCCTCTTCATAATGATCTCGCCTGCCTTGCAGCCCAGCCTGTTCCGTCCCGAAAGTCCATTGGCTTAAATTCTCTGGCTTCCCTACTTATTTGCTGGTCCTGGCCAGCCCACGGCCGAACCACGAACGGCCAGCGGAAACCCTGAAACGCTGTGTTCGACGCAGACTTTCCCCCCCTCGACGACGATCGAAAAACCGCAACCTTCTCCGTCACCCAACCCTCTCTTCGCCCGACGGCGCCAGCCTATCATGGTTGAAAGAATGGAACGATCAGATAGACCCTCGGGGTCGTCCATACCTCGCGGCTTGCCCGAGAATCCCGCTCAGGGTCGACGGCAACTCCAGAAAGATGTCGCGCTGGGCAACATTCCTCCGCCTCCCCCTCTTCCGCCAATGCCCAAAGACCTCCGAAATCTCTCTACCGGTGCGACCCTCACCGCATCTGCGCCCATGACCTCAGCACAGGTCATCGCTCTTGCCCGCGACGCGATGCAGAGCGCCCTCCACGAGAACGAGTCGCAGGCCGCCGAGGCAAGCGCCGTCAGTACCGAGTTGAAACCGGGTGTCACCATCGACCTGAGTCGCAAGGGCATTCAGAAACTCCCTGACGAGGTTGTTGATATCATTAAAAACGAGTTGGAGCGGTGCGTATACCTCGTTGACCTTGTCTGGTTGCGCAGTCTTTCTAACGTGCTTTGATATCTAGCCTCGCCCTCTCGCACAACCAAGTCACCTCCTTTCCGACTCGCTTCGCCGAATGCACATCTCTCCGATACCTGAACGTCAGAAACAACCAGATTCGAGAGTTTCCATTGCCGGTCAGTACCTCCCCACACGCAGATAATGCGGAAATGGTCTCTGATGATATTCTTCCAGCTCTGCGATCTAAAATCACTCGAGATTCTCGATCTGAGCAAGAACAAACTACGCACTTTACCCCCTGACATTGTCAAGCTTGCCTCCTTGAAAGTGTTCTCCGTCCAGAAGAACCGCATCGAGGAGTTGCCATTGGCCTTGGCCGACATGGTCTCCCTGCAGGTGCTCAAGTTCGACGGCAACCCGATCACGTTCCCGCCTCGTGAGGTCCTGCAGGTGCAGGCAAGTAGCCCCCCGAACGAGGGCTATCTAAAGGAAAGCGAGGTTACGGAGGTGGCCGTTACTGCACACATCAAGCGCTTTCTGAGGCAGCACAGCTTGAATGGCCGTGCGGAATCAGACACGACCGGAGAAGAATCCAGCGAAGGCATGGAAACCCCTCGCATGCCCCCGATCAAGCGCGTCGTCAGTGGCCGTTTTCCAATCAAAGTCAATGGCACTGATGTTCCCGATCTTCGATCTCCAAACCTAATTCGGCCCCCCCCCATTCCAAATCGATCCCATTACCGAGGCTTGTCGCAGCAGAACACGGCTATTCGTCGGCCAGGTGTCATGCCTCTAACCATAGGAAATGTCAATGAGCGCCTTCGGAGCAATTCAGAGACGCTGCTGCAGGCGAATCGCGGAGAGCGTCCCGAATCCCGAGCAAGACGCATGGGCGTTGTAAATCAAAAGGCCACTCAGCTCGGTACCTTGGATGAGACGCAGGCAAACAATCGCTTTAGTCACTACAGAGGCCTGAGCCATGGCTCGGCGATGCAGCCACCGCCGGCAGGCATGTCGGTCAAAAGTCCCAACAGCCCGGCCGAGCCCTTTTTGCAGCGCCCCATCTACGTCCGGCGACTCTCAGTGCTGCCTGAGCGAAGACGCGAGTCCAAGGTGTACGATCCCATCCTAGAGGCTGCCAAGGGCATCCTCTATGCCGTCTTCCAGATCCACCCAATGATTCAGATGCTCATGAGCTTGACAAGCGACGGCTCTTCAAAGAGATCTAGCCTTGAGATTGTCTTCTACAACACGAATTCGCACGTGGAGGAGTTGGAGCAGGAAATCCAAAAGCATGATCCTGGCGCTGAGGGATATGAGATGGCTGGACGCGAGAACGAGAACGTTCACCGAGCCTGCCAGACTCTGGTCGGTGCCTACACCCACGTCTGCACTTTGCTTGCTGGTAATATTGACTCGTTCATCGACAACGGAGACCCGCGCTACATTCGCACCCTGTTGATGCTCATCTATAATAGCATTATGGAGATTAGATGCACACTTGCTGCGCTCTCGCCTGACGCCGGCCCTGCAAAGCCTACCCCGCGAGCCATGACCTTGGGCGACACGGTCAAGCCTCACTCGCGGGAGAACTCCGTTACGCCTACCGCTGAGCGGCTTGGACTGGCCCAGCGACCCCGACCAGGCCCGATTCTCCATAACCCAAGCAACCTGAGAGTAGCAACAGACGTACCACTCCCTTATATCAATGGGATGAACGGGATGAACGGCGTCGCTTCCAGTCGCACAGCGACACTCGCCTCGGCAACACCTCGATCCGGAGAGTCTTTCATCTCCGCTTCGTCAGGCGGACGCGGCATATCTGACTTCACAGAAGATGACAGACACTTTGAGAAGATCTTCTTGTCACTTCAGCGATCGTCCGAGCTCGTCATGAGGACTTTGCCCATGTTCCAGAACCACATGTCGGTCCTCGCGAAGAAAGCAATGGGACGTCGCGCTACGGATCACGAAATGGCGTGCTGGAAGGGGCTCATTTCGAGGTGTAGCACCGCGGTACAGCAGACTGAGATGCTGCGCAGCCGCCTTTCGTTGGTCAAGCTCAAGGAACCTGGTATTATGAGTCAACCGGCCTTCAGAAGCTTGATTAGCAACTTTATAGATTCGTGGGCGGAATTCGGCACCCAGATCCGCTTTGCGTTCAACGAAGTCAGTCTTCCGCCTGATACCAGGGTCAGACTTCGGCCTATCCAGCAGGCTATGAAGGAAGCAAGAGATACCATTATCCAGTCGCCCTGGAGCTATCTATTGCGACAGTCTTCGAATCCGAACACCTTCAGCCCCAACGGTGGCCCGGGCTTGGCACCCATGCAACTGCCGATGACGCCCCAAAGCGCGGCTTTGGGACCCGCCGTTCAGGCAACAGTCCCATCTACTCCCCAAAGCGCTTCTTTTGCGGCGGCATTCAACGGCAACGTCTTTGAGCGAGCCGATGCCCTTATCAATATGGGCGGGCTTTCAATGTCTCGAAACGGTACGATGACAAACAGCTCGGCCGCTAGTTTCACCATGTCTTCCATGTCATCTTACTCGTCTGACGGAGGAGCCATGACACCCTCATCAGTCATAAGTCCTAACGGCTTCGGCCCTGGTCCGGTGCCGTTGCGACTCAACGGTAGCAAAGTTGCCTTCTAGTCGAAGCACAGAGCTACCCCTTGGATTCGACGCACATTCTTGGGCAAAAAGTATGGGCGGAAGTAAGCCCCGTTTGTGTTTTTTTTTTGTACTTTTACCGGTGGTCTGCATGACCAGTATACGCATTTTGTCGAGTACCTCATTCCTTCATTCACGCATAGCATTGGCGTCAAGGGCGGACTTATCTGGGGATTGCCATACACTCATTGAAAGAAGCATGTTCCTGGCCGGACATAAGGGTCAAGGAACGCACGTAATGTCATAGTTACGAAGCCAGGCTGATGTTAGTTCCATACATACCAAAAGTGGAAAGACGGGTTCAGTGGAGCAGCTACTACGAGTTCATGTGTCACGGTCACACATTAACTGTCGTTGTCATATGTACACTAGGTCTCTGCCTATTGGCACATAGGCAAATACAACTAACTGTTTGATAATCCGCCTCTTTTTAAAGGGATTTGTCCTGGCACAATTGTGTGAGGTGTGGGTAGGCATGTGAATTTGATACATCCTAGACTACTAGCTGTACACTTGAAAGTTCACAATGCATCAAACTCCTCAGTCTAGCGCATGTGTCAGTTTGATTGTTGCATAGTCCTACTATATGCCTGCCCTGTGTTTTGGATTAGTGTGATCAAGGCAGTTACATTGAAGTCTTTTGGCTTGGTTTAGTCCTGCTCCTTTCATTGAGGACAAGGGCTTGCATATGTATATAAACAACAATACGCAACTGAGAGCAATGACAGTATGTGATGCATTATTATATTGGTTTGGAAGACTGGTTTCGGCTCTCACGAGTTTCAAAGCGTCGGTGATTTTCAAAACTGAGAGCATTCCAAGCCTGTACTTAGTCTGCACTTATCAGTTGGTACTCATACTAGGTCGAACCCTTCTAGCACCGCCAGCTCAGTGCGCATGCAGTACCATGGGCCTGGCCCAAAATGGCACCGAGCCTGTTCAGGCCATACCCTTGGGGGATTGCGGGCACCGCTATTCTTTTGTTCTCCCGTTCATGGGGGCAAGGTCTTTCTTATCTCTAGCAACTGGCTAGACAGGCTAGGAAGTAAAGCCAACGGTCCAAAGCCAATCTTGATCGAGTTGTGATGCTAAAGTATAGAACAACTCGAAAAAAATCCTTCTCCTCAGCTCAGTGTTCTATCGCCTCAAGTTGTAGAGAAGGTGTAAGGTTTGTGCTATTTACAAAATCGAATTCGGTTGGTTCCAATCGGGAGATCAATTAATCCCAACAGCCTCAAGCGGCCAGACCAGCCACGGCCTCCAATAACTACCAAGTAACTCGTCAACAACTTCGACAATAGCCTTGCCCCAACCCTCCATGAACCAATAATGGTTCAGCCCGTGCATCAGTACGCCGAAGAAAGCAAATAGAATCAGGGCTGGGGGTTGCCGTTGATGCAACAGAGTGAAGTAGGGCTGCGGTGCAAAGTGGATGAAAGCAAGCGGTCCTGCCCAGCCCCTGTTACAGCTCCACTCCTGTATAGTTTGAGAGTCCATTGTATCGAATTGCAAAATGAACATGCGGCATTTCCTCAGAATCCGGAGCGCCTCTTCGTAGACCTCGTCGTCACCGCTGTTCTTCCACGTTTCTCGCATGCGGCAAAGCTGCGTGTCCATCTCCTCCGGCGTGGCGCGGTCGGGGTCCAACTCGAACCAGTTCCCAATGTCTATGATTCTGACCATCCGGCCGGTTCGCAGGTGGTCGTGGGTTGGGCCGAGAACGGCCTCGACGCCGCGGAGCATCGGGATCCACTCGGCGCCCAGTACGCGGTCCTTCTGCAGACGGGGTGAGCTGTCCTGAGGGCTGTCAGAGAGCTGTTTCGAGATGCCGAAAACGTAGAGTACATTGATGAGCGACCATGCGAGCAGCGCTTCGCTGTCTTCGACGGTGACGTGGCGGACAACCTCGTGGAACCCTTTGAGGGCTTCCTCGTGATGGCGGGTTGCCTCCACAACGTACTGGCCGTTCTTGGTGCCCTCGATGTAGGCAAGATGCAACGCAGCCAGGCTCAGAATAGCGTGGGTCACAAAAGGATACTGGAAGCCGATCTGGGGGAAGACGACCTGCCACAAAGAGTCGAGGTCGGGGGTCTTGAAAACATCGACGCTCGTGCACACGGTCCAGTGGTGCAGCAACGCCAAATCCTGGATGCTGAAGTTGAAGGAAACAGCGGCCGACGACGCGGACGCAACGGCATCCGTCCCTGGGGTTGCAGTTACTGTTGCTGGGGATCCTGAAGCGCTTCGCCCCGGGGGGGCGTGATTCGCGCGTGTACCGGAGGAGGATTGTGGGCGTGGCGCGCGTCCAACCCTGTCTGAGCGAGTGTCGACTGCTTCGTCGTTGATAGCATGGGGTTCTCCGGGATCGGGATACTCGCATGAGACCTCACGCCGGATGCAGGCTCCGCATTGCGGCCTCTCTTCGCCGCACTACAGGGTCGGGTCAGTTCAGGGCTCCACGGAGGGCTCGTTGACGGGGCTGGGACGGCACCTTGACTCGACGTCTCCGGCAGTTGAAGCACCCGGTCCTTGATTTCTGGTGTGGCCTGCGTCGCTTTGCTGGTGTGAGTCTCTCGGATCCCTCCGACGACATGGCTGTCAGGATAGCTCGTTCAGGTCGTTAAACGAGGGGAACAACAAGAACGAGATCAAGAACGAAGAACGAGGAGCGAAGACGAAAGAGTGGGGCTGTGTAAGCCAGATCCGGTAAGTGGGGATCAAGCCGAGCTCCCTTGCAACTCTCCGATGCGACAACCGATAACTGACTGATTTAGACAACGTCCGTGCAACCAGTCTTACACATGGTAATATGTATAAATCGAGCGTCAATCTGAAGAACAACTCCATCTATGAGTCTACAATACAATGAAGAAACTCCGTCGTTTCCGCTGGGCGCTGATGATGATTATCCCCTAATACAATGTGGAATGGCTCGTACGCAATTTCGCGCTTCTCAACCTGCTTCACTTGCGTGTCCCTTCCAACATGAACTCATTCGATCCTGATATGTCGCGCTCTTCCCTCGATTTCTTTGACTTTTTGCCCTCAAGGTTTTCGACATACCACATCGAGAAAATAGCCATCACTATGGCCATTAAAAGAGTGTCGAATATGTAGAGGAATATTTCGTGAGAGATAAGGTAGCCGCCGTTTCCCTGTAGATATTCAACGACCCGGAAGATGCTTCGTATTAGGATGATGCCGCTCGTAATATATAGCACGAATAGATGCCTCTTCCAGGGCGTGGTTGGATCGGAAATACTTTTAGGGCTTTTCGCGAGACGGTAGTGAAAGAGTAGAGAGGTCACGACGAAGAATCCAAACACGACTATCTGGACAAAGAGTCCCACGATAATGATTTTCTCGCCAGCCTGGTAAAGGTCCATAGTACCCGCAGCTTGGATGCCACCGCCTCCCGCCTGCAGCGAGAAGGCAATCACGTCTCCAGTGACGAAGATTCGTGTCACCCAGTCGACGGGTATCAACGACAGATGCTCGCCCCTGACTGTTCGAATGAGGCGACCCAGTATCATGTAAATCGAGGCGGCGTATAGGGCTGGAGCGACGAGGATAAAGATAGCTTGAATACTGAAACCGCCGATGGAACGCTTATCATAATGGCTCAATATTCTACTACAGTAACCTATGGTTTGGACTGCGCGTTCTACAATTAGCTTCAAATATATTTGTACAAGTTATTTGCACACGTCTTCTCGACCCAAGACGGCCAGCTGCGTTTGATATCAAGAACAACTTACACAAACCACCAACGGTGAACGCGGTAAAATAATAGGCCCGTGCTTTGTACAGCCGCCAGGTGTGAAGAATTGTGAGGATGGCGAAGACGACGACACTGACGACCGCAGCAGGCAGTGATGGGGTATACCGATAGAGTTGGAAATCAAAGCTCCCGCTGGAGTCCGGGGTTTGCGCATCCGTTCCCATCTCGGCCGTCGACGAGTTTTCGCGAAAATCTGTCGGATGATTCGATAACTAGTAAAAGGACGAAGCTGGGTTTTTGTAATATTTACTTGGAGAAGAGGACGGGAGAGACGGAGAGAGAGGGTTCTTGGGCGTGCTATATACTATTTCCGTAGAGGTCAGGCACGTCCTCCTCCTGTTCTTATCCATCGTGGGGCGTACTCCCAATGTCACCCTTTGTAACGCTGAACCTGCAGCTACCAAAAACAATATTGGCCGAGTGAAATAACTGTTGCGAGGCTTATCCTAAATACGCGTTCAGCAAATTAAATCGTCCGTATGAGCAAGCTTACGTTCACTGCCCCTTCCTAGACCGGTATCTCCACAATTCGTCTTAACGCTATAAACGAGGAACGAGAGGTGGAGAGCTTCAGTGGACGTGGGTAAGTTAAACGAAGAACGAGAAATTATTTGACCGCTGAGTATGGCAAAGAGGTTACCAAGAGGTTTCCCATTTTCTCGATGGCCTAATTAGCTCGGATTGAACAAAGAACGAAGTACGAGCTTTAAACAGCACAGCCCGTTATTGGGGGTTGATGGGGCACAAGCCTCTGAATTTAACGGAGTAGCTGGTTAACCCGGATAGGAGATCCACGCAGGAATTATTCGTAACGGGAAAAGAACTTGGCTTGTCGCCTTTTCGACACACCGCAGGGTTGTCCACATAAAACCTTGCGTTTTCGTTATTTTTGTAGAGAGACGTCTAAGCTAGATGGAAGCACAGGATATAGCGACGTCAATAGCAGCAGAAGACGGGTTTCGAAACGCTGCGGAGTCGTCGTGGAGGCAGCTACCCCAGAAACGCATGCAGTGCAACCTCCTATCCAGTCAGGCTGTTACATAGATATACGCGAAGCCTAAGACATCTATAAGATTATCAAATATGGCTTCCAAGATTCTTATGTATCGTAGTAGATTATCACCAAAACAAATTTCCAGGTCAGTTATCTTAGTTCATGTCATTATTTCTGACCTGTAATCAAGCTTTCTGGACTTAAGAGGCAAGAATCAGTCTCTTTGTACCAAAAGCAGCCAAAGCAATGCTTGTGGACATCCCTCTTGCCTCACTGAACTCATGAGCATAGTTCTGAAGCACTTTGGCAGTGATATTCGTGACCACGGCCCAGTTGTGGGTACTAGGAGTGCCGTCGTGGCAGAGAAAACCCTCACGTGGGGCTTTATGGACGTGATTAGCGATCCGGTTATGAAGCCCGTCACAGGAGGCCAGCATGAGGGCGCTATTGGTGCCTTCGAGAAAGTTGACAAAAGCGCTGCAAGCTTGGTTGCAAAGAGCGGCGCAGGCATGTTTGAACTGCTCACATACCTAAGCGCTGGGATTGCTAAAAGCTTTCAATCAAAGGGCTTGCAGCTCTACAATGAGGATGGCTGCTGGGGAGAAGCACGTGGAGGGGCAATCGTTAATCAACGATGCCAGAGAAGGTCCTTGCCTCCTTCAACAGACCAATTTGTAACCTTAACTACACTATGGACAAAGACGATAGAAAGTAAGAGACGGAACTCCGGCATGAATAAGAACTTAAAATTTGCTAGCGGCTGCGAAGTGTAAACTTTACTATTAGATACGTTTGCAAAAGTCGCAGTCGAGCCATACAATGCTCGTTGCTTTTACATCAGATCCTTTTGAAGTTATGTTGAATCTTTCATGATAGCGGTTACTGAGTCGAAGTATTCATTTGTAGACTTCGTCTTTGGTAGAGATATGATGTACTTCAGGTTAGGAAAGTAAAGAGATTGATTTCTGGAGTTACATTAATACATGTATTATCTTCGAACTTAGAATTTCAAGACTTCCACAGGATCTAGTGATGATGAAATTTCTTATTTATAAGCAGGAATATGAAAGCATCTTATCTATTGCCCAAAAGATGATCTGCATGTTCAACATCGTCCAGGAAACATAAGGGCGGCATCACCTGTACCTCACCACCTTCAGGTACGGTACCTCAAGAAACAGGCGTAGCGGGCGCCTCGAATTTGACGAACAGGTCGCGTTGCGTGTCAAGATAATCAAACGCCGTGAGAGGCACACCCAAGTGACGGAAAATGCAGTACGCGGAGCTGAGGTGGAAGTGGAAGTTGGGGCAGGCATACTGAACAATATATGAGTAGCCCGTGAAGCGGAATATGCCCATTGACTTGGTTTCCATGAGAATATCGGCGTTTTCCTTGCCGTCCATGGAGGATGGGTCGATCCTAGATAGGATGGATATCGTGGCGTCTACGCGAGATTGGAGCTCCGGGAAGGTGGTCTCGGTGTCGGGGAAGTAGGTGTCTTCCTGTAGAGCGAGGCGAGTGGCAACGAATTTTGCCGTGTTCGATACGGATTGAACTTGATAGTCAAGGCTATTAAATGTTATTCGGGTCATTCTGCTATCAAAAATAAAGTCTAGAGGTGGATGGATTCGGTAAGGGAGGGGGGACGAGAGACGGACCTGCGCATGTCTTCGATGAGTCTAAACTTAATCATCTCTTCTGGGTTGAGGTTCTTGGCGGCGCAATGTTTCTCGGCTTTGATAAGAATAACCTTGAGGTTACCTAAGTATTTGACCATCATGGGGATGGAAGCATGGTAGAGGGAGACCATCTTGACGAAGCTTTTCAAAGGCTGACTTGCTACAGGCTTGCTGAGAGGTGATATGGGTGAAAAGAAAACAGGTGTGAACAACCATGAGCGACAGAAAAGATCACTTCTATTTATATTTCAACAACTGCGTATTTTCAGTCTTCGCCGCCTCAGTTTCACATGCTTGGATATATTGGAACAGCTAATTCTAGTCAACTTGTCTACAGGGCCATCAATGAGAAACCTCCAGATCAGAGACTCAAGCGCTGACGTGAGAAAATTTACGTGGAAAGGCCTTGCTCTGAATTTCATTTGTTACGCACGCTAGTTGCCCGCAGGATTCAAAGTCCGTTTGTGACGTTCAGCTCAGCGGGATGAAGGACGATGTGGGATCGGCAGCGGATGCTCAGCGCTTCAACTCCGGTACCGATCGGCCCCACTATCCCGCCATTGTCATGCGGGGACGGATTAGCCGTCCCCGTCGCATGCTCTGATTCGCCTTCACCACGACTTACCCGATCAAGATAGGACTGGGATCGCGTTAGATCGCATGCCCAAACCCCTCGTCCTACCTACTCGCCACCCTTGCGAATCTCTCGTGGATCCTGTCAGCTGGCTGCTTTCCTTCAAGCCTCGTCCCATTCAAAGCGCCCTTGACGGTTTCTCGCAAGCGCGCTCTCTCTCCAGAAGCCACTAGTATCATGTTCGCTGGGCAGTTCTCCTCCTCGTCAGCGGGGAGGAATCATCCGCCTGCACCGTCGTCTACCACAACGACGACGACGACTGCATCCACTTCCGCTTCCCAGCATCTCAGCGCCTCCAGCGCGACGCGCGGACAGCACTCCCAATCCCCCAACACATCCATATCCGGGGTGCCGCAGCTCCCAAACATCGCGCAGCATGCCCCGGCTGCACCCCCATCATCGGCCTCACCACCTCAACTGCATCAGACCCTTCCCAGCGAGGATCAGGAGCGCCACGTCTCGGAAGCGCGCGCAGCTGTCGTCGCATCCATCGGGAACATGCTCGACGGCGAGCTGCAGACGCGCGCCCGCATGCTGCACTCTAACGCTGCGGCGCTGGATAAGCAGGAGCGGGATGTCATGAATGCGACGGAGGCGCTGCGCAAGGAAAACGACAAGCTGGCGCGGTTCGCAGGGGACGCGGCGCGTCGGGTCAAGGAGCTAGGCAACGTGCAGAACTGGGCCGAGGTTCTCGAGAGGGACTTCCTGGTGCTCGAGGAGACGTTTCGGCTGGTGAGAGAGGGGAGCTGCGGGAGTGATTGCGAGAGCTGTGGGAGTGGGAGTTGGAGTGGAAGCGGGAGCTGGAGCGGGAGCGAGGTCGGTGATGGTGAGAATGATGGGAGGACGGGGAAGGAGAATGGCGGTAAGAGTTTGGATAAGGGGAAGATGAAGTTGTGTCAGGATGGGTTTGATGCCGAGGCGATGGAGGTCGATGGGGATCATGGGGACTGCTCAGAGAGTATGACTGAAGCCGACTCAAGCGAAGGCACTGAGGGGCGGGCGAAGGGGTCAGAGACGACGTCGATTTCAACCTTTTGATCCATGAATATCTGGGAAGCACACAATACCTCTTAACAACTAGACGATGATTACGACGCTTCACGACTTGAATGAACTCGCTCTGCAATAAGAAATCTATGATTTAAACATTTGAACCTATTCCTTTTACGCCTTTCCTGGCTTGAAAAACCCTTCCGTTAGGTTCTTTTGTAACACAATTTCCACTAGCCCGTGGTATCCGCTCGTAAGAGTCAAGCAATTCAAAGAAACAGTTCCAGGTGCGAGCCGCAAACTCAAGCAAGTGCAAAGTCCAGTCAGCGCACGCGCGCATCTAGAAGATGCCGGGCAGCAGGACAAACTTCTTCTTCTTGTAGGTCTCAGGAAACTCCTTGCGGTAGGCGCGCTCCTTGCCTTTGGCCCACTGAGCCATCTGGGCAGCGCCGATAGTGATGAAAAGTGCGACAGCCCAGCTGCGACTCGTGATGATAATGCCAATCCACGCGATGATCTCGAACATGTAGTTGGGGCAAGTAACGAGGGAGAAACCATAACCGCGGGGAATCTGACGTTCGGTGCCGCCGCGGGAGCGCAGGCTGGCCAGGTTGAGATGGACGATGGCATTGGAGGCTTCGCCGAAAAGGAAGATGATGGTGCCAAGAACGTCAACGGCATCGTTGCGGGCGAGGGCCGTGGGCGAGCTAGGCGAATAGACGTGCCAGGCGCTGAGAAGGCCGGCGAAGGCCCAGTAGAAAAACGAGTTCTTGAAGATGTTGCGCATGGGCATCGTGTTGGCCGAGAACTTGTGGACGAAGAGCGTCTCATACTCGCGCTTGAGGAAGTGACCGAGGAACATGGCGAGGGTAAGAAGCTGGGTCGGCGACATGGGCTTCTTGGCGCCTGGGCCCCAGTAGATGTAAGGGCGCAGGCCAGAGAAAGCGAGGTGGATAAGGATGGGACCGAGGTACTCAATCACGAAGACGGTGCTCCATGCCATTTGGGGGCCTGTGTTGCGATGTTAGTTAGGAAACACATAACTTCTCCTTGGTGAATGGGGGTCGTTTGGATCCGAGGGATTACAACGTACCGAGGTCCTTGACCAACACCTGTCCGGCGGACATAACAGCCGGCTCAGAGCTGATCGGCGCCTTGCGGTTCTTCAGCGTCTTCTGGGTAGAAGGATCGAACAGGCCGATGCGATTGAAGTCGCTGATGCCGGCCTGGCGAGCAACCACATGCTTAATCTCCTCGACTGTAGTATCGGCGGAGACCTCGATCGATTCGGGGAGCTTCTTGATTGGTTGCTTCGGTGCTGTTGGCACTTGTGTAAGCAATTTCCTTTAGGATCTGGGGTCGCTAATAGCTGCTTACAGCGGTTGCTCAGCTTGAGCGTGATTTTGGCGGCCATTTTTGGTGAAGTATCTGTCCTGAAGCGAAATGAAGTGTGTCCGGTGCGAAATTCGAGCTGCGCTAACGTGGCTGAGCTTGTACTTGGCCGTTTCTAAGGAGCTTGAGGGAAGGGCTTTTTAACGTGCTGGGTTTTAGAGTAGTTGTTGAGAAGCTACTGCACGGTCGCTAGCCTCGGATGTGGGTGGGTCTGACGTGCGATGACAGGTTAATATTGCATAAATGCATATCCCATTATATCCGATACATTGTCGCATTCAATCTCTTAACCGACTGGGTCAACTAACATCATCCGTCACCAGCCTTATCCAGCTCGGTGGTTCCTGGCTTGCAGAAATGACTCTGAGAATATACTTAATTATTATGCCACATGTTTTCTGAGAGCTGAATGCATCTCATAGGTGACTGCCTAGTCCCCACCCGGATTCCCGGAAGGTTTCCAGGCCCTCTGGTACGTCTGGTTGTGGTGTAAAGCATATGGATGGACTTCAGGGTTACAAGACCCTGGACTATGACTGGCAGTGACCCAAGTACTTAATATATGAAGCAACATAGACTTATCTAGAATGTATTCGTGCAGTGCATCGGCATCTTACGTTGCAGCGCCTAAACACTAGAGTGCTACAAGGTTCAATCTTCGCAAGCCTCCCGCTGGAGTTTCTCAAAAGGACTCTTGAGATGATCGCCTTTTCAAACTCAGCGATTACTGTGATATCAATTGGCTTGGTGATCAATTTCACGCTGAGAGTCAAACATACCAATCCCCTTCTTCACATACTGTATTCCTTATCTCATTATTGCTGTAGTGTAATGATGCCATAGGCTTATGGACCAAGCAAGTAAGATATATGGTTGTATGCGTTCAGGCGGACACCTGAATGGGGTCACGAAACGCAGGAAGTGAAGTCAATGAGTAAATTTAGGCATCTAATCTTACAGCCACGAGAAATTTGGGATTCGCGGTGTACATATTACAACATTTGGACATGACCGAAATGTCCCGTAGACTTCGATCCATCAACCATATTAATAATCCTTGATCTGCTTGGTTCTATCCTGAGTATGTCCTTGTCTTTCTCCGACACTGCACTTGCTACCCTGGGAGACAGACAGCCTTCCCTCTGACCCATCCATACCTTCTCCATGCGCTTCTTCTCTTTTAATGAAGAACCCTATTTCTGGTTTCTCCTTGATGTGTTAAAACAAGAGAAAGGAAGAAAGAAAAGAGGGGGGAAGCAGTCACCGAGATGTGGTCTGGCAAAAGTTTGATGCATCGAGTTACAGCTAGAAGGATTGGTCAAACAGGATTCACGTTATAGCCAGAGGCCCCTTTCAGCCAAATCTCGACTTCTGCACCGAATCCAGTTTTGGAAAGCACAAGTCCGCAGCAGTTTCCGTCTCTGGCGCGATTGCCCCGACACTTATACTTTCTGTTACCCAAAGACCAAGTTTCGTACAGGCGAACCAATACCTTTGAGAAGCGGGCCTGCCTCATCCGCCACCACTTTTCTTTACCTTCTCATCACCCTCATCTTCCATCCTCTTCCTTCATCTTCGCGCCGTTACGGTTGTCAAGAGGCAGCCCTCCACCACTTGCACCACTTGCGTGAACTGAGGGACTAAGACAGCACAATTCCCAACCACTTGGCACGTCAACGCAATTACAAGATTATCACCAAAACTAACCAAAGTATAGGCAACAAGCGGCCCCTCAATTTGTTACACATCCTAAAGAAAGCAACATGATTCGAATACGGCATAGTCCTCAACCGACCGATACCAGCTCTTCGTTCTTTTCCGATCTTCTTGGCAAGAACACTTCCCCCATATTTATCCCAGGACGCACTCGCCATCGCGGACTGACAGAAACAGAATCCGACACCCCCAGCATCATGCCTTCCCATGCTTATCAGTTGGACTTGCATCGAAAGCCCACTTGGGCACCCCGGCCTCGGAGAGTCGACTCCCCGACGTCTCCATCGACCATATCAACCGCTACCAATCCTTCAGCGGCCACATCACATTCTGGTTTTGATGGCTACACGGAAGTTTGCAATACCCACAATCAGCCATCATTGAAAAGCCTGCCTCCTGGTGTACCGACAGGCCCAGCTGCAGACCGTAATCGACGGAACCGACCAAATCAATTGTCAGGCCATTGTGGAATCGAATACAACAGACCTCCTCCGAACGCACCGACTGGCCCGGCAGCCCAACGAGAACAAGAAGCGAGATTAATCCCGTCGCGTGGTTCACTGCAGTTGGAGAGACCAGCCAGGTCTGCTTCATGGTCTCAGTCACTGACTTGGCAAAGCACCGAGACACAAGCTCGTGAGGCTTTCAGGAGGGCCTCAGCCGAAATGCGGCATCTCGGAATAGACAAGTCGCCCGCAGCCCCCAAGGCATTCGGAGAATACCTGAACACCAGGATGCATAACATGCAACGCGGTCTTGCTCTGCGGAAGATGCAGCAACAGAAGGCCGACGAGCAACAACGTCATCGCAAGACTAAAGGAGAGGTTGATCAAATGCAGCCACTCAGTTCTGAAGCTCTGTTACATCAAAAGCTCTGCTCAGGCCGACTCTCTCCGGTGTTCAGTGCCGATCTGTGCTGGAATGCATACTACACGGTGATGGATAACGCACCCCACGACGAGCGTGTTGAATGGCCGCCACTGGCAGCTTTTAAGGAAGCTGGCCGCAGAATTGGGCCAAAAGCTCTCGAACGGTCTCTACCTCTTCCCAGGCAGAATCAGATCCGAAAGCAGGGACGAACGGTCGAAGGAGATGGTGCAAACGATGAGGCAGGTACAATGGACTACTATGAGAAGTCTGTCAAGCTGGACAGACTCGGTCTCTTCCAGCAGCAGTCTCTACCAGAGCCCGAGTTCACTGATACCTATGACATTGAGATCGAAAACCTCTCTGCATGGACTCGCGAGATAATTGCCGAGATCGAGCTTGATGAGGAAGAGGAGGAGGAAGAGAACCCGGTTGCTATCCAAGAGAAGGAGAACAAGGACAAGGACGGAGACTTTGGCTTTGAACCCACCAAAGAATAAGCGATCAGTTCAACAAAACCATAGACGAGACGAGGGGATGACGGCAAAATGGCTGATATTATAAGGGTGGTGGTGTATGTTGGGTCAAGGTTGCAGAAATGCGGAGAGCACTGGCCAGCCGGCATTGGAAAGGCAGGGAAGAAGCAAGATAGCTCTTCTTCTCGCTACGGTCTTTTGAATTCAGAGAAGGGGAAACAGGAAATACACGGCGATCAGGATTTGGGAATGGCTGCAGGCAGGATGACACCTGGGCAGCTGGGTGAGTTGCGCGGAGGGGTTGTCCTCAGACCGAATCACAAGTCGGCATTACCCAGAACAAGAGAGGCTGAGGAGACGCCGTCTCTCAGGGAATGTAGCAGAGCTTAAAGAGAGACACGCGTTAGTTGCAGTCCAATACCACAAAGTACATTTTCCCATCTGTTAAGGCTTGAGCTGTGATTGCTCCTCTGTCCCATGTTATCCTGAGAAATGCTTTGTTATCAGGCATCAGCTCAGAGATGAAGCAATACGCATTATGTATTTGCAACAAGCCGATCTGTTAGATGGAAGAAGAGGTTGAAGGTGAATGCTTGCCTAACTCATGGTTTCAAGATGCCTACATTGTTGGTTGGCACTGCGGTACACCCCACGCTATAATATCCACTGTCGCTCTTAAAATCAAAGGAGATTGATTGTCTTTGCTGTTTATTTATTCTGCATAGTGAAATCAGAAGAAAGCTAGTAGTAAATAGCGATAATAATGGTTGGGACACAATTGCATCGCGTCAGCTTTGTGTATGTATGTGTGTGCGCGCGCGTGCACACGCGTGAGCTATTGATGCCTGACTGAGTATTGGAGTCTTGTGCGAGCTTGCTGGAGCTAAAATGGAGCTCTATTGCTTCCCTGTGTAATCCGAAGTTCAGCCGCTCCAGGTCAGGCATTAACCGACCGATAAAAAGGTGGAGGGCTAGCCAAATGCGGTGAGAAGTGGAGATTTTCAGCCTTTTGCTTTCTTCTTACTGTCCTTCTACCTCCACCATCCACGACCCAGTCATCAAACCTTTCCTCCACACAAATACCTTACCTGCTCCCTCTTCTCACTACCGTGTCGCCCGACCATCCCCGATTCCATCCTCCTGCTTCTGCGTGTCCTCTTACCGGCATTGTATTTACTTTTCTCCAGGAACGCATTGGTCTGCAGCCTGATTGCCTTTGTTTTCCTTTCGTTATTACCAAAAAAAAAAAAAGGTCGCAATATCTAAGCTTGGTTGCGTGTTTTGCGCAGCCCCTCCTTCTCATCCGAGATGTCAGAATTCTTAGGGTACGAAGACCTGGACCCTCTCTGCGCAATTTCGCTCGACATCCTTGCTGACCACAGACCTATATAGATCTCGCATCTCTCTCATCTCCAAAAGCGACATTCGGTAAGGACCTGGAGGACTCTTCGTTGCTCCCCAGTCCTCTTGCTCATCGCCTCTAGATATGTCGGCGTTCTCCACGAGATCAACTCGGACGAGTCGACCGTCTCGCTTGAAAATGTTCGCTCCTTCGGAACAGAGGGTCGCAGAAGCAGACCCGAAGAAGAGATAGCACCTTCCGATCAGGTTTACGACTACATTATTTTCCGTGGCAGCGATGTCAAGGACTTGAGGATTGAGGATCACCCGGGCATCAAGGAGAACAAGCCTCCCGCGATGCCCGAGGACCCGGCCATCGTCAACGTAAGCACCCGCCGCTCCCTTTCCACCTTCATACCCTTTGAAAACGCCTACTATGATGAAACATTGCGGATGTAAAAATTTATCGTCTTGTCGGAAAAGCGCAACTTACACAATGTCGAAACTTTCCGTTGCCTTCCTTCTGAATCTAGGCCTCCCATTGTCTTTGTATATTTGACTCATTAGGACTGGAACACGGCTAATCATGTCAATCAATCCAGGCTCGCCCTCGTCCTGGCCAGGGACCTAGCAATCAGCCACCCCCAGCACCTGGCTTCGGACAGCCTCCCTTCCAGAACAACTTCTATCCTCCACCAGGTCCATGGGGCCCTGCTCCTGGGCGTGGCGGCCCTGGCGGTCCTGGCGGCCCTGGCGCAGGAATGGGTGGCATGCCGTACCCTCCCCCTCCTGGATGGTTCCCTCCCGGCCCTCCTGGCCAAGGCTTCCCTCCTGGCCCTGATCAGTGGAACAATTACAACAACTACCCTCCCGGACCTCGTGGACCCCCCGGGCCTCTCGGCCCTGGTGGCGTACCTGGCCAGGCCCCTGAGAACCGCGGCACTCCCGGTCCTCATGATGCAAAGTCTGCGCCGACTGGCGCCGCTGGTGACAGGCAGAAGCCCGCCACACCGGCTGCTCAGGGTGCTCCCAGCGACACTAAGCCAGCTCCCCCCCCTGGTTTCCAGCAGGCGGCCGCACCGACACCTCCCGTCGAGTCGAAGCCCTCTGCGGCAGAGGTCAAGGCCACCGCTGCATCCTTGAACACGACTGGCTCCTCGAAGCCGGTCGAGCTTCCCGTGCCCACAGGACCAAGGAACCTTGCTCGTGTCCAACCAGCTGTCCCTCTGGCTGGATCTATGCCCAAGGCATTCCCCGTTCCTGTCAACGACAGCAACGCCGGTCAGGCCGTCCCTAAGCCTGCTGCCGCCCCTACCGCCGCCAGTGTGCGGGATGCTACTGAGGCCGCGAAGGCAGCTGTTGCTTTGGCCATGGCTAATATGAATGCCGGCAACGTTGCCGTTCCCACCGCACCCCAGGGTAACGGCAATGCGATGGACAACTTGACGAAGAAGGTCAACGAGATGAGGGTCAACGCAGCCCGAACCACCCAGCCTGGAGGTGGTCGTGGCCGAAGTCGTGGTGGAAGACAAGGCCAGGCCAAGGTCGAGGTTCCTGATGCGGACTTTGACTTTGCCCAGGCCAATGCCAAGTTTAACAAGGATGACTTGGTTAAGGAAGCCATTGCAGGCTCGCCTCTGGGCGAGGCTCCTAACAACGGATCCGCAACTGAAGCTCCTGCTGCCGAGGTTCCTGGCACGAACCCGCCTGTTGCTTACAACAAGACACGGTCATTCTTCGACAACATTTCAAGTGAGGCCAAGGACCGAGCAGACAACAACGGCCAAAAGCCTGGCGGTCGCGAATGGCGCGGCGAAGAGCAGCGCAAGAACATGGAAACCTTTGGTCAAGGCAGTGTTGATGGCGGCTACCGAGGCTTCCGAGGCAGAGGTCGCGGCCGTGGCCGAGGAGGCTATGGTGGTCGTGGTGGCGGACGTGGCGGTTTCCGTGGTCGTGGTGGCCAGGGTGCCGCCGGCCCTGTCGAGAACTAGGCATATGTCATGCCTATAGCGTACTGTTGCTGCAAGCAACCCATATTGGGAATTCACAATCTGGACCGCCAAACAAAATCATGATTTTGATGGACGCTTCTCTAGCTTTTGGATGGAGGCGCGTTGCGGGAAGGAAATCCTTTCAAACAGGACTTTGTACGATGTATTATTCCTTGATTCTCGATTTTTCTCGGATTCCCTGCGACGGAGCATTGGGCTGGCAAGTCCTTTGAATTGGTTTGGCCAGGCGGGCAGGAATCAAAGGACTGCTATTTTGACATGCATGGGATCGGAAGGAGTTGGGCAGTGAATGCCGCAAGCGACGGGAGTTGCGGTCTCATGATTGCGAAGTGACGACAAAGGGAATTCAGGCGTGGGTAGCAAGCATTGCGTTCTCATTTGCTAGTTGAACTGGGCAGAGATCCCGGATCAACACGACTTGACGGCAGAGAAATGTCTGCTCTCAAGGTCGATAAGAGGGAAGAACACAAAAGGGATTGCTAATCCCTGGACAGCAAATGAGGAAATAAGAAAAAGAAGATTATTTTCTTCTCTTTGGTGGTAGAAGGATTGTAGCGTTAGGCTATAAGCGTAAGACCCTTTGAGGTGTCGTTTGCACACCAATACTACTACTACACCAACCACCAGACATACATGCACGTGTTGCAGTCTAAAGCAATTTGATTGCCTACAGCCGGTAGCACACCCATTGTGGCCAGGTAAACTGCTGCTGCTTGTCTCTGTTATCTACCTTTTGCTAGGTAGGCAGGCAAGGGAGCTCTGTTGGTAAACGTAAAGTGGTGAATTTGCTCCTGTCAAAAGCGCTGGCTTGAAGGGTGCGCTGAAAACTGAGAGCTGTGTAACTCTTGCCCCGCCAAACCCCGCCACACGTCATGGTGTGACGCATCATTGCGCGACTTGGTGCTGACAAGGAACTCTTCCGTTCTGCAAACCAACTGCTCTGCAAAAAATCTTTCCTCCACTCTCCAGCTCCACCAATTATCATTGTTTCCAAAACCAATTGAACCGGATATCATCACCATGTCGAGTCGTCAGCTTCGCAAGCTGCAGAAGCAGAGAGAGCTTGAGCAGCTGCAAGAGGCCAAACCTGCCACCGAGGAATCCAGCGATGACGAGCCTGAAACCGCAACCATCAAGCCTCGGCAGAGCTTGTTCGCAGCTCTAGGCGGCGGACAAGACGAAGACGACGACGATGATGATGACGAGGAGAAGCACGGCAATAAGCAGGAGGAGGCCCAGCAAGAATCCGAGCCAGAGGTGGTGTCTCAGCCTGCCAAAAAGAAGAACAAGAAAAAGAAGAAGAAGGCGAAGAAGGCTTCGACGCAGGACCAACCCGAAAAGGTTCCGGAAGATAAGGAAGACGAAATCGACAGGGCGCTCAAAGAGCTTAGCATCGCGCGCAATGCCGGCTCAACCGCCTCCGATAACCTTGCGCAACGAAGTCGCGACGTCGACGAACTCCTGCAAATCAACACCCAGTATCTCAGGGCCATCAACGAGATGCGCGCCCTATTTGGAAAGGAGGCAATCCAGGCCGCACAGGAAGAAGAACGGGCCGAGCAGGAAGCTGCGCGCCGAGCACAAAGAGGTCCTAACCAGCAGGTTGACCTGGAGACAGCACTTCGAGGGGATCCGCGCAAGAAGCTTCCCGAGGTATCTCTACGGAGAAACGTCTTCATCCAAGGCAAGGACACTTGGCCACGCGCCACTGCGGCAGGTTTGGTCATGAAGGAAATCAGGAAAGGCTCGGACGGTCTCGTCGAGTTCGCTTTTGTGCACGAGCAGGCATACGATAACGTTCAGATCATGTTCTTCAGCAGCGTCCAGCTCGGCGACCCCATGCAGATGGTCCAGCTTCTGATGCAGTTCCCGTACCACGTCTCGACCTTGCTTCAGGTAAGCAAGGTTGCCATCCAGGACCAAAACCAGGCGCTGGCGGCAGACCTTTGCGAGCGGGCATTGTTCACATTTGGCCGAGCTACGACATCTGCTTTCAGGCAAAAGATAGAGCAGGGCAAGGCCCGGCTAGACTTCCGCCGCCCAGAAAATCGCGAGCTTTGGCTCGCCGGATACACTTACCTCAAGAGCCTGATTCGCAAGGGAACCTACCGGACAGCATTGGAGTGGGCGAAGCTGCTGTTTAGTCTCAACCCGAATGACCCTTACGGAATGAAGTACTTCATCCACACACTGGCGATTCGGGCACGCCAAGCGCAATGGCTCATGGAGTTCATGAACACACATGAGTTCATGGCGGACGAGACGGACGACACGTACCTGAAGCAAACGCTGGTTCTTGCGAAGCTTCAGGTAGGCGACACTGATGGAGCAAAGATGGCGGCAGTGGCCGGCATGGAGCGTCTGCCGTGGCTCTACTGTGCCCTCTTTCAGGCGTTGAACTTGGAAGCGCCGCCTCCCTTGTGGGGTGTACGACCCGACACCAACGAGCGTGAGTTCTGGACGAACCTTTACATTCACCAAGCCAAAGATATCTGGAACAACTCGCAAGCCATCGACCTGCTCAAGGACGCTGTCAAGGTGGCGCAGAAGCCCACTCGAACTCTCCCAGAAGACATGCCGGCAGACAATCGCACAGCCAGATGGGCGTGGTTGGAGGACACCCCGAGTTTGCTGAGCGGCATTCCAAGGGCGATGCTTGCGCGGGAACCCAACTACGCCTTTGACCCGCTCCCGCCGCCAAAAGAGGAAAACATATTTACGAGCCAGGGTGTCCAGATGCCATGGCGGCAAGTCGGCGAGAATGGGGAACGGGAAATGTTTGCACAGGAGCGAGCGCTCATCAACATGATCCGGAGACAACAGCTAAGAGGCGGGGCGCGAAGAGGAGCTGCTGAGCCGGGTGTCGGTGCAGCGGAAGCCATGATGGGTGCGTTCCCAGGGGATGATGACGATGAAGAGGAAGAGGAGTTTGGTGATGCTTGGGAAGGCGCCTTCAGTGACGGAGATGACGAGTTTGAGGGCGATGGGCACCAACCTCCTTCCGCCGGCGTAGTCCAGCGACTTGCCGACATGCTAGCGTCTATGATACCCGGCGGATGGCCGGCCGAGCCGGCTGGTGGGGACGATGAACATTCGGACCCGGAAGATGACGAGCTGCCTCCTTTGATCGATGGTGACGAGGATATTGGCGATGGCGGTCAGCAGCATAGCGGAAACCAGCCGCAGTAAAGATGGGTGGTGCTTGTCAGGACACTCGCCCATGCATCGGATTGGTCTGTTTCGATGATACTCGTGCATAAGGTAATACTAGACACACAACATCCAGGGCCACAAAAAGAAGACAAATATATGAATAAACCCAACTGCTTGTAACTCAATGTGCTACCTATGTTTGTTATCCAACAGTCGAATGTGAAGCGTCACACACACACACACACACACAGACCCCGGCCCCTGCACGGACTGGCTAACAGACGGGTTCGACCGCACGCAGTATCCATGGCCCAGAGGGTCGAAGAGCACGGGACAAGCCTCGGAAACGCAGCTGAAGCTTGGGAACAGCAAGGCTTAAGGAGCAACATCGATCTTGGGGGGGGTAGCATCTGTTTCTGGGACAATGCGAGCTCGAAGATGGTGTCCAATATCCAGGGCATGTGCCCCCAAATGAAATGTGCTCACTCAGTACGGCGGGACTGGGTCCGTTTCAGGGGGAATGTTCAGTATAGGAGAAAGCGCAGCGTCGGGGGTACTGAAGTGAGCAAGTTTCAGAAATGAGACCCTAGGGGGATGGCAGCCGATTAGGCGCTAGCTAGCCAGTGTGGGTGGGAGTGAGCTCTTGCGCCATCGTCCACGGCCGAAGCGCGCAGTGGTTGTCGATGGTAATTAATAATGCGGTGCCAGTGTCTACCGGTTTGGGACTGCTTGGAACGGATATATAATCAACACCAGGTCCGTCTCACACAGCCTCCTAGTTTCTGACTGCTTCCTGTTCTGCTTTTTCCAATCACGATACCCCCCCCTTTCTTTCACTTTCCCGTTCAAGCATCACCGTGGTTCGCCTCCCTAAAACGACCGAGACTGTGATCCGCTATCGGGGCTTCTCTACCGACCTACCTCAAAACGACATTGGAGCTCCTGCCCCTCCTTTGTTTCTCTACCCCGCCAAAAAACGCCTATACCGCAAACTCTCCCAACTACACACCGCCAAACCCCTCCACGTCGACTTCCCACGACACGCGACAAACCATATCCAACATGTCCGAGCACACTTACAAGTTCAACATCAGCATGAGCTGCGGCGGCTGCTCTGGTGCCGTCGACCGTGTGCTGAAGAAGCTTGAGGGTACGTCTTCGCTCCCCATGGGTGCCACATGTCCTCCCTTGCCGATCCGTGTGGTCGCCTAGCAACCCCCGCGTGCCCGGGGAAGCGCCAGTGAAGGGCACGTCACATTGTAGAGATGATGGGATGAACTTTTCGACTAACCCGACATATTCCAAACAGGCGTCAAGTCCTACGAAGTCTCCCTCGAGTCCCAGACCGCCACCGTCGTCGCCGAGGAGAGCCTGCCGTACGAGAAGGTCCTCCAGACCATCGCCAAGACGGGCAAGAAGGTCAACTCTGGCAGCGCCGACGGCGTCGAACAGAGCGTCGAGGTCGTTGCCGCATAAATCTGATGCCAAAGGAGTAGGGCCAGGGGAGTCGGGAGGTCGGAAACGAACTCGAGAGCGCGCGAATCATGCCTTGACCGGCCTCTTTTTGGGCGAATGGTTTTCTCTGTCTGGGGCTTTCGGACGCGTGGTATAGAGCACAACGTTGCGCCTAGAAGTTGCTTTTACGTACTTTGCGAAAGCCAATAAAACAAACAAGCAAACGAGACATATACTTTAGCTGCCGAGACCCATGCTGCAGAGGCCGTAGCTTCAAAGACGGGTCTTGAAGTTTCCATGTTGCTGATACCACAAGTGTGCAGGGTTATTGTCAACATGAAGCACGCCCGTCGAACGCTCCGCGCATCGAAGCGATTACTGCTTACTACTGTTGTACTTGGCATATGAGAACTGGCGTCATGGACATATTAGCCGAAGTCCTTGTAGGGATTTGGTTTGGCCCGTGATACACTCAGTCGGCACAGGGTGCTGTGTGCAAGCCGAATCATGGATTACCGGTTGAGTCGCTAATATACCCAGCCCAACAATGCCATAGGGGCGTTGCCCACGTTGCCACCGAAGCTCCATATTTTGGCATGGCCCGGTTTCACTCTCCGAACCGTCTCATGGACATTTTCCCGTTCTGGACCCGGGCTCTAAGCTGGTTGGAGCCGACTCGGAATATTGCCTCGGGTCTTTTGATCGCGGCCCATGCTCATCTAACAGCAATCGGTCCCAGTGTAAGTTGCTCGTACGTTCGCGCGAACTCCTAACTTGCTGAGACGTAGCCCGTCGCACCCTTTTTTGATTGGCTTACGTGAATTATAAACACGGGAGGATTCCCCCGCTCCCGAGAACAATGCCAAGAAACAGGTAAAGAATACAGTACTATAAGTCAACAAAGTCCGGCTTCCAAACGGCATCCACTTGCCAGAAGCTGGCTCGGTCGAGCATCAAGCTGCCGGACTCACCCCTTCTTGACCATTCCTTTTCGCAGTGTGTCTCTCAAAAGATGGGCGTTCCACCCACACAGCTGTATAGAGACGGTAGGGTTACTGTCGGGATCGAGCTCAGTCATCAGACCCTCGAGAGGACACACCGCTGATCCTGATGCCTTATCCAATGACACCCGCCTGATGCAGCATGAGCCTAAGGGACACGTGGAATTGGGGGCCATGATAGTGATGCAGAATGCCGAAAAGACGACAAATTAGAAACAAAAGTGACCAAACGACGGAGCTTAGTCCTCGGAGTACCCACGCCCGCTGGATCGCGCCACCCGGGAGACCGGGGCAGGTGCGTCTGCAAACGTCATATTGCGCCGCGGGGTTGCTGGGAGGGAGGGTTGGTATCCGCACAAAGCGCCGTGACCGTCGTGGCCAGATGCTGTTTCGCGGGGTCAATCCCTTTCGCAGAGCACCTGGGATACGTCGCGAGGCATGGTATGAATGGCTAAGTAGAAAGGCTACAAATGACGGACCACGCGCCTGAAATGGGTGGCGGTACCCATTCCCCGTTTTTTTAACGACGTGCCTCAGATGCTCGTGCCGCTCAGATGAAGCAGATGCTTGTACCCTTACCCTTAGTGCCTGCCTGCCTGAACCTCTCACATCTTATCTGCATGAGACCGTTAGGTTGCAGCTTCTCGACGATTCGGTATTAATGCCCTTTTACCCTTCCTGCTTGGTGCCACCCTGACATCAAGTTCACCGTCCTTTAGTCTTCCCGGCAATAGCCTGCTTCAGCCCAAATATAACAACACTTGCATGAAGGACCGAGTTCTGTAATCGAACTACACTGTCCAACCGTTCCCATCTCGGCACATAGGGCGGAGAAAAAAACACACCAATTGTAGTAGACTCGCAACGCCAATCCCTCTTAGCCTTCACCATGGGAACACCGTTTGTCTCCTTTCTCGAGCCGACCCGGCTAGACGCCTACATCCGCGGCGCGCCGCATGACGAGCAGCCGACGGCGATCCCCAAGGGGTTTTGCGACGCCATGGAGGTGCGTGAGGCTGTCTTTGTAGAGGAACAAAAGGTGCCCGCCGAGAACGAGTTCGACGCCGACGATAGTCGTGCGTGCCACTGGGTCGCCTACGCCTCCGTCAACAAGGTCGTCGAGAAGGAGGTCCTCGACGCTGTCGGCAACATCGTCAAGCCCCGCCGGAGCAGCACGCGCAGCACCCCCATCGGCACCATCCGCCTCGTGCCCTTTCCCCACGCCCCGCACCCCAAGAACGGGGGCATCTACTGGGACGGCGAGCTTAAGGAGGACCCGGACGCGGCGGGGCCGTCGGGGAACACCGCAACAACGACTACGAGTCCGGCCGTTGAGCAGCAGGCTGAGACCGCGGCGGAGCACGTCGGCGAGGAGAGGCGGGTGTCGGTGACCAAGATCTGCGTACCCGACCGCGCGACGAAGCTACACGACGGGAAGGAGCCCTACGTCAAGCTGGGCCGGCTGGCCGTGATCCCGGAGTTTAGGGGCCACCGGATCGCGAGGTTGCTGGTGACAACGGCGCTGGCGTGGCTGCGGGCGCACCCGGGCTACTTCAACCCCAGCATCAAGGAGATGGGGCTCGAGCAGATGGGCGCCGCGAGCGCCGAGGAGATGCCCAAGTGGAAGGGCCTCGTGTGCGTTCATGCGCAGGCGGCCGTCGTAGGCGCCTGGGAGAAGTTTGGGTTCCAGGTGGACGAGGAAATGGGGACCTGGTGGGAGGAGGGGATCGAGCACAAGGGCATGTTTATGCGGCTGGAGTTTGAGGAGGAGACGCCCGTTCTCTGAGGCGGGTCGTGAGGGTTATGAGGGGGGGCGGGGGAGAGGGTAGACTATTGCTGGAAAGGAAAGGGGAGAGAGGTTGAGGTGCCCTCGAGCTGGCCCCGGTGCTGGATGGGCCAGCCTGAGCGTTTTCATGACTTACGATTCACCATGATGGCTTCGTTACTTTGTTGGACCATGGGCCGTAATAATTCCCCTAGCAGCCATGGTAGTGATAAGAAAACTCCACCATATTCACGCAAAGTATTGATTTGATACTGTTCCAAGGGCAGAACAGTAAGTGAGATAAACCACCCCGGCGTTTGGCACGCTCGCATCCAGAGCAAGGGTCAGCTGTGTAGGAATCAAATGTTGGAATAAGATGGATTGTATTTCCCTCATAGCATGCATAGTCATGATAATCATGATCATCTCACGTGGCAGCGCGGGCCGGCGGCGACCTCGACCGATCTCGAGTGGGAACAGATGGGCTGGCGGGCTGGCGGCTATCCCTATCGACACTGGACCAGGGACACACACATTACACACCAAGGGGGAGGGGAGGGGACGCGGGGTATTGATCATTTGCTCTGACGAGCCTTTGGCTTGTATTGGAAAAAGCCACCGTTAGAAGCCGTTAAGAGACAAGATGCCGTAGTCGCGTTTCCCCCTCCCCAATATCCCGAACGCGCAAATGCAAAGTAGGTCAGCGCATCAAAAACACCGGCTTCTTTTTCTTTTCTCTCTGTTCGGGGGACGATGAAGAAAAAAAGAGACGTTGAATTTTGCCCTGTTATGTAATACCACGCCTCCGTTGATTTGTCCCCCAAAAAGCAGTTTTTTGACGTCTCTCCAGAGAGAGATGGGAGACCCATCTTCCTTTAACAGGTCAACCCCACCTCCCAAATCTCCAAAGCGTGATGGAGGAAGGAGGTATGTATTCCACAGCTCTCCCACAGCCCCCAAGACACAAGCACAAAGTTTTCTCCCGGCCAACAGAGTTCGTCGTGGCCCACACGCGAGGGTGCGGGAAAAGGCGAAAAAACAAGGTAAACCCTTTACCGGTTGGACTTGGCGACACGCTCCAGCTCATCCTTCTTCTTGATGGCGTACGAGTTGCTGCTGCCCTTGGCGGCGTTGATCAGCTCCTCAGCCAAGCACTCAGCAATAGACTTGACGTTGCGGAAGGAGGCCTCGCGGGCACCAGTGGTGAGGAGGGAGATGGCCTGGTTGACGCGGCGCAGGGGGGAGACATCGACGGCCTGGCGACGGACGGTACCGGCGGAGCCGATACGGGTGGAGTCTTCGCGGGGACCGCAGTTGACGATGGCGTCGACGGCGATCTGGATGGGGTTCTGGTCGGTCATCAGGTGGATCTGTGTTGGAAGAAAAAACAAGTGTTAGTCCATATATTGTGCTCAAATGGCGTGGTTCCCCGTCCGAGGGGTTTGGGGGCTGCGGTGTGCGTGGGCAACGTACGATCTCGAAGGCGTGAGCAACAATGCGGACAGCCATGAGCTTCTTTCCGTTGTTGCGGCCGTGCATCATGAGGGAGTTGGTGAGACGCTCAATGATAGGGCAGTTGGCCTTGCGGAAGCGCTTGACGGCATAGCGGCCAGCGGAGTGGGTGACGTAGACGGGGTTGCGGAGGGAGATGTAGTCACTGTTGGATTCGACTCCCAATTAGCCTTTGAAGTTTTCCTTGTCCTGTTCCTCTCTGATGTTTTCTGTAGTCTTTGATTTTCCCAATGTCCGGTTGCGCGTGTCTTAGATTGCCATTTCCAATCGCATCTCTTGGTTGTTCCGTCTCTTTCTCGAATCGTGTTTCGCGCGCGGAAGGGAGGGGGGGATTGTCGTAAAGGTCCATGGAGGGGGGAGAAATGTAGAGGGGGACTCACGTCAGAGAGATGTCCCGGACCTCAACATCGTAATCCCACTTGTTGAAAAGCTTGACGTTGCCGACCTCCTTGACGACGTCCTTGGGGAGGACATCGTAGGTGCCCACGTTCTCGACCTCGATATCGCCGCCGTCAGACATTTTCGCTCGACCTTTGGGGGGTTAGTAACCTTTGGGGAGGGAGGGAAAGAAAGTCGAGAAGCTTGGTGGGAAAATGTGGTGGTCGTGGTTGAAGTTGTCCAAGTGCGAAAGGGACGGCGGCAGAGTGGGTTTCGATTTTCCTACTCGGCTCGCTTTGCGTTGGTGAGTGAGGAGCCCAGGGCTTGTGTGGCCAGCTCCAGTCAAAAAAAACGCCTTCTGCCAGCCAGCGAAATATTTTTTCTAGACTTGTGGTGCGGCTTCCCGCCAATCAGGGTTCCCTCTTCGTCATGGCGGGACCCACCACCGCGAGGGTTGCTGCCCTCGGGCAGCCGAAGGGCGGACAGGAGGGGTGGCCAGAAGTGGCACCTCTTTTCAGCAACCTCATACAATTGAAATTCCTACTCCCGACGACCTAGGTGCCTGTTGAATTCCGACCGACGACATCACAAATCAGACAAAATGGTACGCCCCGCGAGTCGCCCTCTCCTCCGCGTGCGCGCGTAAAACGCTGCACCCTCTTAGGCGAAATATTTGTTTGCTGACTTATGTGGATGTAAAGGCGCCAGCTGCAGGAGCTAAGAAGCAAAAGAAGAAGGTTCGTTGCAAATGAGTCCCCTCACCGTGTGATCTGTCTGTGACGAAGCAAAAATCGCTGACTTGTTTGTGGTAGTGGTATGTATAAATCCAGTTGCGCGCGAGAGAAACACTTGGCGAGAATACCGATCGATCATTGTGCCTCGAACGACGCGTTTCCCCTACCATCCATCGCAGTCGACTTACCTATTCCATAGGTCCAAGGGAAAGGTCAAGGACAAGGCCCAGCACGCCGTCATCCTCGACAAGGCCACCTCCGACAAGCTCTACAAGGATGTCCAGTCCTACCGTCTGGTGACCGTTGCCGTCCTGGTCGACCGTCTCAAGATCAACGGCTCCCTCGCCCGGAGATGCCTTGCCGACCTCGAGGAGAAGGGCATCATCAAGCCCGTTGTCATGCACAGCAAGATGAAGATCTACAGTACGTCGAGAAACCTGTGCCGCGCTAGCGTATATCCTACGAAAAGGAGCCCACCAACTGACACTTCTGCAGCCCGTGCCGTCGGTGGAACTGACTAAGCCATGAACGTGGTACGCGTGACGACAAATAAAAAGCAACGGGGATCAAGGGACGGATTGGGTCATATCTGCCTAGTCAGGAGGCTTTACAGATGCTCGATGTAGCACTATACCTTGGGCCTTAGGGATCGGATTTGCTTAGCACCGCAAATGGAACGGAGTTGATACGTACATTTGCCGTGTCGTCGAATAGACCATGATCACGTCCAGACGTCTCCCATGCTTACAGCCCCAGTCAGCCGCCTTGTTTTCAGTGTGTGCATTCTTGATTCGACCGCAGTGTTCAAATTCAACCGACGTCATTTCGCAAGAGTCGAGGAAATCCCTTTCCACGTGTGCCTAGAACTGTGGCATCGCCCAGGACCTTGGTGATTTGCCAGTTAGCATCTTGCTACGCCGGCGACACATTGTGGCCGTCATAGAAAGAAAGCTTCTCAGCAGAAATCTAATTGCGGCGTGGGACGCGTCACCTTTCGTACTCGATCACCGATGGATGGGTGGTTGGTCGTCCTTGACAGTCACTACAGACGAGAACTAATTCTCTGGTAATGGCACGTTACCTCTCGACAGCCCACGGACCGTGCCTCTCTCTACGTCCGAGTCTGTAGGGTTGCGATGCATAGTTCAATGTCACCCCACTTGGACACTGAGCGCGACAGAGCGACGGCAATGCCCTCCGCCCTTTGCACGCATCCATGCTAGTCGCGGGAAAGGCCAACAACTGGCAGAGGAGCGCAGCGCTTGGTTGGCTGATCCGAGTTGTCCTAGCATCAGAGCTGACATGGGAATAGAGAAACCATTCCAGTAAGCTTTGGACGGCCGGACGGGTTGGGCCCCCCTCGGACGCCGCTCGGAAACTTTGACTGTCGGCGGCGATGTCCTCAGCCGACAAAAGGGCAACTGTATGAAGGGTAGCGATACTGAGCTCACCTTGCCGCCAAGTGCATCTATCGATGGGCTCCACCCCACCCCCCCCCCCCCCCCCCCCCCCCCCGAAGAGTACAATAGTTCGTGGGGGGGGGCAAGGTGATGATAATTTTTGTGCAGGGAAGTGGAGGCGGTTAATCTATCATTCGCTTGAGGAATTACTCGCGTCCGCGCTTCGATGCATCGGAGACGTCGGCAGCACGATAACGGGCACCTGCGTCATTGCTAGTCATTGGCGGGGTTTTATCGTGTGTGTGACTTTAGTGGCACGATGCTGTTCCCTGGTTCTAGAAGCGTGGGCGAATCCGAGGGGAAATGGAATGGGTTTCGAGACGCAAGGACGGGGCCGGACGCGGAGATACAGTTGAGAGATTCTCCCGGGGCCCAAGTCCGGCGCCCCGAGGTGTCGGTCGGATAGGCGAGAGATTGAAAGCATACGTAGTAGTGGAAGGGCTCGGGAGCGGGTTTTGGGTTTACGAGATTAAACAGATTGTTGGCGGCTGGGCGGTAGAGCGGGACTTCCCAGATGCTTTGGCCGAGTTTGGAGGTGTTTGACCAGGAAGTCAAATTGATTAGGGCGGTCCGAAATTTGATGTCATGTCGAAATTGCTACAGTCGCGAGACGCCCCCTTTTTTTCGCTTCCCCCCCTCTTACAAGGCGTTACATTCTTGGAGGGGTTGACAGAGATGAGTAGTGATGATGTGAACCAAAGGTTGTATGTACCTAGGTACATGGGCTCGTCGTAGCGCGGCTCGCGTGCACCGAGCTCCTTGAGGGGCAACGGTCCGGCGGGACGGGTGAGCGAGTGAAGGGGGGGGGGGAGGAATCGACTTCGACTCTTTGGGCGGTTGGCTGACTACCTAGGTAGAGGGGAATTTCCAGGGTCTCGTTCGAACAAAGGAGCGGCACATGATGCGGCTGCAACAGCTTATAAGCCAGGCGCGAACGTCATGTGGTAGCTGACGAATGACAGGGCGAGAGGGCCGTATGCCACTGACACAGTCGACTGGCTGGTTGGCGGTCCAAGGGAGGGAAAATCGAACAGCTGGATCTCTTTGGTTCGTTTCGGAGGCGGAGGGGGCGTAAGAACATCTGAAGAAAGGGTAATTTACTGGCATGACGAAGGAACGAGGTGGTGGGATGAGATGGGGGATCTATCCGCGTTGGCGCGATGGACGATGCCTACACTACCTACCATACCATAAAAACACATCGTGCCTACCCAGGTACAGAAGCCCGCACGCAGGCCTGTCCGTTGTCGGATAGGTGCAGGATGCAACCGTAGTTTAGGTCGCCATCGATTAGGTAGATGCCGTCCGTACCTGGTTCCGATTCCATAGGCGTCGACCATGCCGTGTTGGTCGTAGAGATGGACGGATTACCCCAATCAGGCATGCCAGTACTGGTGTCAGTCAAAACTAGGTAGGCACGAATGCAAATGCAAATGCAGAATGCAGATGCAGAATGCAGGATGCAGGATGGAGTGCGGACGCTGATTTGGATGTGGATATGGATGCACAGCTGGATGGATATTCTCTTTGGGTAAGAAACTGCCCTTTCTCTAGACCGACGCGCAAGACTACCGTACCTAGAACATACCTCAGTCTCTCCTCTCGTCGTCCCCCATCCCATCCCGTCATCCCATTCCATCCCATCTCATCCCACCCCATCCCATGTGGCTTGGAAGCTAAGACAAAGTCTCCGTGAGCCCTACCAGCCAATCAGTCAGTTGGTCAGTCTTGGACTCGAGACCCGAGTGTATCGTCAGCACGCGGTGGGTGTATTTAAAGGCCAGTGGCCCCAAGAGTTCAGCATTGGGCCATTGGTCGAGGCTGCTACAAGGTCTCAAACACGCCCCCTCCATTTCATGCTCTTGATCCCGCAAGTGAGGTGTCCTTTTGGGAATTAGGTACTCCATACCTAGTACGTATGACGGTAGGTGCTAGGCATTCCCACCCAGACAGAGGCTTGACAGCGAGGTGTCAGGAGGGCTGGTTCATGCGCTTCCATGCGGGCCACTTTGTCCACCCGGCCACCGTCACTTCACCTGCGGTGCTTTTTAGATTTGGATCGCCTGTCCCGGTCAGGTCGCATGAACATTCGCTCTGCGCCCAATTGACTGGGTCTCGAGGCCTTGCCCTTGGCAGCTGATTGCAGATGGCAGCCTGGTAATTGCACGCTCCACCGCGCCGCCCAGGCATTTGAATACAGGTATGTAGGTACATGCATACAGTACGGTACCGATCTACCTACCAGGTATCTCATGCTAGGTACCTAGGTGGGTAGGTAGGTGCCTTGCCTGGTGTGGTGGTGCAATCGCGATATGACCCTATCCTGCCTCATTGTCGTAATTCTCACCTAAAGGGGGGACAAGAGGAGAGATGATGCGGGATGCATGGCAAGCAAGCATGCATCAACCACTTTCACCCACACTTGCCGATACACCACCTACCTAACCAATCTAGGTACACCTACCTCGGGTACTTGTTTGATTTCATGATTTATTACTGCGTAGGTTAGGTAGTAGTAGTAGGAGTAGTAGGTACGGTATATGCACACTACTGCGGCGGCATAGGTACGCAGCTGGCAGGAGGAGCCCGTCTCGTACTTGCTTGCCCTAGGCATTGATCGGGTACACCGTCTCCAGACCTGTCTCCTCCCTACTGTGCGCGCAAGACAGACAGGACTGTGATCTCCAAGATGGCCAACCAAGTGATGTGCACCAACTGGCCCGGACGTCAGGCACCGCATCCGCCCTGTCTGTCTTACATCTCCTGCTCAGTCCTCGAGTCTGAGTGCCGCTGTCTACGGATAGTCGAGGTACCCAGACCGTGGCCGGGTTTACCCACGTAACGTCTTGCTCCTCCCACTTCCAAGTACAAAGTCCACAGTCCATCCCGCATTTTAAAACCTCCGGCCTTCATATCCCGACCTTAACTTCCTTGCTACTCCTCCTTGGCTCCCCTTCTTCTGATTCTTCTACGTCTTCTTCTTCTTCCTCTTCTACTACTACCACTACTACTCCCAACCCCCCACCTTTCTGTCTCTCTCACACTCTCCCTCCCACCATCAGCGATCCCCTTTTCCCCTGCCGCTCGCAGACTGCAGACCGAACAAGTACTCCCCCCTCCGCTTTTCTCCCCGAGCGCAATAGACACACCACATCCTCCCGTTTATTGTCCGTTTCTTTCTTTGCGGCCAAAAGACACCATCGCCCTATCACGTCTTCCAACTTGCTCCAGCGCACATTTTTACCTACCCGCCTGCTCGGTTTGCGACCTTGGTTCCAATAATCACCTTGTCGATACTGCCAGCCGCTAGTTGCCGATCACCCTCCCTTTCGGTCGACCCGTTATCACTTTCTGGTTACGAACCATCTTTCCTTCCAACCATAACTCCCCCCCAACTGTTTTCCGCCTTTTTTTTTTTAACGATCGTAACAACCGACAAAATGGCACACAACATGACCGACGCTGAGCTGGACAACGACTGGCAGCCCAACGGCCGCCGCCCCCAATCGTGCGTACCAACCACTGAGCCCAAGGCCAAGTAAGCTGCTCTGAGCTGCCATGCTTACTTGTTATGTACAGCACCATCGCTCGCTCCTTCTCCCAAGAGCTTGCCGACATTTTCCGCCTGGACGACCCCGTCACCGATCTCGACGAAAAGATTGATCAACGGTATGCTACCCTATGACGTGCCTGAAGCTGTCAATGTGTATTGTCAGCCCCACAGCCATCCAATCGCTTTGCTGACAGCTTCGTCCATAGAAAGCAAATTGTTCAGAGCCAGACAAGCGAGCTCGAAGCTCTCGAGCGTCGTATTCGCGAAATGGAGGAGCGGTTGAAGAGCAACGGTGGCAGCTTGCAAACGTCGTCCAACCAACCGGCCGCTGCTGAAGCTGCCACGCCCGCACTGTCAAAGGAAGCCCAGGAGAAGGCTAGGTCACGACCAGGTACGGCGCGCCAAAACCAGCCTCATGCCCCGTCTTCGGCCAACATGCCGCCCACGCCTACTGCCAGTGAAGGTGAATACGAATTCGTCGGCAAGGATGACCTTGACGACCACCCGCCCCGACACTGAATCGCTGCATTTGACCCTTCCAACTCGCACAATGCCCACAATACCACGTCTCGCCCGCGTTTTCCTTTTTTTTTCCCACCCCCAACATGACCGCCTGCACCGAAGAAACCATCACAGTCATATGTTTTATGAGGCCACGAGAAATGCTGACCATTGCTCGTTTTGTTCCACCAGACGGCGACCGCGACCAGGCATGAGGATAGACGTCACTCTTTAGACTGCGACACCCGACTCTTTACACACCTGTTCAAAGCTCATTCCGCATATACCCGCACTCCGCGATACCACGGCCTTACCCAGTCATCGGCAAATTGGATTTCGAGCCCCCTCCACCACAGAAAGGTCCTTATGTTGGCTGGTACGATCGCTCTTGGCATACGATCATGCCGAGGATCACACTACGTCATGGGGTGCCACTCGCCACACCCCGCCGCAAAACTGCTCTTCAGGGCGCTAGAAGCATGAATTCCTGTTTCACCGCGACATATCTTGCAGTTGGGTTTTCTTCGTTTGCTAGCCTGATCGGTTCAGCACTTTTTTTCTTTTTTTTCACATCACCAAGTCAGTGGAGTTATAGCATGCATGAGTGTGTGCATCGGCCTCGCGGGTCTCGATGCCCTGTGATCATCCATGTAATATCCAGGAGCGAGAAGGCTACCTCTGTAAATACCAAAGCAAGGAGTGGAAATTCATCTCTGGTTCGTTTTGAGCAACTGGAAAGATCGAAGCATTCCCCTGGTTGCCGAGTCGCGCACTTGTCAGGACATGGAGAAAGTCGTCAAAGTTCATCGTGTCTGTTCACGTATGAGGAGTTGGGGTAACGGTCCTCTCACATATGTATCGACTCTGGGACTGAGGCGTCACAACGGCCTAGATGGAACGATCTTGGTGTCAGTTGAAACTAACAACTACACTGCCCCGGAAAACTTGGGGCTGGCGATTCATTGCCAACGCTTCTAGATATCGGAACCCCCCCTCACCCAATGCAGACCCAGACCCACTTCTCACGCATCACAGGCAGATGTCGCTGAGCATACATCGAGGGATCCCTTGTCGCCAAACCCGACGTAGCTGCCCTGTGCGCCGTAGTTCAGCTGAACATACATGCTCTTGAGCGCTACACTCCCAAAAATGACACGGTTGGCGTCGCTGCTCTTTTGGATACCGCCGTAACACTTGTCAGTGTTGCCAGGTACAGGTCCCAGATTAATGTGTTCCTTTGGGACAGTTCCAACATATCCACCTGCAGATATGAACTGGAAGTCGGGGATTCCGGATGCCAGGGAGCATGGGAAGATGTAAAGCCCGAGATCCGGATCCAATGCTGAGTCGGGAATCTCTGAGTAATACTTAACTACCAGTGATGGAGGAAGCATCAGGAAGCTGGTCGCCGTGTCAATTATCGCAGTAAAGGGCGACGAAAACCGGAACCACACTCCGCCGTCCATGGTGCTCATCCGAGTCTTGCTAATCTGGAAACTCCAGCCTTCCTCGCTGTCCATCGGTTTCTCGTTTATGCTCGCAGTACCCATCGCGTAGCCGAAGGAGAAGAACCCCTTGTTCGACTCGTGCCGCAAGTCGATACCAATCCATTCAAAGTGTAGCTCCGGCTTCAGAAGGTCGAGCATAGACGGCCTGCTTGGCTGGACACTCGATGGACGATTTTTCGCAATGCCCAGGACGCCACTGATTTGAGGCTCGACCGCCCAACGCTGGCCGACATTGACCACAGATTGGATTGTAGCGTTGATGATGTTGAAGCGGTTGTTGTCTGTCAAAAGGCCAAAACGGACCGTGTCGAGATACACCTTGCCAGAGTTGGTGACGCCATCCCCTGCGAATAGTTAGTCACTTCCATGGCACTACGGCTGGTGAGTATTGACGGACCGTAGGAAACCGACCAAGTAGCGCCGGAGACCTCTTGACTCGACGTCGACTTTGAAGGGTCGTACAGAATCGGCAATCCCTTGGCTGCCTTGTCACCAAACTTAGTGTCGGTGGTCATCAACCAGCTGTTGGTTGTGAGTTTGAGATTTTGCCAGAACACGCCAATGGCAGATGGGAGGGAAAGAAACGTACAAGTCGGAGCTGCCGGTGTCGATGATGACTGGGATTTTCTGTGGGTTTTCTGGATTCCCGACGAAGACATCGGTCAGCCAGAAGTTGCCCGTAGCTCTGGCTGCGACAATGGAGGCTAGACGGCGAATACGCTGCGGTCAGCTTCAAAATCCATCTCGGTGGTCATCCCACAAAGGAGTGGAGTGGAGGGGAACTTGCAGTAGTATCCACTGCGTCGGGTCAGTGTATGTTTCGCAAGGGCCTCCGGTACGGGCATGTTCCACTTCTCATATGCGGCCGCGAGGGCGGCTCCATCCGGGACGTAGTCCGGGTTGGCGCGGACGGGTATCGTGAAAGTGCTGCTCGGGAGGGTTCCGGGCTGGGGTCCGGATGCCGGGGGACCCGTCGGGATGGCGTGCGCCATCACCGACCAGAGGAGCGGGACCACGAGGGAAAGGAGCATAGTACTAATCGTTGACTAAAGTCTGGAGTAAGAGATTCTTGATGGTTCAATTTCTGAAGTGGATGCGTGAGACGGTTCTTTCCAAACTGAAGTTTGGATGCGGTTGGCATATTTATACACACAAGAGGCATCTCTGTTTATAGTATAATATCGACCCAGGCTTCATTTTGCCAACAATTTAGGTTTCAGCCCGGATCAGGAGCGAAATGACGACAAAATGTTCGTCAAGCAATGTTTGTTTCGTACAAGGACCATGTGTTGCTGGCCGAACCAGAAGCGACATCGCAACGAAAATCAGTACGTTGTTTGTTCTCCTCTCCTTTGTTGCTGCCTGTTGCCCTCACTGGGACAACCATGTGTTACTTTGGATCTAGCGGAAGCTTTCGCCGCGGTGCAGATACCCGCGGGGGGTGTGGAACTTTTCGAGACGGCGCGGGAAAGAAGCCGACGGGCTGAGCCTACCGAGCTGTTGGTCACGGGTTGCGATTATTTACGTGGTAAGTTTTGGGGGAAGGGGGACGAAGAGAAGGCTATGGGAGAGGCTCCCTCTGAAGGGGAGGGAACGGAACCAATGCGGGCGTTGGGGCTTGGGAAGCGAGTTGTCATCGTGAGGAGTCTCACCGTACACCAACCAACGATGATGAGGCGGTCGTGAGTTGTCACTATCGGAGGGGGGGTGGGGAGAGTGGTCGTTTACGCGCGGTTGCGAAGTGACACTTTTGCGACGTTTCCCGGGGATTCCCACTCATTCCGCCAGCAAGCGAGTAGGGAAAGAAAAGAAGAAGAAAAGTCCGAGGATTCTGCCGCCGTCCTGTCCTCTGGGCGACGCGAAACGGCCCCGGGAGCGTGCTCTCCTGTTCCCCGGTGGAACGAGGTCGGTTCCGCAGGGTAGTTACATTGGCGAGTAACGGGGGGGGGGACGGACCACATGTGCGATGCCGGCGGACGAGGCGGTGCCCCCCGTTGTGCCACAGTCGTGGAAATGGCCACGGAAAGGGCAGACGAAGAAGAGATTGCAATCTTTTGGCCTTTTGTCGTCGAGAATCTCGGCCCGGTTTGCACACCGGGGGCAGCACGAGGAGGACATGAGGATCATGAGACCATGGGATCGTGAGATGCTGAAAGATCATGGGACCGCCCTCCGTTCCTGGGACTGGCGTGTCCGGAGGTGAGGCGGACGGGCGGTGCGGTGTCGCTTCCCACCTGTATGACATCGCGCGTCTGAGTTGAGAGAGAGAGAAGGGGGGGGGGACGATGAAGTGTCTGCCCCTCTCGGTCTTGTTGGCGAATGTTGCCTCTTCTACATCACCTTGGCCACCCAGACACGGCCACAGGCGAGGCATTTGATGTTTGCTCTTGGTGGTCGAGGCATCCGGGTTGCCTTGGTTCGGATGCTTCTCTCGACCGGTAGGTACCACCTGGCACGGCACGGCACGTCTCAAAGGATCACGGCTGGGAGATGGTGGGGGGGGGGGGGGGGGGGGGGGAGTTAGTTTAAATTGGTGGAATGTATAAAAAATAAATGAATTAAAAGAAGGGGGGAAAGCTGCCCTCTAGACCAAGAACCATGGGCATGCAGCTGAGGGGGGGATAGACCGCATACGCTGTCTTCACAGTGGTCTCATCTCAAGGGGCCGAGTTGGCATTCACGGGTGGGAGAAGACGCAACGGGTTTTTTTTCATCTGGACTTGTCTGTAATTTCATTTCATCTGAAAAACGCCGTAGGTATGATGTATGCTCAAAATTTCACGAAGCTAAATCACTCTACTGCGACCCATGCCCTCCCCCACATTCACTCGGAGGGAACTCTCAGAGCTCGTCGTGCCCCGGCGCGCTGCCCTGGCCCTGGCCCTGCTGCGACTGCTCAAACTTCTTCAGAATCTCCTCAATCTCGGCCTCGCTCGGGGTGTCGCCGCCATCGCCGCTGAACTTGACATAGCTCCCGCCATCGGGGCGCTCAACTGTCTGGCCGGCAGGTGCCTCGGGCTCGACGGTCGAGCTCTGGGAGGGAACAGTGGTGGTGGACTCTTCCTTAGGCTCCCCAGAAGAAGCGGAAGCGGTGGGCTTTGTCTTCTTGGACTTTGCGCTCTTGCTGTTGGCCTTCTTGGTCTTGCTCTCAAAGTTCTTGACGCCCTTCATGGCGAGGTCCATGCCGGCCTTGTCAAGTTTGTCGCGCTTGGCCTGGAGGTCCTTGACGAGGAGCACGGGGTCCGCCGTCGCGGCGAGGGCGTCCTGCTTCGCCTCCATCTCCTCAAGCCACTTAGTCGTCGATACGTATACGTCCTCAACTACCTCGACGTCCTCGCGCTTGTACAGCGGCGGGACGGGGCCCTTCTCCTTGACGACGTCGTCCATCGTGCGCTCCTTGCTGCCGTTGTCGTCCTCGAGGTCGTCAGAGTCGCTCGAGGGGGTGGCTGAAGCGGTATCGGTGGAGGACCCGGCGGACGAGTGCCACGCGTCGTATTCGTCGAGCTGCTTCTGGATGGTGCTGATGAAGGACTGGGTAGAGTTGAGTGCCTCCTTGAGGGCCTTGACGAGCTCGGGTCGCTTCTCGGCCTCGTCGCTTCTCTTCTGGATCTTGGTGACGGGCTCGTGGAGCTCCTTGTACCTCTTCTTGAGCTCTTCGCGGGTCGCGTCAGCGCCCCCCTCGTAGAGCCAGTCGCTCGCCTCGCTGTTCTTCTTCTCCAGCGTGGCGCGCTCCTCGGAGGTGGAGGCGGCGAGGAAAGCCTCGCTCTCAAGGAGGTCGCGGACCTTGTAGGTGAAGCCCTCGAGCTGGTTGAGGGCCTCCTCTCTCATGCGACGGGCCTTGTCAGAGGTCTCGAAGGCCTTGAGGCGGTCCTTGGACTTGATGAGATCCTCACGAGACAGCCCGGGGCGGCCGGCCTTCTCGAGAGTGAAGTCGACATTGATGGTGACGAGCTCCTTCTTCTTGACGGGCTCCTTGCCATCGGCGGCGGCTTCGCTGGGAACGGGAGAGGACGAGGCGGAGGTCGTCTCGGTCTTGGTGGAAGCCGTAGTGGAAGACTCGGATTCGGTCGTTGAAGACTCGGCGTCCTCCTCACCGTCGAGGGGCTTCTGGTCCTTCTTACCGAAACCGAAGAGATTTTTGACTCCGTCGACGAAGCCCTCCTTCTCAGGAGCCTCGGCCTCGCACTCGACAGTGGCCTTGGTCACCTCGACCTCGCCGTTCTCGGCGCTCAGCTTGACGCCGACCTTGAAGTGGATATCGCTGTCGACGCAGGAGTACTTCTCCTTGAGCTCGGCGACGGAGGCGGTAAGGTTCTTAGTGGTCAGGACCTTGGTGTCCTGCTCAACGGAGCCGACCTGCTGGTAGAAGGTGACATCGAAGTCCTCATGGTTGTTGAAGGTGACCTCCTTGGGCGCGCCACCCTGGGGAGAGACGGCGGACCACAGACGCTGGTGCTGAAGCTTGTTCTTGTTGTTGGTCCACTTCATGCCGGAAGGATAGTTTGTGCCCTCGGAGATGCGAATCTCTTTGACGCGGAAGCTGGGGCTGAGCTCGGCGGCGCGGAAACCGGCACCAAAGACAGCGGCCTCATCCGAGTTGACGTTGCTGCGCAGCTTCTCGGCGGATCCAACGACGTGCTCCAACCGCTTCTGGACGAAGGGAGTGCGGGAAGCACCACCGTGAAGGATGACGGAGTCCAGGTCGGAGAGCTCAAGCTGGGCGGTCTTGAGGGCGTCCAGGATGACGGTGTCGACACGAGCGGCGTGGCCTTCAGCCATCTTCTCAAAGTCGGCGCGGGTAAGCTTGTACTTGAAGTCGACGTCCTCGTAGAGACCCTCGAAGCTAGCGGCGGCCTGCTGGTTGGCGCTGAGGACGTGGCGCACGCGTTCGGCCTCCTTGAGCAGCTTCGCGATGGCCCGGCCGTGAGCCTTGACCTTGTCGGCTTCGGCAGAGATCTTCTTGCCGCCCTTGGACTCGACGAACTGGGCGACCATATCGTCAAGAATGAGGTAGTTGAGGGCGTCGCCGCCCAGGGTCCTGTCCCAGGCGGAGCCGATGACGGCAACCTCCTGGATGGTCTTGTTGAACTTGCCAGTATCCTTGACGGTGCGACTCTGGAACTTCATGACGGTGGCCTTGGCGGAGCCAGCGCCCATATCGAAGACGATGTGATGCTCGGGCTTTCCTCCCTCATTGATGTTGGGGAACTGGCGGGAGGTGGCGTAGTTGAGACCAACGGCAAGACCGTCGCTGATGAGGCTGAGGACCTTAAGACCGGCAAGGTCGGCGGCGGTCTGGATGGCGCGCTTCTCCTGGATGGTGAAGTAGGGAGGGATGGTCAGGACGATGGAGCGGACAGAGGTTCCGGATCCAGCAGCAGCTTCAGCGTTCTTCTGGATGCTCTGCAGCTCCATGGCCAGAAGCTCCTCAACCAGCCATGCGTCGTCGTCGTCGGTGAAGGCCTTGCTCTTGAAAGCAGCGGTCCCACGCTCCTTGTTCTTCTCGAGCTGCAGCGCAGGGTGGCGGGCGGCGTATTCTTGGACAATGGGGTCATCGGCGGAAAGGCCAAGGAGGGTCTTCAGGTTGGGGTAGACATCGTGGGGGAAACGGGCCGAGAGGGCGATGGCGTCGGAGCCGTAGAGTCTCTCGGGGTAGGCTCCGGCCTTGGGGCCGCTCTGGAGGGGCTTGAAGGTGACGGCGGAAATTTCCTTGCGGCGAGAGTCCTTGGTCAGGACGATGTCGAGAGGAATGCCGGGCTTGACGAGGGCGGCCTTGATGTACTCAGTGCCAAGGTCGACACCGAGGACGGCGGAAACGGCGAAGACGTGTGCGGAAAAGAAGAAGAAGCAGCCGAGGACCATGGTCAACGGCGAAAAAGTGTGTTGCGCCATGGTGTGTGGTTTGCGCCCAATGGCGCTGCTGAGGGTGTTTGTGTGTGTGTGTGTGTGTGTTTTAAATGGTGTCGTAAAAAGAGACGAGAGGTCGGTACTAACACGGGTTCCAGTCGGTGAGTCCCGGTCGACGACAATGGAGACTTGGGGAAGCAAGCTCTAGGGTTGTTGCGAAGGTATCGAGCTGAAAAAAACCAAAAGACAGCAAAAAGAGGATAACGAAAGAAGAGATGAATCCCCGAGGCAATTGGGAGACCCAGAAATACAGATATAGAAATAACGGAGGGTCGGTCAGTGAAGATCCGTGAAGGTGTCCTCTACTGGATTCTGTGCCATTCCCCCCAGACTGGGTCGGTCTCGGCAAGGTACCTTCTAGTGGGTGGGTTACCTGTCCTAGAGAAGAGGACAGCTGTAAGGAAAAAACGCACACCTTTCCACTGTAAGGTCGGTCCCCCCCTGGCAGAGCTGCAAGGCTGAAAGCGATAAGCACGCGATTGGCCGGATAAGCTTAAGCGACGGGAGCTGGTGGCGGTTACTCCGCCAGAGTGGGGCACTTTTGGTCCAATAAACGACGTCAAGTTAGCGTATTAAGGGGCCAGCTGCCAGCTCCCTTACACATACCTAGTATATCGTACTTCGTACCTTGGGTGATGCTAGGTGTGTTTATTCAAATGTCGTTTGAGATGCCGATTTGTTCAGGGCTATCACAGACTACTACACTTTACCTAAAGGTTACGAGAGAGAGAGCGGACAGACACTGAAGATCTACAGCATCTCACAAGCAAACTTACCTGTTGTTGCCAAGTGTATGACTTTGGCCATTGGGCAGTTCCGGCAGCGTGATCATGGCTAGAACATCTACAATTGATCTTGTAATAATCCAGTCCCTACCAAACACCTTGCCAATATGAGCCGGATTACTTCCACCAATGGGGTGGTGCGGGCCCGGTAATTAAGTACTGAGCTGTCATCAACTCAAGGCGTCAAAAGACACATCTCATCATGTCGATTGTATGGGCAAGACCGAAGAAGCCAGATATCCCGTCAGCCTGAACCAATTGTCACAGCGTCTATGTATGTGTCAATACCAGTCTCCTTCAGCCATGTTGTTGTTCTTGACCTTGGTCGCTTGGTCCTATTGAACGAGGAGGGAAAAGACACAGCGTTTCCCTCCATCTTTCCACCAACTTTGTGTCCTCATTTTCCTCTTATACTAATCTCAGCTAACCGTCGATCCTTGAACAACCAAAACAAAAAAAAACACGTCGATCTGATTGCATCTTCCAGTCTCGAGTCTAAGTAGGTATTCCGAAGGCAGGCTTCATTGCGTACCTAGGTATATTCCATTATTTGGAGACTGCGGGGTAAAAGGTACACACACGGAGTGGGGCAGCATGTCGCGGGGCACGACCCGGGTTACAGTCGCCACCTCCCTTGAGAATTCATTCCGTCTATTACTTTGAATACTGCATATCAAGAGAGTCGCTCACTTAGTTATCGTGTGTGGTACCAAAAGAGAAAGAAGAAGAAAAACTCGGTCATCTGTTTGTGCAAAAGCGAAGAGATTTTGTCACCTTTTGGCACTATCAGGCATCATACCTTGAACATGGCTCCTGTGGACAACGAGATCAAGGGCAGATTGGCCTTGGTCACCGGTGCCTCTGGTGGGTGAGTAGAGGACGTCCTAATCTGGCTGTCTTTTGCTCATATGGTTAGCATTGGAGGAGGTTGTGCCAAGGAGCTCTTCGCCCACGGCGCTCGGCTAGCCCTCACGTGTTCATCCGACCGCACTTACAACAAGATCACAGAGCTTGCTTCGTTGTTGAAGAGCTCTGTCGAGGAAGACGTTAAGATAACTTGTCATATCGTAGACATGTCCTCCGCCAAAGCCATCGAGGAGCTCTTTGGCCAAATCAAAGCCGAACACGGCCAAACCCCCGACATTCTCGTCGCCAACGCCGGTACAGCGGGCTTCGGCAACAAAGCCAACCCCTATCTCGAGAACATCTCCCTCGAAGAGTTCGACTTCACCATCAACATCAACCTGCGGGCCTCCTTCCTTCTGTGCAAGCTGGCCATCCCGCACATGGCCGCCCAACACTGGGGCCGTGTCGTCTTCGTGTCGTCCATCTCCGCCATTGGCGGTGGCATTAACGGCTGCCACTACGCCGCCAGCAAAGCAGGCCTGACGGGCATGATGAGGAACCTGGCATCCAAGCACGCCAAGGACGGAATCACACTGAACGATGTCGCGCCGGCCATGATTGGTGACACGGGCATGATTCCTGACGAGAAACGTGTCGAGGGCACCCCCGGTGATGTGAAGAACATCCCTGTTGGGAGGCTTGGGACGCCACAGGAGTGTGCGAATGTTGTCATGATGCTGTGCAAAACCGGCTACTTGACGGGGCAGAGTATCTTGCTGAGCGGTGGTCTGAAATGAGAACTCAGTCTGCCAGCTGTCTTTTTCTTTTTCTTCTTTTCCCCCCTCCCCCTTCAAAGGACTCTTGAACTGAGGCGTAGACAAACCACTTCGCAGTCTAAGAACACTCCGCGAATTAACGGCAATTGGCGCCAAACCTAGATGTCCTTAAATTTATGAGAGAGTTTTGCGATAACAGTCTAAATATTGTGATGGGAAGTGGAACACCCCCCTCAATATTCCTTTGATCCTTCTGGATTGCAATTAGGACCCACACCTGCCATGTGACCTTTAGCGCCCGGCAATTCGTGCCGGACTGTTTTCATGACTTGCGCTCTGAATGTCTCAACTCACTTATCAGAGTTCAGGAGATTCCTCGCTGCAGACGCCGAATCGGGGTTGGTCTTTGGTTCAAGTCTCGATTTCCGAGCTTGGGGTATGAGAAATGTCTGCAGAGACGATGGCTCATCACGATAACAATGAATGAAGTTGAGTCACCCGAAACCACGTGATGAAAACTCTAAGCATATCTCTTCGGGAACAACCAGGTCATGGGTGATCCTTCCGTCATCACTTGCTTATCTAGCTTGTTTGAAGACACCATGGATCCAGGCTAGCGTCATGGTTCTGCATCAACACCTACTATATCCACGTGGCCTCCAGCTTTTACATCTTCTGAACACGTTTCACATTGACGTTTCGCTGTCTTGAAAAGCCCTATTTAAAAGAGGATTGGGTCGTACGTAAATACTGTAGAACGGGAGAAACACAAGCTCATCTCAGCCCGAGCTATTCTTGACATCAGATATACGAAGAGTTGCCTATTGCCCGTCATAGCAACAGCGTCACCGAGCCGAGTTCACCTAGACCTGGGTCAAACCCGGCTCGACCAAGCTTCATCAGCTATGACCGCCTATAGGATCGAGCCCTGTACGCTCGCCGACGTTCCGGCCCTGGCGCGTAACAACATGAGCGCCTTCTGGACGAACCAGAGTTGGTATCTCCTCTGGCCCAAGGGTACCAAGCTCGACTTTCTCATCGAGCAGGCCACTCAGCGCATACCCAACAATCTCGTCTGTAACCGCGAGACCCTGCGCCACCAAAAGGCGGTCGACCCGGAAACCGGGGTGCTTCTTGGTTACGCGCGCTGGAAGCTGCCGGCTGGGTACGAGGGGGCCGTCGAGTGGGAAGATTCGCAGATTGCAGACGTGAGCGAGGAGGAGAAGCGAGCGCTCAAGGAGCGGTCGGACGTGGCATGGTGGGAGCCGATCTCCATGAATGAGATTGACGACTGTTCACCGGAGAAGGAGCGCCTGCTGGCCAAGAAGCCATACATTTGTGAGTGATCCCCGTCAATGGTGTGCTGTGCTGGGCTGGGCTGGAATGGAAGTCACGATATCATATTTCGCTGCGCGGTGCTTGGAGCACAGAAGCTAATCGTCAAGGGGAAAAAGCCCTCGACTACCTTGCCGTTCATCCCGAGAACAAGGGCAAAGGGATTGCCACCGCGCTTGTTGAAACCGGCATAAGCCTGGCAGAGAAGACGGGCGTCGACATGTTGGTATTGGCCTTCGAAGCAGCGTTGAATATCTACAAGAAACTTGGCTTCAAGGAAATCCATCGCGGGTACCAGGACAATACCAAGTACGGGGGCGATGGCTACTGGGTGACGATACTGGAGTACAAGGTGAACAAAGCGAGCTCATGAGCAGGCGCCGCCAATGCATCACATGGACAGGTGAAGAAACGACGACTGGCAAGCGTCTGTGATGCAGCAAATAGTCAAACTCGGGTACCAAACTATACATGGCCCGACCGCTGCGTGTTGTACATGCTAAAACCGCGCCTCAACCTTCTCCTGCGTGTCCTGCAGCGCCCAGTCGCTCTTCTTCGTCCGGCTCCTGACGGCATCCGCCTGCTGCGCCGTGAAGCCCTTGGCCTCGACCGCCGGGTTGTACCCGAGCTTGTTGAGCCTACCCACGGTCGCCGAGTCGACCTTGGGCGCCTCCTTCCCGTCCGCCCGGCGGTAGACGGTGACGACGACGGCGCCGCCGAGGCCCAGGTTGTGCTGCAGCGCCGCCTTGGTGGCCGGAACAGCACGGTTGTTCGCCCAGCCGCGCAGGTGCCAGACCAGCTCGGCGCACTGCGCGATGCCGGTCGCGCCGAGCGGGTGGCCCTTGGAGATGAGCCCCCCGGAGGGGTTGACGACGTACCTGCCGCCGTAGGTGATGTCGCCGCTGCGGACCAGCTCGTGCGCCTTGCCCGGCCCGGCGAGGCCGAGGGCGTCCAGCACGATCATCTCGTTGGCGGAGAAGCAGTCGTGCAGCTCGACGACCTGGACGTCCTTGGGGGTGAGGCCGGCCTCGGCCATGGCGGTGCGGACGGCCACCTGCGTCATCTCGAAGCCCATGAGGTCGATGGCGGAGCGTGAGAAGAGCGAGGGCGCGTCGGTGGCGAGGCACTGGCCCGCGACGAGGACGGCCTGGTCCTTGAGGTGCGGCCGCTCGTCGAGGAAGGCCTGGGAGACGAGGACGGCGGCGGCGCCGCCATCGGACGTGGGGCAGCACTGCAGCTTGGTGAGGGGCGCGAAGATCTCGGGAGCCTGGAGGATCTGCTCGCGCGTGTAGACGTCCTGGAACTGGGAGTAGGGGTTCTTGGCGGAGTGGGCGTGGTTCACGCGGGCGATCTCGGCAAAGTCCTCGGCCTTGGCGCCGTACCTGCGTCTCGTGTGTTAGCGGACGGTGGTGTCTGTCTCTCTCTCTCTCTCTCTCTCTCTCTCTCTCTCTCTCTCTCTCTCTCTCTCTCTCTCTCTCTCTCTCTCTCTTCTTCCCCGGGCGAGAGCTCGGCGGGGGGGCAAGAGGTGCACACATACTTCTCCATGTACTCCCGCCCGGCGTTGCCAAACATCTGCGCGGCGCCGGGGGCGTTGGTGAACCCCCTGGTCTCGGCCATCATCTTGACGGTCGTCATGGTGGGGTTCTCGCGGTCGTTGAAGAAGCTCTGCAGCGACCCGGGCATCATCTTTTCGAAGCCGACGACGAGGACGCAGTCGGCGGCGCCGGACGAGATGAAGGTGCGGCCCATGGCGAGGCCGGTGGACCCCGTGGAGCAGTTGTTGTTGACGTTGTAGATGGGGATGCCCGTCATGCCGAACTGGTAGAAGACGCGCTGGCCGCAGGTGCTGTCGCCGTAGCAGTAGCAGGCGACGCCCTGTTCGACATCGTCGTAGTTGATCTGGGCGTCGAGCATGGCCTTCACGCCGGCCTCGAAGCCGAGCTCCGTGTAGTCAACCTTGCCGCGGGGCTTGATGAACTTGGTCATGCCGACGCCGAGCACGTAGCAGGGCGACTTTTCACGTTTCTGTCGGGGCGCCATGGTGTGTGTGTGTGTGTGTGTGTGTGTGTGTGCTGGCTTGATCTGATGAGTTAGTTAGTGATGTCTCGTAGTTGTTTGGCCAGCTTGAATACGGCTGTCTGCTTTCAGCGTCGACAAGCCAAATTGCTCTCGTATGAAGGATGAAAGAGAGTTGAGCCAGGTTAGCAGAGGAGGCAGAGCTTAGTGATCTATCTCACACGGCCAATTGTCGAGGCAAGGAAAAGTAAATATCGCTAGTTTTTGCCTTTCATGTGCTTTGCGGAAATAGCCAGTTGTAGTTGTCAACATTTCGCCTCCCCCTCCTCGCCTCCTCTCTTTGCCTCCTCCCCCTCCCCCCGGGACCCTGGGAAGAGCTTCCCCAGGTTTTCTCATCCTTGACCCTCCCCGCCGTTCGCGCTATACAGAATCAGGGTCAAAAACTGCCCATAATCAAATCAGCGCTAGCTCGGTGCTCTAGGGGAGGAGGCCCGGGACGCTGTCTGAGCCCGTCACCCTGTTTCACCGCATTGCAGAGTCTCCAAAAAAAAAAACCCCCAACCAACCGAGGCTCCTGGCCGCCATAACGACGAGCTTGACTCAAGCCTTCCCCGGTGATCATGGCCAATCACAGAGCTTGCCGAGGTAAGAAACCGACCTTCAGTCGCAGGGGTGGAAGGGATGGCCCCATTCGGTAACCATCTCGTCGACCTTTTCGTCATGAGATGATAACTCTCGTTAATAAAGTATCTTTCTCCTCGTCTCTTCTCAGCGCCTCCCGCCATAAGCCAGTGCCGCCCGCCCCGCGTCGAACGGTGCCTGCGTCCCCGCCAACACCTCGCCGCCGTCAGCTCCCTGCGGCGCCTGCAGGAAGACGCCTTTGTGGTTCCCCACGCTGACAGGGAACCGGTAGTCCTTGTCCACTGGCACGCGGAGCTGCGCCGAGGGCACGGCGTTCGTCAGCGCCGCGAGCCCGACAAAGTTGGGTTCCACGTCCCGGCGCAACGTAGGTGCTCCGTACGCGGGAGTGGATCCCATTGGCGCCGACGAGCAGACCCACCCTTCGCCACCGCCCGTCCCGGAACTCAAACTCCCACCCCGGCCTCGTCCTCCTCGTCGTTCTTGTAGTAGACGTAGTCGAAGCTGTAGGCCTTGGAGAGGAGGGGCTCATAGAGGCCCAAGGAGTCGAGGATGCGTAGAGCGTTGCGGCAGAGCATCATGCCGCCACCGGCGTGGTAGGGGGATGGGGGCACTTTGCTGCGGAACTCGTAGATCGTGGCGGGGATGGACTGTGCTGCGGGCAAGAGGGTAAGGGCCATGCCCGCGATGCCGCCGCCGACGATGGTCACGTCGTCTTGGGCGGTGCACCATGGTTGGCGTGTCTGGATGAGGGGAAGATGGAACAAGTGTGATGTCAAGAAGCTGTGCTTACTCTCCTCTGTGAAGATGGGGCCCAACACCGAGGAGCTATTTCCGCTCTCCGTACCCATTCATCTCCAAACCTTCATCCCCGAATATGCGAAACACGTCGACACGCCCGTGAGGGACGATCAAGGGTCGGGGGTGGATTGGTTCTCGGTGCAAGCTGGCTATGCTCGCCGGAGGCAAGTCGTTGCCAGTCAATGTGTGTGGTATGGCGATGATGGCAGCGGAGCAGGTTGGATGCCGACGATCAGACGCGGCGGAGTGTGTGTGGCTGGGTCCATGGCGGACGTAGGCGAGAAGGAGGATATGGAACTGCAAGGCTCCCGTCATCGCCAGCTAAAACCGGTTCTGTGCCATCGGAACGAGTTTGACCAAAAATCCACCATGTCAGCGTGGCAGCTCGAGAAGAGGAAGAACAGCCACCGGTTCCCTGGTGTCTCGTGTGTAGCAATAATAAGCATGCTTGGTTAAAGCCAAGCCATGCCCTTCTTTTGATTCCTCCCCTGCTTATTGGTATCGTTGTAATATATTCACATGTCTTCTTTGCATATGCCGCTCGCTTTTGCATCTTCCCCCTCCCGTTGTCTCCTGCGCCGATACATCCCGCAAAGAAAAAGCTGTCGACCCCCCGGATCGCTTTCCAATGCTTACCGGACTCTGGGTGCACATGCACAACTCCGGAAATAAACCTTTGCCTTGAATTGGCAGGCTAGTCGCGTCAGTTTCCTCGTGACTGGTCGAGGCTCCCCGGCATGGACAAAATTGAAGAACATCATGGACCATGGATCATGTATGTTTCAAACCCCGTTTGTTACTCCAAGCAATCATGATTCGTGGTACCAGACGGCATTTGGGTTTATGCGTGTCACCGGATCAAAACATTCAAGACATCTTATCTCCAACCCCGCACATTATGTAGTCGAGGGGCCTCTGCGTATCGGATTCCAGAAGTCCAGATCCCAGTCCGCGTAATCATCCGGAGTCTGCCGACCATGCATCAGCCCAGTTCCATCCGTCCCACAGAACCCAGCCGCCGTGGTCACTTACCCCAGCTGCTGACGCATTCTCATGAAACGTGAATGGCGCTCTCGCCTGCATGTAAGAATCTATCGAATCGGCTGGATTCTGCAGGGACATCTTCTCGGGGTTCGTGTTGGTCGAGGCTTTGCATGCGTCAAGGACACTCTGCAATCTAAGCCGGATGCTGTGCAACTTCTGCTCCTGGTTCGCTGTTTGCACAGAAGACAGTACGACAGCAAGCGCAACGATGTCCTTGAGATCGTTGCCGCCGACATTGCGGACGAGCAGGTCGAGTGTCTTCTCAACCGTCTTGATTAGGCGTGACGGCGACCAGAGCGCAAACGTCTCGGTGCTGAAGGCTACGCCCTCGTCCTGAGGATCCGGAGACATGGCCACGGTCGAGGCTATGCCCAGTGTGTTGCCGGTGACGTGCGATTCGGTGGCAGCCTTGATGTAGAAGCACACGCTGAAGGCCGCCTGCAAAATGTCCCTCTTCAGCACCATGTGGTACATGTCGCTGACGTCTTGGAAATGGGCGAGCAACGGGTCGAGTTCGTCGAGATACCGCATTATGACCATGGAGGATCGCAAGTATGCCCTCGATACCTGTGATGGCGCGTCCGGCAGCCCCAGGGCGAACGGTCGATAGAGGGCCAGCAACGGCCGTCGCACGTGCATATCGAGGATTACTCTGGACCTCCACTGTCTGCTCTTCTCCACTTCGTTCAATATGCCATGGCGGGGGAACAGATAGTTGATGTCTTCCAAGAACCGATCCAGCTTCGCCCCGACTTCGATGATTTCGCTGTAGTCCCGGATGGAATCGACGCGGTTGATCAAGTGCGCAACCTGCATCCGAACGCCGAGCGTCATGGCGGCATACACCTGCATTTGGTTGTCTGTAAGCTGGTCGAGCGGCTTGCTTGGCGGTAGTTCCTTCATGTCAACATAGAGATCGCTGTCATCGAGGTTTCGGGGCGGCCTGCACGTAAAGTCTCCATCGCGCACAAGACAGGGGAGGTTGCAGGCTAGGGACAGGTGCAAATCCATGTCCAGAATCGTAAACCACAGCCTTCTTCGAAGCTCGCCAAAGAATACCGGCACCCTGGGTTCGAATTCGGACGGATCTCGGTGCAAGCCCATGGTCATGGCCATGCGCACGATATACCCCAGCTGTGTCCACGAATCTTGCTGCCGCGGGGTCGTCATTCGCTGCGCGTGTACCAGCAGGATCTCGGTCTGCAACGTCGTCAAGTCAACCAACTGCTTGCCCCTGAGTCCGTCCAGCCACGACCTGACGAGCGCGCATGCCGTTGGGATGTGCACGCCTTCGACGCGTTCATGGCCGAGCCCCTTGGATTTCGTCTCAAACCTCGACCCGATGGATAGGACCGCCAGAAGCTGTGGGAGAAAGGTGTCCCCCGGTAGCTTGCCTTCCCAGAACAGTTCGTGCTGTTCCTTGAACGTGGGCACGTGAATCATTCGGTAGATGGTTTCGGATGTATCAATGTAAGAGGCCAGTAGCCTGTCGCATACCGCCTTCTTCGGAAGAATATCCTGCATACGCTTCTGGACCGGGACTACAGAGTCGGCAAAGACAGAGATTGGGGACAGGGACTTGCGGTACTCTTCCTGGAATCGCTTGTGGAGTATCTGCAGGCCATACATGATGTCTCTGATACCGTCAATTTTGGACTGGTTTGCCATGAAGTCCTTGGCGTCATCAAACTGGGAGGGATGGGTTAGGAGTGCTATTCGAAGGCATTCGGGTTCCGGAAGAGTTACCAGGTTCAGCAAGACACGCACGCTGTTTTGGCCAAAGAAGCGTGTCCGTAGGGCGCCTCTCTTAACAGTCAGTCCTCGTATCGTTTCTGCCGGCAGCGGCAAACGCTGACCAGTTCCACTGAACTCAGTGACTGCGGGACTCCGGATCATGAGCTGCTTCTCCAAGCGGTCCAACCGGGACGTCAATTCCTCCAGAGCCGAAGGCGCGACCGACTCCCCATTGCGCAGGGGCGCAAGTGAGGGGTCGGCTGGCTGTGGTCCCGAGGGCGTCGTTGAAGGTAGGCAATTTCTCTTTGGGGGTCGCTGCAGATCACCCATCTCGGCATCGGAGCCGTCTGACAGCACTGACGAGTCCGGTTCGGCAGCATACTTGCAGTTGCGGTGCGACTTCTGACACTGAGAGCACGGCAGATTGCGATCACATCTCAACTTCCGCTTGCGGCATTCGGTACACGACTTGACGGGACGCGGCCTTTTGACGCTGCGCGATGCCGATGCCGCCGCCGCCGCCGCCGCCGCTGCTGCTGCTGCTGCCGCGGCGGCGGAGCCCGTTGGTCCGCCAACAGCAGGTGGTACAGGGGTCTGCGCAGATGTCTCGTACGGAGCAGCGCTGGGAATCGGGCCCATAGGTGCAACAGCGGCCAGGTTGGCGTTCGGATGGAGCGTGGTGGTGACTGTGCCCATGTCGGGGGCAGAAGAAGCCGTGGTGGCCATTTTTAGCCCCAAGTTACAAAATTTCCTGGAAGCCTCCGTTCGGAACCGGGTTTGGGTGTTTGTGGTAGCGTGGCGGGTGGCGGGCGACGGGCGACCAGACGAAGCGAAGAGCACACACAGTACGATAACGCGCAGCGAGCACGCCCGGCGGCGGGAACGGCAGTAGCTAGCTTGCTCCGAGGACCAAAGTCCGAGAGGCCAAGAGTGCGAGTAGCAGACTGCTTCTGGCGGTAGCAAGATCAACAGCTGCTGCTGCTGCTACTGCAGATCGGCGAAGTGGGCAACGGCGTGCTCATCGAAGGTCCTGCGCACAGCCTGAGTCGCCTCTGTTCTGGTTCGCGGTGCGTGATCTTGACTCTGACTGGTGCCGAGTGGTTTGCGGACCATACATAGTGTGACTACGGGCGAGGGGCAAACGAGGGCGTGAGCGTAGCGCAGGCGAGATGGAGAGTTGAAGGCAACAACGGAGAAAGCTACACAAGCGATGATCTGTTGCTGAGGTTCGAGATATGACTTGGCAGTAATAGTAATAGTAGTAGTAGCAGTAGTAGTAGCAGTAGTAGTAGTAGTAGTAGTAGTAGTAGTAGTAGTAGTAGTAGTAGTAGTAGTAATAGTAGTAGTAGCAGCAATGTGGTGGTGTTAATGATGGTGATTGTAGTGGTAATATCAGCCGTCACCGAGCTCGTAACAGACGCGGCCAGGGAAAGGCCGTCTGGCAGATGGATCTCCGAGGTGGCGGTGCTCGAAAAGTGGCCTCGGTAGCGTTGTCGATTAACAAGACGAAGGCCCAGAGAAGATGGGGAACAATAAGTGAGGAAGGACAAGGCGGACAGGAGGGAAGAAAGGGGAAGATGAACTAAAGGGGGAAAAGAGAGCAAATTGCTAGTTGCAATGACCCAAACTTCCTCGGGGCTTTGGGTGCGTGGTCCAGTGCCTGCCTCGTCCAAGGCCAGGTAAGGTACGGACGACGGAGAAAAGACGGCAAGGCAAGAGAGGCGGGATCCGTATCTGGGCTGGCAACCGTCGAGGTAGAGTGAGACTGGCGCGTCTCTGTGACTCTCCCGGCTGGTGGCTGCTGGTTGTTACTGTTACTGTTGCTGCACGCTGGACTGCTGCCGGTGGATTTCCTTGATCCCAGGCTTGCCAGGCTATATGTGGTCTTGCAGCTTATTTTGCCCAGCCCAAGATGGAGGTGAGGTCCTGTTCTTTGGCTGGCTCTTGTTCTACTCATGAGGAAGTATAGAAGTCTGGGAGCTGGGGTTGAGATGAGGTGAGCCGAGTCGATTGAGTGGGTTGAGATGTTCAGGATACCCCCGCGGACAAGGAAAAAAAAAGCGTCGAATGTGCAGGGAACACGGTGCCCTGGTCAGATTTGGCCTGGCCTGGCCTGGTTCGCCGTGGACGGGACGGGAAGTTTGGAAGGTTGAGGCAAGGAAGGCCAGACAAAAAGAAGGACGAGGTGGTGTGTTTAGTGATGGATTGGTGATCCCACCCCCTCCCGCCCGCCCCCCCTTCCCCGGTGGTTGTTCCAGGCCGGTTCAGATTGGAGGTGAGTGGCCGGGGCCGGGTTGGTAGGGGACGGAGGGAAAGGAAGGGGGGAGGGGGGCAAGGTGAGATGGTGAAGGGCGATGGAGAGAGGGTACGGCTATCAAACGGAGGGTGGGTGTGGATGGCGTGGCAACGTGCTTGTATGTATCCGCAAGAAGGAGAAGCAGGAGGAGAAGCAGGAGGAGAAGCAGGAGGAGAAGAAGAAGGAGAAGAAGAAGGAGGAGAATAAGGAGAAGAATAAGGAGGAGAATAGGAAAAGAATAAGGAGAAGAATAAGGAGAATAAGGAGAATAAGGAGAATAAGGAGAAGAAGGAGAAGAAGAATAAAAAGAGCGTTGAGCGTGACAGAGAGAGATCGAGACACAGAGAGATCGAGACATGGAGAGATCGAGACATGGGAAGCTGTACACAGAGGGGCCGAGAAACGCCAGGCCGGAAAGTGATGGCTAGGCCTCTGTGCCTCTCTCTCCAACTTCCCAAGACTCGGTCTCCGAAGCACACACTCACTGCCTGACCTGCCTGCCTCCTGAACTCGGCGAGACCCCGCTACCCCGTCCGTGGCCTTTCACACCATACTCGATAGGTAGTATATGCACAATGCTAGCTGGTGCACCACCACCGGAAACCTGGACAGGGGGCGCGATATTGCGATCGAGCACGGAACACAGAACAAGAGACTGCGGGCGTATTCAAGGTGACTCTTGGTTGGGTCGAAACAGCGGTCGATCGTACCTTGGAGCGCCATCAATGCAGCGCAAATTCGAATACGCGCCCAGAAAGACGCCGCGACAACGGACAAGGAAGGAGGAGCCCGCCCTCTGGCTCGCTCTAGTTCGGACGGCGAGGAGCGAAACACTTTGGGAAGAGCATCGAATGATAATTCTCCGTCCAGAGTGTGTTCGTACGCAGTATCCGTAGGCAGCGCACAAGCGTGCGTCCCGTCCCCAGTTGTGGTATCCGCAGTGTACGAATACAGCAAGGTGGCGGACGGACAGCTGGGGCCACAACCTGGGACAGGCTGGGCAGAAAAACAATGTTCGTGAGCAGAAAAAGAAAAAGAGGGCAGTTGGGGCACAACAAGTTCGACGACAGCCACCGAGGGAGGGCTAGGACAGGCCAAAGCCGAGTTGGCCGTGCGCAACGTATCCTCACCAGGTCGGTACAGGGGTACAGGGCTACGTACGCCAAAGGCCAGGAGACAGGACGCCGGTCCGAAGGGACACTGCTGCTGTGCTGCTGCTGCTGCTGCGAGAGAGAGAGAGATCGGCGTGCTGGGTGCTCTCGCCACCTCTACGGTACCTCTTGGTGGCTGTATTGTACGTTAGATACGGAGTAGTTCAGGTAGCCTAGTGCATCGGTAGGGCGGCGGCACGAGCAGGCCTTGCAGACCCCGAGGCTTCTTCCCTCTCATCTTCATGCTTCTTGTTCGAGAGACCAGAGAGAGGAGAGACAAGGCACGACGCCGCTGGAGAACCACGGAGACTTTCTCCAAGGAACCCTTGTGAGAAGCCTACTACCGGTACGCAGTATGTCTTTGGCTCCATATAAGTCAAGTGTAGGTAGGGTAGCGCGAGATGCCAACATGTAACGCGCTTGCACGGTCGGTTGGTATTCCATGTCTTTTTTTTTTTTTTTTTTTTTTTTTTTTTTGCCGTTCCCTTCCTTGATCTCGAGTCGACTGGCCCTTGACTTACCCACTTGACACTTGGGCCTTCGCTTAGTAGCGCCTGGGTAGGATCCGGAAAATTCCTTCGTTGCTTTTCCTTCGGGGAATCCTGTATCTTGATGTTACTACCTTCGGCTTACTCGTATACCTATTATTCCAAGAGTAATGTGCCTGCCGGTGGATGAGAACCGAGCTTGGGCGTATACCCCTATAATGCTATAATGCTCGTGTGTATATGCATGTGTATGTGTGTGTGTGCGCGCGTGCGTGCGTGCGTAGTCATGGTTGGGGCTTGCTCGAGACATCCTGACGTTGAGAGGTACTTGGACAATGCTAAAGGCAACTGTAGATGTGGTACGGCGCTGCAAAGAAGTGGATAGTCAAACTGACAAGTATGTACCTGTATATGTGGTGTCGAATAATCCGACACACACACACACACACACCCTTCGTCTTCCTTCGTAGATGGCGGTATGATCGGCGCGTATCCAGCATGATGCCAAAATCCGAGCTAATTAGAGACACCTCTATCCGTAGACAAAGCTCCGATGTCAACTGGTACTTTGTTGCCTCGAGGCAGTCAACTGTAAGACGACATGATTGTCGTCAGGACAACTCGTCATCCCTCACCCCAACAAGAATTGTTTGTGTAACCAGCGGCTTCACACGTACCCGGCGGAAGGGAAAGGGCACCCCTCCCTCCACCCTCCCCTTGGCAAGCCCGCCCACCTCAGTTTCCGCTAGACGAAGAAGCTATGCCGCCCCCCCTTCCAAAGTTACAGATGTGACATGTGGAGGATGGCTAAGATGAGGTGCTACATAAGGGTGGCATACCTCGCGGTGGGCCTACGGTACGTGTATACTGCGTAGCGCAGGCGGAAACCCCACCGCCGCTGAAAGGCATCCATCTGTGTGGCCGGCTCACCGCGACCGTTTCCACCGATACCAGACTAAAATAGACGACCATGAGCCTGGTAATGTCGCCCGGGTTGACACCATGTCTGAAGCATCTTCATTTCAATGCTATCCCCCTTCAACTCATTACACGAGCGTCAGAGGGGCCCCCCCCCCCCCCCCCCCAATGGCCCAGGTCTCACAATGCGCTCAGGATCGTACCAACAACAACCCGCCCGTCGACTCGGGTCTCCATCATTTGTTTGGTTGAACCGCCCCCTTGGAAGCCTCCCCCTTGCGTCCGTATTTGCGTCGTCTGGCAATGCGTTAACTTTGACATGGCTCGCTCTGTGATCTATCAGTAAGTGCGCCTACCATGACATGGTGCGTGGGTCGGCATCAGTATGCATGCATGTGCTGCTCTGCATCTGAGAAAATCCGATTGCGGCAAGCGAGCGTAGGTCCAAAGTCAACCCAATAATAGCCAGGCGTGCGTATGGTACCTATGGTGACGGTGTGCTCAGAGGGGGGGGTGTGGTAGGTAACGTAACGATATGAGGGTGAGTCGATGGCGTGTCATGCCCTTCGGCCTTTGCGCTGATCATTTCAGGCCACGGAGTCCGGTCCGAAACCCACATCTGCTTTGTAGTCCATCTCCTCATTTCTCCTTTCCATTGTCTTCTGCACCGAGGTCTTCCTTCTCACCTCTGTACGTACATGGAATCATCGTCCTTCAGCTCTCTTCTGTAGAGACGGGTAAATGTTAGTCACAGATACATACCTAGGTACTCCGTACCATTTCCACATCCCCTCCTTCACACCAACTCCCCTACCCTCCCTGTCCGAGAGTATATGGCGCACGGCACTTACTGTTAATCGTTGACAGGTCCAACCCTGGATGCGACGCACCTCGGATCGTGACATGATCCTCACCTAAGCAACTCAAAGTGAGCTGCGTGCGAGACTAGTCGTCGCCTCGCCGCACCGCACGTTTGGTCGCTAAGCCTTTCCGTGGAAACATTGCGAGCGCTTCAGGACTAGGTCCTGTGCCGGGCCATCTCACGCACTGATGTTCGTGCCTAGTGCCGGGCTCCTATGCGTCTGTTCTTCCAACCCCCAAGCCAAGCCTCTCTCTCTTTTTGTCTTTGCTTCATCCGTCCTTGACCGGGGGTCGGCGTGCATGTTCCAGACAGATTCATCCTTCGCGTCTAGTTTCTGCGCAGGTGGGGGTGGGGTTGGGTTAGTGGGAAAGTTCGATCGTTTCCCTTTCCTTGTCTTCTCTCACCCTTGCGAGATACCTAGATCGAGGGGCCGAATAAAACCAGTGCTCGTTGATGAATAAGCAGAAATGTTGAAAAGCGACCGCGAGGGTATACGACGAGCCTGGTCATACTGCGCGATATATCGCGTGCGAAAGACACGATGGTTTGGACGCCAAGTGCTCTTCTCGTCCGATTTCCTGCCTTTGTGGTACGTGTGCCTCGAGGTACTTTGCGATGAATCAACTCTGCGGTTCACTGCCACGAGTCTGTTTCCATATAGCTTTTGCGAGAGGATCGCGCGTCCACAGGCTCCAAAATTGTCTGCCCCGTGATACAGGCTGTGCATGCCGGCAAAGCCTGAAAGCCAATTTCCATCTCGCCTGTTGTTTTCTTCTTCTTCTTTGCTGAAATGACGCTCCTCATTCCGCTCCGGCCCAAGGCCCCAAGCTAGGGTTCGAGGTATCTTGACCGGCTGTTCTCCGAAACCACCGCCAGTGCTGCAGTAGGATGGATACCTGGATCTGGGGGACGCGTTTCACTTAGAAGACTGGCAGGGGAAATAAGGTGTGTCGGTTCCGCGTATTAGCAGCTCTCCGTTAAGACAGGAAAGACGGGATACGAGAATGAACCAGTGCTCGATCTGGACCGACAATCGAGATTTCCCAAACTTCCCAACGTGCGTGCCAGTGTCCGGCGCCCCCAAGACGCAATATCACCAATTGTCAAAGACTAGACGAGTCTGACGTGCGTGTCTCGTTCCTCTGTGGATTCATCATTGCCGAATCGGCCCGAACTGTCTCTTTCGCCTCACGGACGGATAGGCGATTTTGCTTCGCCGTTGCCTCCCAGCATAGGTATTGAGTCGGCCGGCTGGAAGCGAGGGACGTGTGCCGTTAATGAGGAGGCATCCTTGCCATGCACGCGGGGAGGACGGCAAGGCCAGGGCCCTGAAACCGGCGGCACAGTAGTCGGGCGCAGCACGACATCGGGTCGCAATAAAGTAAGCCCCCACGAGGGTCGCTCCTCGAATTCAGTGTCTGCGACCGGTTTAGGGGCCCGTCTCGTAATGGGCAGTTCGTTACGTCGGCTCCGAGCAAACCTTGGCTAGGAAGAGGGCGCAGGTACTGACGTTGACGCGTACCGAAACCCGGGACGAATACCAAACTCCAAACCGAGCGTGTTCGGGTTCGCAGAGTGTATCCTATCCCTCTGCAGCGTACGTCCGAGACAAGGAGATGATATGTTTCCAGAATACGGCTTTGGGCCAATGAAGAGTGTCCGGGCTGTCTACCGCACGTCTGTCTCTGGAACTAGGTGGGCGTAATGCGCCTCGCTCCGAAACTCGGCCGACTGGCTGCGATGGGCATGCCGAGGTGCTGTTTAGGAGTTGATGCGCTGACATTAGGTTCCGTTTGACGTCAAAGACACTCATGATCCACCCCCTCTTGGTCTTTCCCCGCGAGCAGTTCGTGCCGATGCGAGAGCAAGTAGCGGCACATTCTTCCTCGGTTCGTTTGAACTCTAAGCGACGAGAAAATAGACTGCGCAGGCGCGACATGGAGGCCCTTCGGCACGCTCAAGATTGGCTGGAGTATCATATCACGTAAGGCGATCAGCCGTGGTATCAGACATGTGGCAGTCATAACCGGTCGACACGGGTTGGAAGGTTTGCTGCCGCGAAATTCTGGGTTTTTGGTGAATAAACTCGATAGCATTAGCGAAGCGTTGTCATTTTCGACCCAACATTGCCGAGAAGGAGGGAAACCTTGTGGGTTGTTCGCGCTGGTGATCTGGTAAGTAGACTGAAGAAACATTTGGTTGGCGAGGGCAGGTTACCTTTGAAGCAAAGTGTGTCAGACGGTGGGGGAGGAAGCACAGGCTCAGAGCATCGATATATGCCATCGTAGTGTTGCAGCGTGACGACATTCCGGAAAGCAACAGCGAAGACGAGGCAAGTTTGTTCTTTGTTGCTAGCTCTTGCATACGGCCATGGTGCCCTATGTCGATTGCATCCATCGCCGGATAGGTAGGCATCCTTGCATGCATTCCGCCAACACCCATGCGTGCTGTGGGTGTCAGAGCGGGAAGGATCAATCTCTGGACTTGGAGGAGTCTGTGGTATATGAAACGAAGCGAAGCCCACAGCAATGTTTACCTACCTAGTTTTCGTATGGCTGACCGGTCTCTTCTTTTTGATTGTCTGGTGTATCCGTAAAGCTCGGGGAATACGAAGGCACCACCACCCTTAGTACCTGCCTAGGTACCTTACTTACCCTAGGTACCTAGGTACTGTACGGAGTACTAGGTAAGCAGACAGGCAGAAAGGAGCTGAGCCAATAGCTTCTCGCTTAGCTATAGCGCCAGTGCCGTTCACTGAACACAGCGAGCCTAGCGCCGCGGGAGCCCCGAAGTGCCCAGCGATGACCGAGCGCGGAGACGCCCCCCCCCCCTCGGCGCACAGCCTTGGTCGGCAATAATAGCCTCCAATGCACAGAGTATTTGGAGTAATTTGTTAGACCAAAGTACCGTTGCATACAATTCTCGCCGACGTGGTACATGCATGAGCAGGAGCTCGTTCACTCACCTCACTCCTTCGTTTTCGTACTGCCCAATTGCTTGCGAGCCACGTTGTCCCCCAGTCCCAAAATGCCTGCCATATATTCCTACACCCAAAGCAGAGACGCCCAGGCCAAGTTGCGCTTGTGGTGCGTATAAGCCTCCAACCACATGACATTTAAAAATAAAAATAAAATAAGAGAATAAAAACACTGCCCCAAAATAGAAGAGAGGAAAGGAAAAAGAAAGGAAAGGAAAAAGAAGAAAAGAAAAAACCCCATCTTCATCGAACCCGGCCGATGCCTCGCGCAGCCGTCGCAAAGCTGAACCAGCGAATCGTAGAGCTACGTTGGCGCCTTATCAACTCAAGACTACCTACCTACCTACTACTTACTCTCCATCACGACCGAGGGACGGACAAGGGCATCCGAGAGAAACACACTCTCCTTGTTTTTCCAACGGCCTAGGCAGTACCGGAAAATAGGCATTCTTATCTTAGGTACCCAAGTTACGCCGCCATCGTCGTCGGATGCTGCTCATGCCTGTCTGTGACCTACGCCTGCGACAACGCGCCCTCGGGTGACCGACCAGGCTCCTCCTAAGCGTTTACCCGAATTAGATATTGTCTCAGCCTCGCACGTATGCCATCAGACTCTACTCGTCCAGCAGCCGCATCACCATCACCCAGCCTCGAGTCGTCGTCGCCACCGCTACCGACATGTCGGCCGCCCCCGCCAATAACAATGCGAATCCCAAGCCGCCGTCGAGCAGTTCGGCGTTACGCGACGAGGCTCAAGTCGTCAAGATCCCCCACATTCTCCCACACGAGCGCGTCTTCCCCATCCAGATAGGCAATGAGCTTTTCAAGCTTTCAGGCGCCTCTATCTCGTCCGATGGTGCGTTCGCTATCCTTACCTGATCCTCTCGACTCTTGGCCGATGATGCATCGACATTTGCCATGCCCTACCACGTCCTGCCGCCCGCGCAGGATGCTGCCGCCTGTTCGCCTTTGGTCTTGACGGCATGCGACCATTATGTTTGCTGGCCTGCTGAGCTAACTCCTCGCCAGCACCGTCCTACTTCTCCCAATACTTCTACTGCCAGGTCAAGAAGGCACACGAAACGGGCGAGGACCTCTCCAATGCCATACGCACCCTCTACATCGACCGCGACCCCCAGACCTTCGCCGACATTTCCCTCCACCTCCAAGGGTACCATGTCAAGCCACGGGACGGCACGCACTTTGTGCGCCTCTTCGCCGATGCCCAGTTCTACAGCTGTACTCCCACCGATCCCCATTTTCTGCCATTCTTGCCCGACCCGGGCTAACACCTGTGGCAGTACCCAAGTTGATATCCCAACTCTACGAAGAGTCCATCTTTATATCCATTGGCCACCGCGAGTTCCAAATACCCCGCGACATCTTCACCGACCCCGGCAACTCTCCCAACTTCTTCTCCCTCGGCTTCGCCGTCTTCTTCTCCAACCCCGAAGACCTATTCCCCGGCCTTGACCGCGAGGGTCTCCTCCGCCCGCCGTCCATCCTACCCCCGTCCGTCCCAAACCGCTCCGCCGAAACGTTTGCCGAAATCCTGCACCTCCTGCGAGGATACCCCGTCACCATTCGTGGTGAGACGCACCGCGCCGAGCTGCTGCGGGACTGCCGGTACTTCAACTTCAAGGGCCTGGAGCAGAAGCTCATACCACACCACATCAGCTATAACCAGAGCCGCCGCCGCGAGGAAATAGTCCTCCGCTTGGAAGACATCCTGAAGAGCGGCATAAGCGTGGCAGCCGATGTCTCGGCCTCCCCGGGCGACCATCTTTCAGGCTGGGTCAACTATGCGCGTCCCTACGTTGACGACCGCGCGGCGGAGCTCGTCCTCGAAGTTGGCGGCGAGAGCACCCGCATCCACTTCCAGTCCGGCTCCGCTCGCGCCGAGTTCTTCAGGGACACCCGCGCTCGCATCGCACGCCTGTTTGAAGTCGTGGCCACGAAGCTGAACCTCCCGCCCACCACCCAGCCCCTAGGCCTCCTAATGGCCTCGGGCGGAGCCGGCAGCCAGCCCCCAACGCCTGGGCACACGCCCTTGAGCGAGGACCTCGTCCGCGTGTCCATCGACGCCGACACGTCCGTCACGTTGGACGGCAAGCCGTATGTCTTGGAGGCCGACGACCTTCACCCCGCAAACCAACCCATGTCCGCAGCCTCCAGCACTGCCGGCGGGCTCGAATCCCCCACAGCGCCATCTTCTTTTCAGCCGAACTCACGCAAGCGGAGGCGGATCGACTCGCTCGGGTACGTGGCCGCCGGGCAAGCAGCGCTCGCGGCCGACGAGTGGGTTGTGCGGACGGGCCAGTGGAGGCTCAAGATCCAGGGGTCACGAGGCGGCAAAAGCTCTGTCGAGGTCGTGCTCGTAGCCGTCAAGCTCGACGCATACAGCTCGGAAAATGCCAGGAATGCGGCCCGGGGTTTCCTCAAGGGATGAGACGTGAGGCGAACCTATTCGCCCGACACGCCTACCCCGGGCCCCTTCTGCATGACTTGACAAGCAGTCTCGAGGCCGATCGGGGGGGGGGAACCGACACGAAAGACAGGAGCGGGGCAGTCGCCAGCCCTCTACACTGCATGATGTTACGACTCGCTGTTGCTGTTGCTGTTGATGATGCATATACCAATACCACACATAGTTGAAAGGAAAAGGGGGGAACGAGGCCGACATGCTCCGGTGTCCGTGGCCAGAGAGGAGGAGGAGCCGGGGGGAGGGAGGTCTGTATGTTACTTTGCGCACCTATAGTAATGCGTATTTCCTTCTAGCTAAAGTTATCTTTCCCCCCCTCGGGTCTTGCGCATAGCGTGTCACCTCCGCGTATCTGTCAAGAAAAGGGGCCGCTTTTCTCATCATAAGGGGGGGAGAAAACCCCGTGAGAAGTGTTCAGCACCGTCTATCATTGCAGTAGGCGAAACGCAGGTCAGAGGCTGGTTGGCAATGAGCAAATCACGCCTACATGCATTAGAAGCGGCAGCAGAGTACGACAGCTCGGTTACGCATCAAAGGGATGCGTTGAAGACGTTTGGTAAATAAAATGGAGGAAGGAAAAATAACAAAAAAGGACACACAGTCCGACTCCTTCATTTTTATCGTTATACAAGTGACCCAAGACCAGCCCGTCGTCTCAGGGTCTGAATTAGTAAAAATGCTGGCAATCGTCAAGGTCGCAAGAAAATAACAATCCAAACTCCCCAAATGATAAAATGTGACCGATTCCTTCCCCCCCTCTCTCCGGAGAGTTAGCCATTGCCGTCTTTCCAGATTCCGAAGTAGGAGAACGAACGCCGGTGACTATGCAGACGAGAGACAGGGTGCCGGCCGAACGAATAATAGCAAACAAACAAGTTCCTCTTTCCCTTCCCCCGCCAAAACGCCTGAACCATGCGGGAATAGCTCCTGGGTATGTCAATCACTTGCCCGCTCACCGAAACGCCTGTTCACCCCCTTTCCCGTGTCGTTTGCGCGTCTCTGTTGTTTTTTATGTACGTGTAGACCAGCCAAACGAGCTGCGTGAGAGCGAGTCCCGTGCAAGCCTCCAAAGGCGGCCCCTCACCGTGATATTAGTATGCCCTTCAGCCGGCTGGGGGCCGTCTTCATCTTCCGAGTCGTGCGAGGCGACACCTTCGTAGGGCCGAATCGGTTCGGTCATGTCCTCTTTTGTGATGGGCAGGTCCGCCCCTGATAAGAAGGGGCTCTAAGCCTTCATCTTGGGAACCGCCTGACCTGCGGGGGCACTAACATCTCGCCGCTCGCCGGCGCCCTCGATCATCTTCTTGCGGGGCGTCGCGGTGCCCTGGGCAATAGAGCGGGCACGTCCTCTACGTTCGCGGATGCGGGCCAGGGCCTCCTCGCGGGTCATGGTTGGTGTCATGGCAGGGTTGTTGATGTCAAAAGACATGTGGCAGTCGCCGGCTGAGGGCGTGCGGCCGCGTTCCATCTTGGGTTGCGGCCGCGGCTTGTCGTCACGGATGGGAACGGTTGTTGTCGTCGTCTTGGTGTAGAAAGCGGCTGCGGTGTGCGGGCGGACGGTGTCCTCAGGGGTTGGGGAGGGACTTCTTGAGGACCTGGATACGGGGCGAGCGTCCATGTCGGGCATGGTGGGGATGGAGGGGAGAGGCGCAGTGTGGACTTGGCCATCACCGCCGCCGTGGGGAGCATTGAGGAGGGAAGCCAGTGACATGCGCTCCTGGGCAAGGACAGCAAAGTCAGGGGGTTCGAGAGAGGGTGTGCGCGAGAATCTTGGAGGAGCGTCGTGGGGAGTGGGAGGCTGGCTGGGAGACCCGACGCTGGACTCGTGTCCTCGTCTCCCCTGTTCGCACTGGCCCTCGATCTCGTCCGCCTCACGTTGCGACACAGTTCTGAAGATCCCCTCTCGGGCGCAGAAGATGGTGCTGCGGCGCTCTTCCCTTGAGCGTCTGGGGGCATCGGGCTTCTTGAAAGACTTCTCCTCGACCGGGGAACTCCAAGAAGCCCTCAATGACGAGTGGCTCGAAGAGGAGTCCCTACGTCCCTGAAGGATGATCAGATCACTGGCGTCGGCAATCTCGGCAGGTGGCATGAGCCTACGCCTCGGCGACATGATGCTTGGTCTGTTGGACAGGCTCTGCCTCGGGGAAAGTATGCTCTGTCTTCTGGGCGTCTTGGCGCAAGGGCAGCAGCGCAGTTCACACTCGGCCTGTAAAAAGTCGACCAGTTCGTATGCGCGGTCAGCCCGTTGGCGTTCCCAGGAAACCTGGAGGGTAAGCTCCTCGATTTCCTCCTCGCTGGCGGCGGAGGAGACGATGTCGACCGTCGAGAGGGAGAACCGCGGGGTCTTTTTCTTCTTGGGTGATGCAAATTCGTCGTCGGGCGCAGCGTCGAACGCTTTAGGTAGCGGAATGCGGCCCTCGGCGGCTATGCGGGCAACCTCCTCCTCCTTGGCCAAAGTCTTGTAGGCGTCCCGTTCCTGTTCGAGCATCTTGATGCGCTCAAAGGCCTCGCCGAGTTCCTGCTCCATACCGACCATCTGATAGCGGGCCTGAAAAGCCTCTTCCTCGCGGGCTTTGGAGCGCAGCTTCTCGGCGTCGAGATTGTCTGACGCTAGCCGCCAGCCCTCGCGAGCGGCCTTGAGCTCTTCCTGGAGCTTGATGATTTGAGACTCGTTCTTGAACGTCTTTTTGCGGGCAAGCTTGATCTCCTTCTCCCACGCCGCTTTCGTGTGGGCGTAGGTTTCTTTTGCGCGGCCGTATTGTTCCTTGAAGAAGAAGTCAGCAACTTTGGACACCCCAGGATGGCAACGGCGGCAGAGGCGGATGGCTTACCATGACGGTCTCGAGACGTTCGCTGACGCGCTGCTCGCGCTCCTTCCCCTTTTCCAGCTGAACGCGCAGCACCTTGGACTCGTCGCGGTAGCGGCGCAGTTCGGTCTCGGCCTCCTCACGACCCAGCATGGCACGTTTAAGGGCGGCGTCTGCGGTCTTGCGTTCGAGAGTCTTGGACTGCATCGCAAGATTGTTGAATTGAGAAATTTTCTCATGTACTGAGCTGTCACGTCCGCCGGGACTGCTACGAGGAGATGTGAAGAGGTTGCGACCTTGTTGCTTCTGGTTTGCGCGGTCCGGGGTCATTGGACTTAGTGGTCCGCCCGGCGAGGGCGGTTGTTCGGCGCTGTCGGCCATTGTAAGGTGAGGTGATGGTATTGTTGATGTATCTATCGAGCGGTATCCGGCGTGCAATGTCGGGGAGGCGCCTTTGGGTCGGTAGGTAACGACTCTCTCTCTCTAGTCTCTGCCTGTGGCGCGCGATTTGCAAAAAAAGGATGATGGTGGTAGCGTCGGTGAACAATGGAACCCTTAATGGAGACGGTATCATGCAAGGCCTGCAGGTTAAAGGTGTATGTAGCTATCTGCCAAGTCCAGGTTGTTGACGGCGCGCGGGAGCAGGGCAACGGATGTTTACAGTGCGGGCGGTGGTGCTTGCCTGCAGACGGGTTGTCCAGGTGACGCAGCCAGCCAGATTGCCCTAGCGAAAATGGTTCATTTGCTCATTTGGTGTGGTGTCGGGGGGGTAGTGGTAGTGTAGTGTATTGGGCCGTTGACGAATGACATAATCGACTCCACTTTGGGGCGAAAAGAAGAAAAAGAAAGAAGGAGCAAGGTGCGAGCTGCGTGCTGCTTAATGTGGTTAGCAGAGACCCTCACACAACGATACCCCGCATAACTGAACAGGACGAACTTTGCATTTAATTGCATACATACATACATACATGTACAAGGTAAAATGGTGTATATGCCTACCTCATTGTGCAGCATCAATGCACAGTCATGTTTGTCGGAGCTCTGGGGGGGGGGGGGCGACGGTGACTTAAATGACTTTAATTTCGATGGACTCTGGTTCTTGCTGCAAAAATACGAATCGAGAGTTTTCCACCTGTTCCATTTGCGAGTTCCCCAACCTGCAATGAGTCCTGTCGTACAAGTGGGTTTCGGCCCCTGTATCGTGTATGATGGGGAATCACAGCTTCCACACAGTAGGAGCTTGAAACAACCCCCAGATATAGTACATGGTGGCTTGTGAAATCCAATTCTTCCATTTGCATTTCCAAGTATTGCACTTTATGTGGAACTCGTCCTTGGGCCCAAAGGGGCCTTTATCGAGGACCCAGGAGGGGGGAGGTGATCTCTCCGGATGACCTGGATCCGCCGTGACCTATCACACGCCGCCTAAAAGTCACTTTTCGTTCTTTTGGGGGCCTTTGCGGTCCCCATCCTCGCTTCGGCCTCCACTTCGTCACCGGTCTGTCCGCCCAACTTTGTCTGCCGCCGGCGGAGCGCATGAAGCTTGCAGAATGCTCGAATGCCCACGGCATTCATCCAGGTGCTTTTCGGTTTTCGGTCCTTTCCCAAGGTTTGTCCGTAGTTGACCGTCTATCAGACCACGGCGACAACGGGGTGTGTGCTCTCTCTCTCTCTCTCTCTCTCTCCATCTCTAACGGAATTGTGTCCTCATTTGAGCAACACTAGCTAGCTTCTGAGACTTTCCGCCTCTCGTAGCTTCTTGGCTATCTTTGCCTCCTGCATCCCCCCCTCCCCTTCCGACGGAACAGGCGCAACCGCAGCCATGACGGACGACACGACAAGCGTGCGCCAGCGCAAGCCGGTGCAGGAAGTCGAGGATGAGGACAACCTATTCGCAGGCACCCCAGCGGAGAACTCGCGGGGGAAGAAGAGCAAGAAGTCCAATAAGGCCAAAGGCGAGACGGAGGAGTACAGCCCCTACCTGGACATCCTTCGCGTGCTGAGCTTCCTCTTCCTCGCCTCGTGCGCCCTGAGCTACCTGCAGAGCAGTGGCGAGAGTTTCTTCTGGGGTCACAAGAACAAGCCCTGGTACATGAGGCCCAGCTACTGGAAAGCTAAATGGGTACGTGCAACGCATTCCCCCCTTCCCCCTTCCCAGGCAGAGAGGTAATGATCCTCCCGAGAATGGCCCCGAAAGCTAACGTGTCTGCCCTTTTCCCGCAGAACGGACCCCTCTACCTCACCCCCGAGGAGCTCCTCCAGTACGACGGCTCCGACCCCGAGAAGCCCATCTACCTCGCCATCAACCACACAATCTTTGACGTCTCGGCGAACCCGCGCATCTACGGCCCGGGCGGCTCCTACAATGTCTTCGCAGGCCGCGACGCCTCGCGCGGCTTCGTCACGGGCTGCTTCATGGAGGACCGCACCCCGGACATGCGCGGCGTCGAGGAGATGTTCCTGCCTCTCGACGACCCCGAGATCGACCGCCACTGGTCCTACGACGACATGCAGAAGCTGCGCGAGGAGGAGCTCGCCGCCGCCCACGCCCGGGTCCACGAGGCGCTGAAGCACTGGGTCGACTTCTTCACCAACAGCGACAAGTACGGCGTGGTCGGCAAGGTGAAGCGGGATCCCGATTGGCTCGCCAAGGAGAAGGAGAAGAAGCTCTGCGCCCAGGCGCAAAAGGCGAGGGTCAAGAGGAAGGTGCCCGGACAGGAGGACCAGAACTAAAGAGAGGATGCCGGGGGAATATGGAATGTTGCTCTAAATGTGCTCCGAGCATACCTGACCTACTGTCACCTTGCAACAGTGCATTTACCCCATCCCGTATGTGACCAACTCTTTTGGCCGATTGTTATTCCCTATACCAAATGTACTTGATTGGGATATCCGACAGCCCCCCCCCCCCCCTTTTTATTTTATTTTTTATTCTCGATCCTCTCCATCCGTTACGGCAGCTCTCGCCGACAGAGGCCGCGCGGTCCACAGCTTCCCATGCAAGAGAAACGGTCCACACGGCACCTTCGTCGGGTTAACAGCGAGCCGGGGAAAACGGCACGTCGCAAGCGGGGCGGGTGATACCAGGGAGTGACTTCGTCCTCCCGCACGAGTGCCGCGTGACTCGGCGCACAAGAGCAGTTTTGGTTCGGAAGGGCTGCCCCCCGTGCTTCGTCGTCCACTATTTATAGATTTCCAAGCAAATTACGGAGTAGAGGCCTCCCATCGAGCGCACTTGTGTCCCCAAAGACGGGCCCGGCTGCGATCTCCTGCCACGCACACACACGTTGGCTGGATATTTCCTTGACTTGACAATTCAAATCGGTTTCATTTGGGGGGGATGTTTGATTACCAGAATCAAAAAAAATACTCGATTTAGATGCTACAGCGAGCTATGAATGCCCCGCCAAGTAGTCAAGCGTGAACCCCATATACTGAGGGAAAATAGTCCCCCGTCTAGTTTGTAGGTTTTCCTCGTACATCCCATCCCACCTCGTCCGACCCGAACCAGCCGATCCGGCGTCCCAGGGGTATCAGGACCCGGCGGTAGAGATATGCAGCCCCTCATGAGAATAGAAAGAAAGAAAAAAAGAATGGTATTAAGCTTCATCATCACGCAAGTGTACACCGTAACCAGAGCCCAACGCCCGGCCGAAAACCCAACCCTCTCAAAGCCCCAGACCCCATCGCTGCGACAAAAGCGCTGCTTACAAGAGCAGGAAGCCTGCACCGACGGCGAGCAGGAGAGATGCGGGTGCGCTGAGAGAGACGGCGCCGGCAGGGACGGGGGTAGTGGGGGTGGAGCCACCAGCGCTGCCGGTCTCGGAACCGGAGCCGGAGCCGGAGCCGCTGCCAGAGCCAACACTGCCAGAGGGAGAGGCAGAACCACCTCCGGTGCTGCCGCCGGAAGAGCCTCCATTGGAGCCTCCATTGGAACCTCCATTGGAGCCTCCAGTAGAGCCTCCAGTAGAGCCACCAGCAGAGCCACCGGCGGGGGACTGGGACTGGGTGACAGTCTTCGCGGCCTTGGCGTAGTTCTCAAGGGTACGGGTGGAGTTTGCCTTGGAGCTGTAAGTTGTTAGCATCATTCTGTTACTCCACTTCATGTATGTTGCGTCGTGATTGTGTGGGTGGATGTTCATGCGCTTCGGGGTTGGCCATGTATCATCGTCCGAAAGGTGAAACACGGGATCGCCCATAGGTCGCAACACCGGCCCAAGGAGGGGGTTCCCGACTTTGACACTTTGACGTGTACCAACCAGAAAAGCAGGAAGTTTTGACAGGGGAAAAAAGGATTTGAACCCGAGAGAAGGAAAAACTGGTGCCACTTACTTCTCGTTGATGACCATAACCATGCCGTTCTGGCAGTGCTTGGCCTGGGAGCAGTACAGCCACATGGGCTTGGCGCTGGTGATCTGGACAGTGAAGACGGGAATCTGGCCCATGGCGGCGGAGGCGGCGACGGGCTGGTATCCGGAGAAGAGGCCCTGGGCGGAGCTGTTCATGCTGGAGATGGGAACGCAGGGGTTGTCAAAGGTGGACTGGACGACCGAGTGGTTGCCGCCGCGGAACTGGAACTGGACCATGGAGCCGACGGGAGCGTTGAGCTTATCGGGGAAGAACTTGAGGGTGTTGTTGCTTGATGCGACGGAGACCACATGGACAGCTGTGGGTTTCTCGCGTTAGTATCCCGCGTTCTGCTCTGCATCCCCCTTCTCTGCCTTTCGACGACTACTTACACTGAGCCTGAGCAACGGCGGCCAGTGCCGAGACAATCATAGCAGAGAAATGCATTTTGATCGAGTTTTTTTGATTTGGATAAATCGGTTAAAAAAAAGTTTCGATAGTTGTCGAGGACGAGTCGAGTGACGGTAGTTTAATAAACGGTTGGTATACCGAAAAAGCGACTTGCGCTTAGTAGGACTAGCCTGTGAAGTTGAAAGAATTAAAGATTCGCAACGAAAGAAAGGGAAGAGAAACTGAGAAATCCCGCCTCGAAAATTGTTTGTTGATGGAGTTCCTAAAAGAAGAGGGATCAGAAAGAGAGGGAGGGAAGGGGGTGCGAGGGGACGGCACGAATTTAAGCAGTCTTTGGGATCGTCCCAAGAACCAAGTGAGGAACCGGTCTCGACGACGAGGACAGGCCCTCTCAGACCCACCCCTCCCCCCCCCTTGTCTGCATCCATCGGGCGGCATCGTCGTCGTCTTTCGTGCTGCATTCGAAGCGAAAGTGGCCCACGCCATCCCCAGGCCGCACCGCAACGTTGATGAACAGGGGGGCGTCCCGTTTGGGCTGTCGACACGTTGCACTGGGCAGCGGAGAGTTGAGGCGAGGCGAGGTGAAGGGGGGGTGAGAAGGAGTGAGGAGGCTGATGCAGCGAGGTTGAAACACGTTTTGACCATCACACTCGGGGCCATGGGTGTGAGAGCCTACCCTGCTGCATCTGGGCCTGCGTACCCGCCGCACCGTCTTTCATCTGCCTCGGAAGCATGGGGGGACCTGTCGAGTGCGCAGGTCCAGGAAGACGAGAAAGACATCGGAGCCTGGCCTCGCAAGAGATTGGCAATCGATTCCCCTGGCGCCGTCATTCCTCGTCATCATTGTCGTCGGTTTCTCGACTTGGGACTTGCTTGGTTCCTGAACCCATCTTTCTCTTGGCAGCCGCCCTAAGAGAATTTAACCTCTTGCACTAAATTTGTTAGAATAGACTAGCTGGTCGCTGGCACACCCAGGTCGATGGGTCTTGCGCGCATGGCTGCCTTGCCCTGCAGGAAATCCCTGTTTGCCCCTGGCTTATCGAGAGCGGATAGGTCTGGGGAAGACACCCGACCAAGACAAGACAGGGCAAAGCAAGTAAACTACCACGCAGCGTGTAGAAAATGGTCAGCGTCTAAGGTGGAAGCCGTCGTACCCGAGGACGGCTATGCCATCGGTTCGACCAGAGCGAGACGAATGGGGACCTGGGGGTGCGTAGATCCGATGCGTTGCACCATGTCCGGCATCCCGGATGAAGAAACACAAATTGGAATCAGAAAAAAAGAACAAAAACACCCGGAAGCAGAGAGGAGCGGAAGAACGGGAGCCTAGGCTCTACGCCACACTGCGGCAAGTCAACGCCGACCGATGATGACGGGCCGGGATGGCCCATGACACAAGGAAGCACTGACTGACTTACCCTAGACTATCCGTACTAAGGCGTCTATACTAGGTGGGTAGGTAGGTGGTTTACCTAGGTACGCAGAATGAATTGGTGATTACTGGCCGGCAGGCAGGTTTTGCGATGCTCAACACCTCATCGCGGCGCACGCAGGCTCAAGTTACGCCCGATGTCGCCAAAGTATAAAGTCGAATGAGTTGGGACCGGACCGATCTTGACAGCACAGAATACCTAATACACCGCGATGAACACGGGCTGTAACGGTGGTTCGTCTGCTCGCAATAAGATTCAACAAGGGAGGGAGGGAATCATCTCAATTTAGAATTTCCACCTGTCAACCTACCAAGCCACATGCTGCGCAGGCGGACAATAAGCCGTTCATTCATTCTCATTCAGTCATTTGGGCAGTTGTCGAACATGAGGCCGGAACACGGCGATTGAGAGAGGTGGGGGGAAAAGAAATTACGACGCAGTCAAGACAGCACAAGACCCGTTGCAACTCTGCATCTCATGCAACAAGACCAAGACTCCTTTTTCCTCCGGTTCTGTTGATGCCGTCCTGGCTGTAGCTTAGGGTCCAGGAGGAGGAGAAGGAAGGAAAGATGGATGGATGGAGGTGTGTGGAAGGGGGGCTGAAGAAAAAAAAAAAAAAAAAAAGAAGAACAAAAGGTTGAGACTGGGCAAGAGGCGGTAGCGCGTGTCAAACCAAGTCGGACGTCGTCGAAGCCGAAATAAGGTTTGGGTGTGCACAGGTCGCCAGACGAGCCAATACAAACACCCCATGTCCATTTGCCCAGTAGGTAGATCCACAACATGTCCCACTTCTACCGTGTTACTCCTAAACCATTGGCTACAACTCGGCCGTGGTCGCCAAAAGAGGCTGGCGCGCCCGGATGTGCTTCACCCTCTTTCAGCCCTCTGACAGTTCCGTAACTCTCCTTGTTTCAGCCGGTCCGTACTACTGTACCTGCCTGCCTCTATCGGTGGTGTAGGTAGTACCTGCCATTCATCACCAGAACCGCAACCACGGATTGTCTCTCCCTCCGACGTCTTCTTTCCTCCTCCCGGACCACCTTCTACTTGTCGTTCGTCATCCCACCAACGTCCGCGTGCACGTGCTCTGCCCTAGCGATATTGCCTCCCGTCTCCGCCACCACCCTGGGGCTCCCTCCATCTTGAGTTTAGTGAGTAAGTGCAACTAAGCATGAATTGTCCAACATTACATTGATTGCCCAGAAGCAACATCAACCCTTGTCCATCTTAGGCTCTTAGCACCCGGTCGCTGCATGGCATCGCCGTCGCTTGTCCACTCGTTCGTCTCTCGTCCTGTTAGCCCGTCTCAACGGAACCGTACAACGCGCATCCCGTCTTGGACACTCGACTCTGTGCCCACAGCCATCGTGTTCCCTCGGATGTCTCGAGAAGCCGGGAAGTGACTGTCAATGGAGGCATTGGCGTCTGATGTCCCCATCCCTATTCCCTGCCTATCCGTCTACACGTACCCATCCATTCTTCTCTTGCTGGCCAACCGTCGTCCTCTAGTACCCGGGGAAACGAGAGGCAGCCGGCTTCCCCTGCCTGCCTTGCTTGTTCGAGTAATCGCAATTCGCCTTATACCGCCTCGGGTACCCAAATATTTGGGACCAACACCTACTTCTCACGCGTACCTACACTTACACACACCTTCTTTCTTTCTCTCTCTGTCTCTCTCTCTCCCTCTTTCTCCCTATTACTCGTACCGCCCCGGCTTGATCGCCTTCCTTGCCAATCACGCCCTATTCTTTCCAATTTATCCCTATTAGAAGCGGGTTTCCTCGCTATCAAGTTTGCCTCGCCTCGTGACTCATGACGCCTGACTTGCTCGCCCCATCACAACTCATAGTCCTACCTAGAATAGGGATGCTGCCCCATTCCACGGCCACGCTACCCTACCTCGTCCCCCTACCCCTTCTGCGTGGATCCCTAATCTCCCCTTCCAACTGTTCAAGCGTCAAGGGCGGCCCATCACAAGGGGTCGCCGCACGGGGAACCCAACTGCTTCCAGCCAGCGCCGCCAGAAATATCACATAGTATTGCCAGCCGCCTGGCGTTATAAGCCTGCGGGTCCCTCTTACGCTCGCCGTCTAGCCGACCATGGGCTAATTCCTAATGCAGCCAGGTTGAAAATCCTCTCTGTTTCTTCCCCCCTTTTCTCTCTCTCTTTTTTTTTTCTTTTTCTTTTCTTGTCATGGCATGAGGACGACTCGGGGTAACTCGACATCCGTTCGCCACACACCCTCCCGGTCTGGGGCAGCAGAAACGAAACGCTCCGATCCTCGTCAACGACGTATTTGTACGCACGCCAGTGCAGTGAACATCTTCTTCGAATCGAACTGGACTCGTGGTGAACCGAATGCGGGGTGCTAAGAATAGTAGTTGTGGTCGCTCCGGGCAGTCTGGAGTCAAGAGGGTTCAAACCCATGGACGAAATGACAGGTGCCTCGAGGCCCGTTCCCCCGTTCAGAAACGTATCTCGCGTCGTTTGAACTGGTCTTTTCATGTCGTCTTTGGAACGTCATCCCATCTTCCTTGCTCTTGCGCCATAAGAAGCGAATAACGAAAGGAAAATAAAAAGGGGAAAAAAGAGAGAATGAGAGAGAACTCGTCTTTCCTGCTCTGGATCTCGCTCAACCATCTGTTTGTCTCTGTGCCAAGCCGCAAGTGAGGGCCACGGAACGAGTCCTCGAAACCAAGTGGCGGCTTGGAAAACAAAACCGCGCGGCGCCGTATGCAGATGTTCAAGTGCGATGAGCGACTTTCCAACGCACGCCCGAGGCCCTCTTCGCGATCGAAATGTCGGCTTCTGTTTTGTGTGGGTTCGAGGTTTGAGGGAGAACTTGGGATGGCTTTTGCTGCTGTTGCCGGCCGGTCGACGATGACGGCCCTCGATAGACGAGAGGGAGGACCTCGGGGTCCATGCTTTGTCACCGAGACCGTTCGCAACAGGCGCCAAAGTAGCATTCATCAGTAGGGACGACGTCGCGGTTGAGGCAGGCGAGCAGCACAGCGCAACTCCTCTTCGCTCCTTGGCCCGGATCCTAGTTTGGCCTTGTTCACAGCAATAAGCCCCCGCCTCCTTCATCATGAAGAAGATTCACTTGCCAATTCGATGCAGATCCCTTCTGGCCGTGTACGCAAGGATTCAGAAAATCACCGTCATCACAAAACTTCAATGACTCGGACCCCTATCATGATCTGCTTGACGTGCCATGCATTCTGTTGCTTGGGCTACATACAGTTGAAGCTCAACCGATCGAAGTGCGGCAGAACGAAACGACACGATCCACATGATTTTTTTTTTTGAATCTTTTTTTGAATTTTTTTTTTCGTTGTTTAGCAGCTCTGCCCAATAATGTTCTCAACTATAACCCGAACCGAAGACTGCCTCGAAGAGGCGCTTGGGTTCGTCGTGCCCGCCTCGAGTTTTGTTCCGAGATCCACCCAGACGCAAGGGGCCTCATCATCAAGGGCCGATACACGCTCACTGACGAGCTGTGGGCAGCCAGAATGCTCCAGGCCTCCTCCGCCGTTGCAGCCCCCTCCCCAGCCGCATATGATCTGACAAGCTCGTGCTCATCCTTTACTGTTTCGTCTGAACACCGCAGCGGTCTGAAGCAGGATAGGTGCCAAAAAAAAAAAAAAAACCCTATGTCTTCGAACGGCAGTTTTATACAGCTAGGTTTTACTCTTGTTATATCTCTAGGTGCGGGTTTGGACACATTGGTTGATGGTTTCGCGTTTTCTTCGTCTCGAACGGGCCCGGAGACTCGTGCGCTCGTCAAATCATTGGTTCGGCGGCGCTTTTGCCCATCCCTCGACCGGGCCGGGCGGTGGCGACGAACCCGCGGATTGCAGATGATGGTTGTTGTTTAAGTCCTGTTTGTTATGCGCATGTCGGCTAGACACGCTATGCGCGTGTGAGTTGGCGTTGGACCAACTTAGATTCGTCTGGTCGAAGGAATTCGAGACGAGTATTCGTGCCGTTTGAGATGGTAAATCCCATCACTCCGAGGCCGGAGGGCTCCCGAGCGCTCTGCCCACAATGGCGCATCTGTCGACTTGTGTATGAAATGCTCCAACGTCATGTTGAAGCTTTAGTGACCATCGCAGAGCTCTACGCAGATCAATTTGCGGGGGATATGTAGGCTGGCTCTCCTTAAGCAGTTCACAGCTTGCCGTGTCCGCAAGCTCGGGGATCCAATCTGGGCGTCGCGGTCGACAACGTGCTGTTGGTAACCCTCGCCGCTGGGTGAAAGCATCTTCCGAGAGGCGGGGATTTGTGTATAGAGTATTCACCAAGCATCATTCGACATGGTACTGTTACGGCCTTGCCAATCGGGGGCCTTTAGTGGCTCAAAAGTCCATGAGCAGCTGCGGCGCAATCTTCTCCAAGTCCTCAACCTAGCTTCACCGTCAGTTCACCTGTTTGCATCACACAGCAACAATGACCACAAAAACACCACCCCCATAGGAGAGGCCAGATGTAGTGAAACTCACCTCTAGGAAGCCGCCCGGCCGCTCGTGAATACACCGGGCGATGGCCTCTCTGACGAATACGTCCATGTACTTGCCTGCCGCGGCGTTCGCGTCCTTGCTCAGCCTCGTATCGTCCTTTTCGAAGAACTCGTGCAAGAGCCGTGTCAGGAGCTCGGGTGGGATGGTGTTTTCGGGGGCATCGGCGTCCTCCTCGTCCTCATCCTCGTTCTGCTCCTCGGCTTCCTCCTCGTCCTCGACCGCCCGCGACGCCGCGTCGCTGTCCGATAGCTCAAAGGGCCCGGACTTCTTGCGCGCGGGCTGCTGCGCGGCCTTACGCTTCGTGCCGGCCGCGGATTGCTGAGACTTGGCCGGCCGGCCACGTTTTGTGGGCTGGGTCGGTTGCTTGGGCATTCTGAAGATCCGGTCTGTTGACGTCGAGGAGCGGAGTGTTGGTGTCGACGTCGTCAAGGGAGGGTCGTTGTCTACTTCTTGTCTTGCAGGCAGCCCAGATCTTGTTAGCGGTCGAAAGAGGGTGGCCGACAACACAAGTTTCACGTGACAAAGATACGATAGCCCACTTCCCAGAGTCAGCCCATAAAGACAGAAGGTCAAGGGTGCGTCCGCTGAAGTGCGAGATCTGATCTAGGTCGGGGATCAGGCGACTAACGCGGGGGGGAGCAGCATGGCATGTGGGGGGGATGGGAATTTGACGCGAGGCGCGACTATCACTGTCGCTGCAGGCGCGCTTCTGGGCACTAACCCCATTGGCCAATCACATCTCTGCAGCTCTGCTGCAAGCGGCAAACTCTCCTTTCCAGAGGCCACATCGCATCAACAACCTGCAATGCACCACCAGTCACAAAGTACGACATACTGAGGCATCACTGGAGCCAAGTCATGGCAAGCACACATGTTAGAAAAAAAAAAAGTAAATCTTCCTATTGTATCATGGAAGTCTATCGAGTCATGCAATACCAAGGAAAATCCACGCGAGGATAGACAAGAAGCCGGTCGAGTCCGGCGGAGACAGGGTTGCGTGAATGAATGCAATCAGGAATTGCTTTAGTGTACAAATTACAGTGGATTAGGTAGCAAGCAAAGCTCTTCGGGTCATGTAAGAGAACGCCTTGCCAAATGCCAGTCTAAACCACGAAGGACTGGCCGACGCAGACAATCCACCTCTTGTGGTGTCCGAATCCAAAGTCCCTCCGCAACTTCCATCTCACCCCTTTTATCAACCGAGTCCTCATCAGATCCCAGCCCGCCACGAATCACCACAGCCCAGGTATTTGCCAACTGCCAACCCGCCACCGGTGAAGAGTTTATACACGAAGAGGTGTCAAGGCATTTAGCCAGAGCCACCCTTGAAGGCCTTGCCGAAGAGCAGGACCTGGAGCTGGTCGTAGATGGACAGGACACCGGCACCGGCAACACCACGGAGGATGTTGGCACCAGCACCCTTGAAGAGAGACTTGACACCCTCCTTGGCGATGATCTGCTTACCGGCGTCGAAGGAGCTCTTGTACTTGACGGCCTCACCAGAGGTCATCATCATGCGACGACGGATGGTGTCAAGGGGGTAAGAGGCAATACCGGCGGCAGTGGTGACGCACCAACCGAGAGCGAAAGAGGCGAGGAAGTTACCCTGGAGGGAACCGGTGAGGACAACAGGCTTGATGGAGTCGTAGAGACCGAAGTAGAGACCACGGTAGACGACGATACCAGCGACGGAGGGCATGAAGCCACGGTAGAGACCGGCAATACCGTCGGAGGCGAGGGTCTTGCGGTAGACGTCGACGAGACCGTTGAACTGGCGCTCACCACCCTTCTTGGCGGACTTGGCGTCGTTGGCAAGACGGGTACGGGCGTAGTCGAGGGAGTAGACGAAGAGAAGGGAGGTGGCACCGGCAGCACCACCGGAGGCCAGGTTACCAGCCATCCACCAGGCGTAGCCGTCACGCTCCTTCTTGAAGCCGAACATCTTCTTGAACTTGTCGCGGAAAGCGAAGTTCAGGGCCTGGGTAGGGAAGTAACGGATGACGTTGGCAGTGTTACCACGCCACAGGGACATGACACCCTCGTCGGCAGCGGTACGCTTGAAGCAGTCGACGATGCCCTCGTACTTGCGGTCGAGACGACCCTGCTTAAGCATCTCATCCTGTCTGGAAGTTAGTCATTGTCCAGATTGACGGTAGATGCGACAGGACAAGCCAAGATCACGTGTCATAACATGTTGGCATCGAGCCGGGAGTACCCGATCGGACCTTGGCTTGCGATCTGTCAACACCGTGAGGAAAGTCTTCACTAACCTGGTTCTGGATGAGGAGCTTGATACGCTCGATGGGAGCAGCAGCAGTCTTGGAGACAGCGGCAGAGACACCTCCCACTGTAGGAAGCAGTTAGCGGTTATTCGGTGAAGCTATATATCGCCTTTCTTATCAACTCGCCGAGGTCGGATAGCTGATGGGATAAGGACGACGATGTCGATTTCAATGGTGGAACATACTAAGGAAGTCGGCCACGAAGGGCTTGGATAAGCGTTAGCATGTTTATGCGAATAGGTTGTTATCCCGGCCTGACAAAAAAAAATCCCCGGCGAAGCTCAGTTCGTATATCCATCCATCGATCAACGGCGACGATAAGGCGAATGTTGGCCATTGTCGCATCGAACTTGGCCCATCGAGTCGAAGTCGGCATCGCCTCGATGGATCCATTGGTCAAGTCAATGTCCACCAGATAGACGTTGGTCGACGATGGATGGAAGCGACGTCGCCAGCGAGGGATTTTTTTTTCGCGCAGCCTCGGGTGAAGGAGGGAACGGGAGAGGATGGTTAGCTTACCGGCATGCCCAGGACCTTCTGTTCGGTAGGAGGAGACATTTTGGCTGTGGGTTTCTTCTCAAAAGATCAACCTCAGAGAAAAGAATGAGCGGAGATGGACGGAGGAGTAGAAGGAGATGTGAAGACGGAAGGGCGAGTCGAGAGAATTTAAAGGCTCCGACCGGTAGCAGGTTTGGGGGAGGGAAAAAAAAATTCCTGCAGGGTGGCCGAAGAAGGAACAGCTTTGAGCGAATCTTTCCGGGCCGCGCTAAACTGGGGAGCACCGACCACCTCGAACAGGGCCAGGGTGCGTGAGAGGTGGCCGAAAAGCGGGTCCCTCTTTCGCTGGCGGTCCTTCCAAACTCCATCCAGCTGCTTCGTGTGTACGGTTTCTTACCTACCTACGGAAGGTGTCCTCTTTTTCTCTCTCCTTCTCTGCCTTTTCTCCAGTATCGGGTGGGCAAGAGCTGGGTGGGCCACCCCCTTCCAACCCTTAAATCCATACACTGGGAATGTGCAGCACCGGCGCCAGCACTCCAGGTACTTACGTAGTGTATCCGTACGTGTACCATGTACCGCGCGTACTTATGGGGAAGGGGGGAAGGGTGAAGTTTTTCTTTGGCCCGGCAACTGTTGCCTCAGGCCAGAGCGCTAGTTTGCCATGGAATTGAGATACCGGTTCACCCCGAGATTTGCACGGGGACTCCGCTGCATGTGTAGCTCTGGCTTTTCAGTCTTTCTGGCGGGAGGACGACGGCTGTGTCTCTAGTGCACATTAGCCAGGCACGTCGGTCCGTCTTTTAGTGAAAATCTCGGGTCCAAACAGCAGTTACTGCGACCACGGTGTCGCGATGAATAGGGGTTCACTGGGCTGTCTTGGGCGAAACTGATTGACTGACTCTGTGGAAGAGGGAAGCTGGCATAGAGCATCTAGGTGGTCGGTCCATCAACCTCAACCCATATGCGGCTTAGTAGAGGGTGTCAAACAGCGGATGCAGAGACGGCCAGCATAGCATGGCTCTGGTTAATGAGATTTCATTCCAAGCCTCTTATCCGCCCGCGGATGACATTGCCATATACCATTCTCTCTTGTCCCAGATTCGATTGTCATTGCCAGCTTCTTGCTTCTCCTTGTTGTTCTCATCGTCATGATGGATGGTTTCCGATGAGCGTAGCTAGCTGCAAGCGCCGAAACGCAATCTCCAGAGCCGCCTGCCATGGCAACCAGGCTGTTATTACCGGATATCGGTCATCAATATCTCTATTCCCCTTATCCTCTCTGGCGGGCCCTGCAATCCGAGCAAAAAGTCACCCATTTCCCGGTGCCAAGCCGCCCACCTTGGTATCCTCTGGGGTCTTGTCAGCCGGCAGAAAATTGGTGTGGCCGCCGCTAATTCCTTATCCGCCATTGACCTGCATCCAGACAACCGAGCTTAAAAAAGAAAGACGAACAACTAGGGACTACCGGTACGCCATCCGTGTGTTGTACGGACATACAGGCCCCAGTTCGCCAGGGGGCAAGCCTGTCTGGTCGGCCGAGTCACGTCTCTTCTCTAGCCTCGGGTCAGCTCAGCCAAGATGGTAGGTACTCCTCCCCAGTGCGCAAATGTGAGGGACGGCAAGACAGACACACTCACATGCCCGAGCTAGGTAAGCGCATCTCGGGTTTAGTGCGGTAGAGTATAAATTACGAGTTTGTTTACTATTTACTTTCATTCGTACAGGCTGATACTGTATGGAAATGACGGAGCGGATCCATGGATACGGCCCACGATGCCCAATGTATGTAATTTTTCGCCATCCATGGAAAGGGGAGGGTACTTTATTGCCCTATTGATAGCACTCTAGCACACTCGGACATGCCCTGCTGTTGACAGCATGCATGCCAACGCAAAGCACCCGAGCCGAAGCAATTGACTTCTGTGAGCAAGCACACTACGTAGTAAAAGACTGGCCAAGCAGAGAGACGCTACTACACTGCACTACGGAGTACACCACACTACATTACACCACCTGGTCGGGCACATGCGACGAGCACGGATGAGTGGCCGCTTTCAAGACGCATTCAACGTCAGGCTTCAGAAACGTAACGTTTGAATCCTTACTCGCGCGGCAACATCCCTAAATCAGTGGCGGCGTGGCCGGGCTGGGGCATTGCCAGCTGTGTCACCATGCTACAGACGGAGTACGGTCTAAAAGAGGGTCGAGAGATGGCATCCTCGCTGCCCGACAAACATTCAGTCTTTCGCGCGGGCTAACAAACAATCAAACGAAATTTTTATCAGGCCGGGATGCAATCCCGCAAGCCTCGGAACCCCTCCCCAGCGCGGGAGACCGGGAGAGCGGGAGACCGGGAAGAGAGGGATTGGAGACCATTGGACGGATGGCTTCATTGTGGATTCCCCTTTTGGCCAGCTCAGCTTCTTCTCCTTTCTTGACATGGGACCCGTGATAACAATGACCGATCTGTTTCGACCAAAAACTGGCTGCGTGAGGTGCCGGGGTTTGTTTGGCCTTCAGACTTCTCTCCGTTTTCTGGCTAACAGAAGCGCCGACGGGCCGCAAGCAGCCCCAGTTTCTTTGGTCTTTACCCTGAGGCGTTACTGCATTCCGCCCCGCTGATGCCTTGGCGCCTCGTTTCAATCGGGTTTTCTGCTGCAGGCAATACCCATAGCTGTGCGCGACGTCAATAACCAACAACCCATAGGAGAAAGAACAGGAAGTGTCTGCCATTGATTGGCATTCATCGCGCAATAGAAATCACTCTGTGCACAGGACTTTCTTGCAATTGACAAGTGTACTAGGGGCTAAGGCTGCACAGAGGTCGCCGCGGAGGGGATAAGCAAAACGGAGAGCCAGTTGGACTCTAGCTTTATCTATCCCCGTAATAGTAATGCCTGTTGCAATGCCTTTTGCGATGCCTCTTGCCACTCTATTCCTATCGGCAGCAAGTCGGCGTGTTGGCTGCCGATTCTTAACAGCTCAACTTTTCATAGGAAGATGCCTTCAAAGACTGAACATTTATTGATTGACGACGACGACTCCCATGTCCGGCTCGCCCGGCGGTTATCCTGTTCGAGTTTCTCAAACGATATGATATCATTTTGGAAACTTTTAGTTCATTCAAGAGCGTCGCCATTGGATTATATGTTTTACTACAGCATGAAGCGTATCTTTCGTCATGTCCGTCATACGGTAGATTCCCTTGCTTCAACCGCACCCTGCATTAGGCTATCAAGCCCCTCATCCAACACAGACCTGACAACCTGGATCTGCTCCAGCACGCTTGATCGACTGGCGCCGCCTTTAGCCGGTTTCGCCTCGACACTCGCTTCGTATTCGAATGCCTCAGCAATGTCTGCTGTGAGCCGATAATAAATGGCTTGCAGTTGCTTGAGGGTCAGCTGGTCCATCAAAATCTCCAGCTTTTTGGACAATGCAACGACGCGTCCAGAGATGTGGTGAGCCTCTCTTAACCGACAGCCCTTCCTCACCAACCGCTCTACGACATCAGTGACTAGCATCGGTTTGTCCAGAGCAGTCTCCATTCGCTCTGGCCACACCTTCAAGGTCGCAATAAGCCCACTGGCTATGCCTAAACCATCCGACACAGTTTGAACCGAATCCAGCATAGGCTCCCACCCTTCCTGAAGATCCTTATGATAGCAAGATGGTAGCTCTTTCAGAGTCTTCCAGACGAATAGTTGGTAGCTATTCTCGATACGCTCCTCAAAGCCAAGGAAACTGGTTGAGGTGCTAAGAGGACTCCCCCTTTAGAGCATGCCAGGTGTCGGGGCGGACACCCGGCATGATGCACAGTTTGCACAGTGTATTACATAAGGTAAAGTAAAGTGATGCAGGACGACCTCTGCCAAAGGCCACGTGACAGCTGCAGCTCGGGTCCGTTCCGGCCAATTCTTTCATCTTTTTCTTTTGTTTCTTCCCTCAGGCTTCTATTTCGCAGGAGCCTCACGCGGCCCCCCCCCCCTCGCCCCAAGTTTGAAGCTCGCCCGTGCTGCACCCGTGGTTCATCTCGCTCGCCGCATGCTCCAGATTCCCGTTCTTAGTTCCGCATTCTCTTCTCCAACCTTGCCGACCGACCAACAAGAAAAATTCATCGACCGCCCAAGTGGCCCGCCTGCAGTACAATAAACACGCGAAATACCACGTCGTCAAACCCATCTCCCGTCACGTGACCCTCCTCGACCAGACGAAAAAAAACATCACCCGCACGACACGCCTTTGGATGCGCGACGACATCGGCCCCTGATAGCCATCCTTCCCACCCCTGAACGCGCCCAGATAGATGCCTCAGCCCGCCCAGAGCTCCTCGTAGAGGCTGCCAGTACGTCCCGCGACGCGACTTTCAGCCTTGCGACACCGTGATAAAGATGACACATGTCTAACGTCCGAGATGCAGACCTTGGCGCCCATTCATCTTCTCCCCCAGAGACCTGAAGGCCCCCTCGATCACTGGCGAGGTGCACATTGGGGCATGAATAATCCGGCCGCCTACACTCCTCTCGAGTCCCTCTTCCTTTTTCAAGCCATCCTCAAGCACGGCGTTGAGGCTGCGGCCTTCATCAAGGTTTCCGATCTTCTCGTCAACAACTCCCTGATCAAGGATGACAAGACCTATGACGCTAAACGACTGAGCCCGGATGCGCTCCGGCAACTCTTCCTGCACCTGTTGCAGGAGGAGCTCCGGAGCGAGACCGCCACCGCCGATAAGCCCGATGGCACCTTGTCGCCCAACTCCAAAAGGCGCAAGCTCAACCGTCCGCCGTTGCCTACGTTGAAGGAGGTGAAGGAACAGCTGCACAAGCTCCCGGCCCTTGTTGATCGGCTCTATGCGAGGTACAAAGCTCACGTCGTAAAGGATGTCAGAGACGACGAGCGGCGCATCGAGACACTGGCAAGAGAGATTCAGGTTCTCGAGGCGCAAGAGGCCAACGAACGGGCCAAGGCCAACGCGCCCCGCCAAGCAGGTCCTAACGGCACCTCCGGCCCCAAGACGACTCCGACGCCTGTCCCAATACCATCCCCCGTTCCGACTCCTGCACAAGCCGCGGCGCATCAGCACGTCAAGCCGCCTACGGCGACGTCGTCCGCCGAGGTACCGAGACCGATCAGGCCCGCGAGTGGACAAGCCTCCGCTCCCACCCAGACTCCTGTGCCCATTCCAACACCCGTACCCTTGCCACCCCAGGCGCATGTCCGGCCGCCAGCAAATGCAGCATCAACCCCGCCTATCGCACCCCACCCTACACCGGCAAGGCGAGATGCGGCTCCTCCAGGCGTATCTCAACCGTCGCCCGTGGCTCCTCCGGCGCAAGCTGTCGCCGCGGCCGGGGCACCAGCTACGACACCTACCACCGCCTCAGCAGTCAAACAACACCCGCCCCCTAAACCTCCCAGTGGCTCTGGCCAGGTTCTGCAATCTCCTAGCAGCGCTATCCACCCGCCTGTGCGGCCTGGTCAGTCGACGTCGCCAGTTCCTCTGCCGACAATTTCACCTCGGCCAGACAGCATTACGAAGTCCCGTACGTCAGGGCCGGCAACACCTGCGCAGCCCTCAACACCAGGAACCCTCAAGTGGGAGAAGCCATATCAACCTGCTGCTCCAGCATCGCAGTCACAAGGCCGTCCAGTGATGCCGCCAAATGTCCCTACAACATCCACTCCGTCTACTCCCGGCCAGCCACATCATCCGTCACAACGGTACCCTCAACCGACAGGGCAATACCACGGGCCACCGCAGCCACCGCATGTTCCAATCCAGCCAAACCCTGCGCAAAGATATCCCCAGCAACCGCAGTCGGTATTGGTGCCGCCTCAACCGCAGGTTCAGGCTCAGGCGCAGGCGCAGGCTCATCCTCAACCCCAGGGTCAGGCCACAGCACAAAGCGTCGCCCAGGTCCAGGCCCAGTCTCAGTCTCAGCCTCAATCTCCTCAAGCTCAGCCGAAGGGGCAGCCAAAGGGCCAGCCAAAGGGACAGCTAGTGGCACCAATGCATTCCACGCCGGTCAAAGGTCCCCCAGAGAGGTCTGTCATCCAGCCCCCGCAGGGTCGTCCGTTATCAACGACCCCGATTGCCCCTCCTGTGCGGCCACAGCCCACCCAGCAACAACAGCAACAGCAGCAGCAACAGCTGCAAAAGGCTCACTCACAAGCCCCTCCCGCCTCGCAACCTCCTCACCCCCCACAACCCCCTGCCGGATACCAAACCCAACCGCGCCCTCTTGCCGCAGCCTCGCCGACCCCCTTCTCTGGCGCATCAGGACAGACTACAGTTCCTCCCCCGAGATGGCCCCAGTCCCACCCGTCGCCTTATGCACAGCAACAGTTTAGTCCTTCGCCGGCCCCGGCCCCGGCCCCGGTCCCGGCCCCTACGCAACTCCAGGCGAAGCCGGCTGATGCCCAGCGGCGCGTTAGTTCCCCGTTCAACAAACAACAACAACAACAACAACACCCCCGTCCAGCAATACCTCCTCGCCTCGTCCCACAACTCGCAGCCACCCCTCAACCTGCACAAAAAGCCGCAAGCACGCCAATTCCGCCTCCACAGACGCCTGTCACAGCACCTCCTACTTTCGTCCTTACTGGTTCTGGTACCAAGTGGACGTTGAAATCGACTCCTTCTACGCCTCGTCCGTCCGGGGCCGGAAAGGAAGTTGCAAGCCCGGCTTTTGAGCCACTGAGCCCAGTGCAACAACCTGCATCTTTGCCTGCACCGACACCATCACAAGCATCGAAGAAGGCCAGCCCGAAGTCGACACCGGTTCCCATCCCGATCCCGAAAACAGAGTCGAAAACCCCCGCACCTCGAGGCCGGGGCCGGCCACCTCGCAGTGCAAACAAGGTCCATGCCGACACCACTCCGTCTTCAGTGGTTGGCATGCGCAGGAGTCCGTCAGTGGCATCTCAGACGGACGAGCTATCGATGGATCACCATGAGTTGGCGCCCAGAATTAAGGATGAGAACGCAACTCCTAGAGCGACTCCGAGAGCGACACCAAAGCCTCAGGATGAGACAGGCGATACCACTGCTGATGAAAGCGTGCCCAGCCGAAGAAGCATGGTCACTCCCAGCAGCGTTTCGTCCCGGCTGCCTCACAAACGCAAGCGTCAAGACACCCCGACCGAGCCGCTGCCTCTGCCCACGGCGCCCACTCATGTCCTGTGGACGAGGCAGTTTGGCCGTGTAAGCGCCGCCGCCCTCGATCAAATCAGCGCCCATAGATTTGCAAATCAATTCGCAAACCCGATTCGCGAGCGAGACGCGCCTGGCTACAAGACGCTCATCCTGCAGCCTCAGGACATTAAGTCCATCCGCGCAGCCATCACTCACGGGAACAGAGCGGCTACTGAGGCCGCCAAGGCTCTGCCCGAGGGAGATCCGGGCACTGGCTCTGTTCTGTTACCGATCAGTGACGACTTGGTGCCTCCCAAGAGCATCATCAACAGCGCGCAACTTGAGCGAGAACTAGTCCACATGTTCTCCAACGCCATCATGTACAATCTCAACCCCAGCCGCGGACCGGGCCCGGCTTTCATGAAGGGCGGTACTGCGGCTGATGGTGCCGATGTGGTGGGATATGAGGTCGACGAGGACGCGGTCGTCCGTTCTACGAGGATGATGTCCATGGAGGTTGAAAAGATCATTGGCGAGCTCCGTAATGCAGAGAAGGAACGCACAGGTCAAGCCCCATCTAATGCTGGCAACACGAGGCCGGCAAGCGTAGCCACTGGCGAAGACACGCCGATGGCCGAGGACGATGTTGATGAGCTGGCGGGCGATACAGACTTGGGAGCGACAACGAGGAGACGGCGCGTAGGCACGAGAAACTAGGCGTTGCCTCGTATTGCGCGCGACCCTGATGATTGAAGTGTGTTTTATGCGTAAGGGCTAGAAAGAAAGGACCAAGCGTCTGGGTCTCAAGGAATGTAGGATACTTTGAGCGGAACCGAGCATCCGCCTTCGTATGATAATGTTATCATTAAGCCCGATTGTGGCCATTGCGTTACTTGAGCCTCCAAATGCTCGTGCTGGGAAGCTCGTCTGGCTTGTGGCTGCCGTCCAGTGAAGCCTGGGAGACGTCGAGTGATTCGCTTCCCACGGCCAGGCCAGGTCCGTCCCGTTCCGTTTCTTGCCTTGAGCCGGCCACATATTTGTCCCGTATACGCTAGTGAATGACTATACGTGAGGAAGGCGAACCACGGTGTCCTCTTACGTTACCATAAGGACTTTGAATTAGGCCGACTTTTGAGAAAGTAGTGAGCAAACAAACTTTATACATCATATAGGAAGGCGGCCACGGGCTTGCTGTACTTCCGCAACTGCGGGAGGCGGGGGTTTACTGCTCGTCAGCGGTGCTCTACGCGTCACGTCACGAGCATCAAGTTGTTTCGGGGTCTGAGGGTGGAGTGCCGGCTTCTCCAGGAATCCTGGGCAGCTTCTTGTCGGCCAGGGGTGTGTTCTCGTAGTGCCGGCGGGCGAAATTAAGGCTACCGAGCCTGGATTCCCTGCGGCCTCATCCGACCGACTGCCAACGGCGGCGTGGATGGTTCCTGGGCCCTGCTTCCCTGGGCAATGGAGGAGCCTTTATTCGCCCGATGGAGCGGTCCATCAGACGTATCGTGGTGCTATGTTTTGAGGCCAACGAGGACGCCGAGAGACAAAAAGCGGATGAGGATCAGAAAACATGACGGTTGGCGAGGTTTGTTGATTCCATTCAAAGAATTCAACACGACTACTTTGACAAGATGACACCAGCTACCCGGAAGTAAACATTTATAGGTAGATTACTACACATGCAACACACATATCAATTGAGACCCAAGGTTGGTGACCCGCGTAGTCGGGTTCTTTGTATAATCACAACGGAAAACTATATTGTGGAAACGTAAAACTCTCTACAGGACTGGAGTCCCGTGTCACTGATAAGCCCTTCTACAATCCTCATCATCCGACCTGGCTAGCAGACAAAGCACACACCCCTCCTTCAGCACTATCCTCACCTTCAGCTGTTCTTCACAGGCAGCCAGGCCCGCAGTAGCCTTCAGCCCCCTCGCGGTCAGGGCAAGGCTCATCTGAGAGGCCGGCCGCAACGTCGCGAGGGCATTGGTGAGGACGTTAACACTGGCAGGCCCGCCGAGGGCCGCGGATAGCATGTTCGGGAGGGGGATAGAGAGGGGGAGGGGGTGTAGGCCTCGTAGGCGATGCCGCAGTCTAAGATGTGGGTCATGGCTTTGCTCGCTGCCGCAATGGCGATGATAGAGGAGGGATGCGCTGACAGTAGGGTGAGACGGAGCGGGCGAGGGCCCACGACTGCGGTGGTTGGGATGGCGGCTGAGCTGGGTCAACATGCCCGAGAACGATGCCGCCTCCTGCGTCCCGTGACCATCTAGGTTCAAATGACATGGCATTGGGAGGGGGACAGTCAGGATCGCCGAGCCTTAAGGTGGCCATGTGCCTAGGTTGGAACGGATCTTGGCAAAGCTCCTTGACAAGGAATCGCCTCGGGACTGAGGCTGTGGTGATGAGCGCGTTAAAAAAAAAAAAAAAAAAAAAGGCCTGTGCAATTGGAATCGTTGTATACGGGCGAGTACCCTTTCTTTTCCTCTGTGTTACCAAGATCTAGTAATATACGGTTATGCGTGGGGAAGCCTCGCGATGGATGCCCGTCGGGTCGGGGCCCCACGGCCACGAACACCGGGGGGATTGTCCCGGATCGGGGCCGACAATTGTGGAGAACCACAAGACGCCGGCTGCTAGGGGTGGGAAGGTCCGGAACAAGGGGGGGGGGGGGCGGCAACTTCCTAACCCGCGTCGAGGAGGGGAGGAGGGGAAAAGGTATTGAAACGGGACGTGCGTGGTGAATAATGGGAACGGAATGAGCCGGCCCTGCGCGCATCTCCGCCCCATCGAGGCGACCTTGCATTGATAGAATGACAGAGTGATCGGAGAGGCAGGTTAGTCATCTGAGCTGCTGCGCCATTGCCAAGACCGCGCCGGATGAGAAGCGATTTGCTGGCTTGTGGGAGGGGAGGGAGAGAGAAACTATGACGAGCTACGGTTGTTGGGGGGGGGAAGTCTCCTCACGCCGCTGGCACTGGAGGGGCGGGAGGGGGAAAAACCTCCCCCCCCCCCCCCCCCCCAAAAAAAAACCAGACGAAGATCTTGCTTCGTGATCGTTTGTTTGTTTGGGTTTCCTTGGTTCACCGACGTTGGCCTCTGGCTTGGCGGGGGTCTGGCCCTTTTTTTTTTCTGTTCTGGCTAACAGGAGCAGCAAACAGGGAAGCGGCAGGCGACTCGCGCATGGCGGCCGGTCCACCGGTCTTGGCTGCCACGGTGCGGTGAGGCTGTGCCTCCGTTTGTCAAGAGAGAGAGAGAGAGAGAGAAAGAGAGAGATTTGATGTAGTACGTCCAAGTGAGAGTTGAGTTTGGGTCCTCGAGTCGGTGAAGAGGTAGGGAAAAAAGAAGGTTGTGGTGGGTTAGTCACGGGGGAAAGGTTGACCGCTCGGGTGCCCGCTGTCGAACCATCCGTATGGAAACACTGGAACGAGGCTAAGGAGTTGAGATGAGGATGGGATGGGGAAAAAAAAGCGAGTGGCTGGAAGATGGGGTTCCGTTCGTCGCTACGGGGGAAGGGGTTGTTAGCTTTCAAGGCGGCCGGATCTCGACGTCAGAGGAGAAGAATGGTAAGACGAAGGAAATGGAAGATGGTGTTGGGCTGTTAACCTAATTCAGTGCAGACTGCGGAGAGGGAGGGAGGGGGGAATGAGGGATGGATGGACGGGCTAAACTAGGATGCAACAGGCTATCAAAACAAAAAGACGGCAAATTGGACAAGTCTTGGCATATCACGATGCATGGCGCCCGGTGTCTTCGTCTCCTTTACTTGTGAACTACACGTGTGAGCGAGCGTCTTGGTATCCGGATGGGCAATGTGTGTCCCAATCTGTCGGAGACATGCACTGGCATTCGTTGGAACTTCCCGTCCCCCTCCCCCCCCTCTCTCTCTCTCACACACACACAAGCAAAGCAGCAGCAAGCAGCCATCGGGAAGATCATGTTTTGTATGGTGGTGAACTGCACCTGGACACTGGCCGGCAAAATGTCTTGTCCCTATGGTTGTGATTTGATGATGTCAAGGCCAGGCTTGGCATAGGACAACCTGAGGATGACGGAGTGAGACGACTAAGGGCTAAGGGTGGCAGTGCAAAAGCCCTCTTAGTCTTCCCGTTTCCCTTCCAAGGCCTTCCTTGGCTATGGCATCGCAATGTCATCTTGCTCATCAGATGTTTTGCGATGTGTTGGAGCTCCCCAAAAGCGCATCATCCCGAGCTCGGTAGTCATCGACCCTTTTAGGGACAGAGGCCCAGCCAGCCCCGTCCGTCCATACCAGAACGCTGCCTTCTCTCTCTCCACTTGCGGTGGTGAACGAATGAGCCTCGCCGCCCTTGTTTCGTTTGCTCCCGGGGGGTCTTGTTCCGGTTCGCTGTTGCCAGGGTGTCGCCGGGTCCGGGAGCTGGACGCCCTGCTTCGGGTAGGACAAAGAAACCTACCCTACGGCGAGCGAGGTGCTGGCCGCTGAGACCGTAGGGATGGTGGATGGTCTGGTTGCCCTGGCCCATTTCTCGCGCGTCCAGGGTAGGATGGTTTGACGATTGCAGCCACATGTCAGTAATGATCAGTGGTGAGATGCATGCATGCATCACTGACCATGACAACCCAGCCCGACCCGACCCGACCCCTCCTGCGTCCTGTAGCGCGTAGCGACGTGTGAAGCACGGGGACTTGCTATGGTGCTGTGCTGCATCCCTCAGCGTGGTCACACACGTGGGGGGAAGCTTTTGATGACACCCTTGGGATCACTCATGGCATATGTGCCCTATGCGAGTGATGAGATGAAATAGGTATGCCTAGCCAAGGTTTTCGTCTGTTGTTATTTCCCCATTTTTTTTGGTATCAAACCCTCACCCCGTCTCCCTCATCGACAGAAATACTCATCATGTAACCCGTTGCAGTCTCGAGACATGCCGGCGGGTGCTGGATCGCTAAATCGAGCTGAATCACAACCAAGCGGTCGATCCTTTCTTTCTTGCCTCTGGTAGGTTCCTGCCAAGAAGGGACGGACTTGTGGCTCACCTCACTTCCGGAGCCGGCGGCCTCCTTTTCCTTTTTTTTTTTTATTCTATTGTATTTTATTTTTCGTTGCCCAAAGCACTCAAGTCGGGACCGTGCAGGGGAGGGGAATAAAAGTAATGTCTCGGCGTTTGTGTTCCATCCAGTCACAACGTTCAAGGCGGATTGTCATGCCAGTCCATTGGGCTTGGAGCGACCAAAGCCCCGTGGCAGCGACAATCGGGCGCGTGGTGACTAGGGGCGGGATAGCTTATACCCCGTCATCCACCTCTCACCTCGGTGAAACGGTGCTGTGCGGGTGTATATTCTTGGCGCATACTTTTGAGTGACATGCGAAATCAGGTACAGGTGCGCGCTCTGGCTGGGTCTAGGTAAGATGTAGGGATCGACGGATGGCCGATGAGGCGTGGGGAAAGATGGGAATGAACGAGGAGAGGCAGTTAGAGAGAGAGAGAGAGAGAGAGAGAGGGAGAGAGTGAGAGGGAGAGAGAGTGAGAGGGAGAGAGAGTGAGAGAGAGAGATAGAACGAGGGTCTCCCCCATATCCAGGCCTTGACCCATTGCGATGTTTTAATTCCCCATTTTCAATGTAACTCCACCGTAATTCAAAGACATGGCTTGGCGCTTCACCTCCCTCTTGTTGTTGGCTGGACTCCAATACATTGCCAACGAGGACGCATTGAAGCCAGACGAGGAAGCACC